TTCTTTAGTTCTTTCAGTTTAATCAAATATGAATTTTTCTTATTATTCCAAAAATTTAATGCAGTTCCATCAAAAATTTAAACTAATTTTTCTAAATCAATATATGAAGATACCGCTGAATTTGTATTTTTATTAATGATATATAAAAACTATTTATTTTGAATATCAATCATTTTGTAGTTTTATTATATCTATTCTGTCAATTATGCAAAAACTTTTCTTTTAAGAAACTTCGATTTAAAAGAGCACAAATTTATAATTCATGCTCTATTTCTACACATTAATATTGTATAATTATATTTTACATTATAAGTAATAAAATATTATTATCAAATCATTTATAAAGAATTAAATCATTATATTTAAAATTTATATACTCATTATTGCAATTTATCCTAGCAAAATTCTAATTTAACAGTCAAGAATACCCTTATATATTTATGACTATATATTAATTGGTTCTATCTGTAATGAATTGTCTTAAGAATTCAAAGCTACTTCTTATTATTATTAATCTTGTAAACATTTACCTGCAAATAAAAAAATTTGATACCTTCGGATTAAACTTCGGATTCAAGAGGTAGACTATTTGAAGGGTTTATGGAAAGTGCTTAATCAGATAGATTGAGAGATTCGTCATTTATTTATAGACATTATTCTAATAATTAAGTTATGTTTCCATATACCTGCTTCATATTTAGCAAATAAGTCAGTAGGATCTATGGTTAATACCTTGTTAAAATAAATAATTGCCTAATCATATTTGTTTAATTGTTTTAAACATAAGCCTATTCATTAAACTATGATTCAAAGTACCTTTTTAATGTAATGCGTAACAATGCTTCTAATTTAGAGCTATAACTTTATCAAACTAAGTAAGTGCATCAGTATATTTATTTAATTATCTTAAGCATATGCCTAAAAATTTAAATATGATTTAAACTACCTTTGATAAATAATGCATCTATATCCTTAGGATATATAGTTAATGCTTAGTTCAACCAAATAATTGCATCCTCATATTTAAGTAAGAATTTTAAGCATAATCCTATTAATTTAATAATGATTCAAACTACCTTTTAAAAATAAGGCATTTTAATGATTAGGATTTATTGCTATAGCTTTGTCCAACCATATAATTGCATCATCAAAATTATTTAATAGTCTTAAACATAAGCCTATTAAATTAACTATGATAAAATTACCTTTAATAAATAAAGATTCAAAATGCTTAGGATTTATATTTAATACTTTGTCCAACCAAGTAATGGCATCATAATATTTTTTTAATAATCTTAAGCATAAACCTATTCATTAAAGGATGATTCAAACTACCTTTATTAAATAAGGAAGTTAAATGATTAGGATTTATAATTAAGGCATTGTCGAACCAAATAATTGCCTCCTCAAATGTTTATAATAGTATTAAACATAAACCTATTATTTAACTATGATTGAATCTACCTTTATTATATAAGGAATCTAAATGTTTAGGATCTATAATTAATGCTTTATCCAAAAAAATAATTGCCTCCTTACTTTTTTTTTATTCCAATAAACATAAACCTATTAATGTAATTATGATCGAAACTACCTTTATTATACAAGGAATCGAAATGATTCGGATTAATAGATAATATTTTGTCAAACTAATTAATTGCGTCATCATAATTTTATAATAATCTTATACATAAACCTATTATTTAATTTTGAATTAACCAACCTTTTTAAAATAATGAGTTTAAATTATTTGGCTCTATAGCTAACGATCTATCAAACCAAGTAATTGCATCCAGATATTTATTTAATTGTAATAAACATAAACCTATTAATATTAACTTTGATTCAATCAACCTTTTTAAAGTAATGAATTATAATTTTGAGGATCTATTTCCAGTGCTTTGTCTAAATAAATAATTGCTTAATCAAAACTGTTTAATAATCTTAAACATACGCCTATTAATTGAATTATGATTTTTCTACCTTTTTAAAGTATTGAGTTGAAATCCTCAGGGTCTATTGTTAAAACTTTATCAAACCAAACTATCGCATCTTCATATTTATTTTATAAAAATAAGCACAAGCCTATTTGTTTATTTTTGTTTTGATGTACCTTTAACAAATAAAGAATTTCTATCCTTAGGATACATAGTTAATGCTCTGTCCAACCAAAGAACAGCATCATCATATTTATTTAATTCTCTTAAACATAATCCTAATTAAAACAATATGATTGAATTTACCTTTAAAAAATAATTAGTTAAAATCTTTTGGGTTGATAGCTAATGCTTTGTCTATCCAAATAATTGCTTAATCACGTTTATTTAATTATCTTAAACAAATGCCTATTAATTTAACAATAATTAAGTCTACTTTTATTATTTAAGGAATCTAAATGTTTTGGATTTATTTTTAATGCTTTGTCGAACCAAAGAATAGCATCATCATATTTATTTAATTATCTTAAACAAAAGCCTAATTAAAACAATATGATTGATCTACCTTTTTAATATAAGGATTCTACATCTTTTGGATCTAAAGATAATGCCCTTTCAAACCAACTAATTGCTTCCACGTATTTATTTAATGATATTAAGCACATGCCTAGTATTAATGATAAAAATTACCTTTTTAAAATATCAAGTTAAAGTCCTCAGGAAATATATTCAATGCTTTGTTTAGCAAATTAATGGCATCAACATAATTCTATTATGATTATAAACATAAGCCTATTAATTAATTCTAATCAAACTACATTTTTAAAGTAATAAATTAATATCCTAAGGATATATATTTAATGCTTTATCTAGACATATAATTGCATCATCATAGTTATTGAGTAACCTTAAACAAAAGCCTATTAATTTAACAATTATTCAATCTACTTTTATAGAATAAGGAATCAAAATGATTAGAATTTATAACTAATGCTTTGTCAAAGCAAGTAATAGCAACTTCAAATTTATTTAATGAAATTAAACATAATCCTTGTATTTAACTATGATGTATTTACCTTTTTCAATTAATGAGTTTAAATCGTTAGGTGCTAGAGCTAAAACCTTGTCTAACCAAATAATTGCTTAATCATCTTTATTTAATTATCTTAAACAAAAACCTAATAATTTAACATGATTAAATGTACTTTTATTAATTAAGGATTCTAAATGTTTAGGATCTGTAATTAATACTTTGTCCAACCATATAATTGCATCATAATATTTTTTTAAAGATCTTAAGCATTAACCTATTAATTTAACTATAATTCAAATACCCTTAACAAATAAACAATCTAAATGATTTGGATTTATATTTAATGCTTTATCCAACCATATAATTGCATCATCATATTTATTTAAGAGTTTTAAACATTAGCCTATTAATTTAACTATAATTCAAACTACCTTTAATAAATAAACAATTAAAATTTTTAGGATCTATAATTAATGCTTTGTCCAACCAAGCAATTGCATCATAATATTTGTTTAGATATCTTAAGCATTAACCTATTAATTTAACTATAATTCAAATACCTTTAACAAATAAACAATCTAAATGCTTAGGATTTATAATTAATGCTTTATCCAACCATGTAATTGCATCATCATATTTATTTAAAAGTCTTAAACATAAACCTATTAATTAAATTATTATTGAATCAACTTTTATTAAATAAGCACTCGAAATTATTAGGATCGATACATAGTGCTTTTTCAAGGCAAATGATTGAATCCATGTATTTTTTTAATTGTATTAAACATTCACCTAATGATATAATTATCCTTTAATATACCTTTATTTAGTAAGGAATTTAAATGCTAAGAATCAATCGATAAAGCTTTGTCAAACTAATTGATTGCTTTATTGAATTCCTATAAGTCACTTTTNATAGTTATTGAGTAACCTTAAACAAAAGCCTATTAATTTAACAATTATTCAATCTACTTTTATAGAATAAGGAATCAAAATGATTAGAATTTATAACTAATGCTTTGTCAAAGCAAGTAATAGCAACTTCAAATTTATTTAATGAAATTAAACATAATCCTTGTATTTAACTATGATGTATTTACCTTTTTCAATTAATGAGTTTAAATCGTTAGGTGCTAGAGCTAAAACCTTGTCTAACCAAATAATTGCTTAATCATCTTTATTTAATTATCTTAAACAAAAACCTAATAATTTAACATGATTAAATGTACTTTTATTAATTAAGGATTCTAAATGTTTAGGATCTGTAATTAATACTTTGTCCAACCATATAATTGCATCATAATATTTTTTTAAAGATCTTAAGCATTAACCTATTAATTTAACTATAATTCAAATACCCTTAACAAATAAACAATCTAAATGATTTGGATTTATATTTAATGCTTTATCCAACCATATAATTGCATCATCATATTTATTTAAGAGTTTTAAACATTAGCCTATTAATTTAACTATAATTCAAACTACCTTTAATAAATAAACAATTAAAATTTTTAGGATCTATAATTAATGCTTTGTCCAACCAAGCAATTGCATCATAATATTTGTTTAGATATCTTAAGCATTAACCTATTAATTTAACTATAATTCAAATACCTTTAACAAATAAACAATCTAAATGCTTAGGATTTATAATTAATGCTTTATCCAACCATGTAATTGCATCATCATATTTATTTAAAAGTCTTAAACATAAACCTATTAATTAAATTATTATTGAATCAACTTTTATTAAATAAGCACTCGAAATTATTAGGATCGATACATAGTGCTTTTTCAAGGCAAATGATTGAATCCATGTATTTTTTTAATTGTATTAAACATTCACCTAATGATATAATTATCCTTTAATATACCTTTATTTAGTAAGGAATTTAAATGCTAAGAATCAATCGATAAAGCTTTGTCAAACTAATTGATTGCTTTATTGAATTCCTATAAGTCACTTTTTTGGAAAATAAATGATGATAAATAAATAAACATTAACCTATTATATAAATTTTTATTATACCTTTGCACCATAATGATAAATGATTTTTGGGATTATATTATATTGATTTATCTAATAAAACAATGGCATCATGATATTTTTTTTTCTTTTTTAATTTAAGACCTTATGATAATAAATATGAAATGGATTACCTTTTTCATACAACTCTTTGGACAATTTTATCTCATTATTATCAACCTAATAATAACTACATGATGATAATGCTAATTATTCATATAAATTATTAAATGAATGAGTCAATTTTTTTGTTTATTCTAAAATGATTGATGTGATTGATTATTTATATTCAGTTAATTTAGTGGTTGAATTCAAGAAATCATTTAATTATTAAGGATTCATATTATCTAATCTTTCTTTCATTAATTAATATTTATATCGAATTCCCCTTTTCAATTAAGAAAATTATTCATTCACACTTTCTACTTATTTATTTAGATCATCAATCAAATTATCACATTCTTTATTTTTATTTTGAATGAAGTCTATCAATGTGTTGATTTTACCAACATCATTTATATGATTACTATGGATTCCTTGTTAAATGCATTAAAAACAATTTAATCTGAAATTTGTACAAAACTAGTTGTAACAAATTGTGTCTATATCATCTTAATGAACCTCTTATAGGCATTTAGATCTTAAATTACCTTACTATCCCATATATTAATATTTATTATTAAAGTGTTTATTAATCACCCTCCTATTTAAATTGAATTATATAATAATAAAGATTTTTAATGTTTAATAATTTATTAAATAAATTATTTTATTTTTAGTTTTATTAATAAGTATGAAATTATTTATGAGTAAGATTATCATATTTATAATTAATAATCTCTAAGTATATGAAATAAATATTTTATTCAAATTTCTAATCTAAAGATTAATATCAATGAATATATTTTAATAATAATATCTTTCGAAGAAATAAGAAAACTTCCTTTTTCAAAAAATGGAATCATTATTTTATTCTACTTTTTTCCCCCTTATTTTCTATAGATACTTAAATCTATTAGTTGTAATTATATTCTGAAGAACTAATTCCCTATGATTTAATTAATTACCATCTAAAAATCGAATGGAAATTAATTAAGTCATAAGGTAAAATATTTTTGAAAATAGAAATGAGTTAATTAGAGTGTTGTCTTGAATGAAAAAAAATTAAACTTTTAGCAGTGACTCAAGTAATGTTAACTTTAAGAGGTGAAATAATATAGTAAATAAGAGAGTTTAGGATCAATGATAAGATAGGTTTAAAATCAACTAAATCTCTCTCATTCTAGAAGATGAAGTTTGATATTTTATTAATTTTTCCATTAATTAGTTTCACAATTTTATCAACAGTTTGATTTAATGAAAACATCTTTTTAAAAAATATATATTACTAATAATAAATTACAGAATAAAATTGCTACAATTATGCCATTATATTCTAATATAGTTTAATAAGAAGGATCTAGATTAAATAATCTCATTAAAGAAACTTGAAATTCTAATACATTTAATAAGTTTCATTTTATGATGATGATATTGTATCTAAAATTCTAAATCATTTTTATGATACAATTTTTTGGACAAAATCTTATTTCAGTCTTTTGTCTATTTAGAAAATTGATTTGTATAGTAGATGGAACTCTATACTAAAACAATTTTAATGACGAACATTTATTATTTAATCTAACTTTATATCAATACAAAAGCTTAGCAATATTCGTATCAGATGTCCATTTACATCTATTGGAGGCTGCTTGACAAGCATATTGATCTATAAAACCAACTTAGCAATATTTCATAAATGAGCAATTTACTGTTATTTTAGTTTCTTTCCAAACATAGTAATAGGCTTGGTTCCATCAGTAATTTAAGTATTAATAATACTATAAGCTGCTATAGAAGCACCTCCAGTACACCAGTAGTGACATTAAATTTTTAACTCTACAAGTTGAAACTTCTCCACAAGTATTATTGAAATAATTTATAAAATAATACAAATATTATAATATTTAATTATCAAAATAAATTCTACCAATTAAAAAAAAACTTTCAGTTCCGATTGAGTTAATGCTTGAGATGTTTGTTGAGAATTGAGGTATTCCATTTTAATTTATTTATACTTAACATATGAATCCTTTATAATAAAACTTGTACCTCCAGTTATACATGTGATGAGCATGCACTATAGGTTTTACATATATTGATCATGCAGCTAATTATTATATGACTATGTTCCATAGGTAGTGAATTCAGGAAAAAAACTAAATCATACATCCTCTATTGAAATTATTTTTGACACATGATGTATAATACCAATACATTATTAGCAATTTTTGGTGCCGATCGTTATCCCAATCAAGACTACATGAATCATAAAAGAAACATGCTTTATTAGAACCATCATTAGTATTAGAATAATCAAACAGTCATGGTTTCTTAAACACAACCTGCTTCAAGAACATTTTTACACATCAAAATATTTATTACTTGAATCAGCTTTACATTTGAATTTAAAGTTTTTATCAGTTGGACTCTGAAAAGCAGCTTAAGTTTTATCAGAAGCATCTTTTAATTCTTGGTTTCTACAAATTGATATGTATTCATCAAAATTAAAGTAGTTGTAACTTTGGCTGCTAAATATGTACTTATTTTAACACAACTATAACCTTAATAAATATTCCAAGTAGGGCTGAAGTATTTAAGCACTAACTTTAAGAAGTGTAATCTTTTAGTGCTGATTTGCATATTCGACTAACACAATAAGCTGATTTAAATATATCAGTAGAAACAATCTATTCACAAGCATTGCCAGATATATCAGAAGAGGTTGCAGGAAATGACTGCTTTCTCTCAAGTTCTAGTAGCACATGATCCAGTACTAGAAATTTCAAACTGATTACATTTACTTGATATGGCGTCAAAATCAAAGCACTATCATCTACTCATTCCCTAACAGGTTTCTGGAACAGGAACTCGTTCTTTATTATCCTAATTGACTATGCATTAAAGATCAGTAGTATTTCCATATTGAAAGTTTAAACTTATAAACAGCATGCATCTTTATATTTTGGTTCTATAATTCCTATAATAATTTATAATGTTATAGTGCTATACTTTGTTCTATTCGTTCCATCATCATCCTATCTTTATTGTTTTAACTGCTAAAGTACAATAACCAACCATATATAAATTTATTATTTTTTTAAACAATTAGGCAGCAGGATTAGCAAGCCTTATCATCATATTTATTAAGTGTTTCTGCTAAAATCCATTCACAGTCTTTCTTTTGAAAAATTAATCTTACACTAAACAAGTACTTTATAATCTTAGTAAACACATAAATTAATACATCCTGCCTATTTTTTGAAATCTTCACCTATTTGGACTGTACAAATTCCTACATCCCAAAATTTCACAACAATTTTTTAGTTGAATCAGAATTAGTGCCTGAATTAGAGTAAAAGATTTGGCTCTTTGGCATAAAAAATAATTTTTTATAAATTAAGCATGCACATCATTATATTTTTGTCTTTCTGTACTATCCATACACTTGGTAAACCATTAACATGTTCACATTTATTTTTTGCATCATATTCTCTAAATTTCGCTTTACTATCATTAGATCAGAATTAATTATAAATTTCTTATAGCATTAGTGCAATCAACAATGTTAGTCTGATCTATGTTTACACATATATTTCCATCTATACATTTTGATGTTGTAGCATACCAAAAAACATTTTAATATTTTAAAGGGCTGAATTAACAATTTTCAAAACATTAATAAGACAGTTCACCTAAACCACTTCGAATTTTTGGTAATAATCGAGCACAAAAAATTATTTTCTGTTTCAAAAATACAAAAAGATTTTTCTCCTTATCTTTCAAGAATGCTTAACAACCATTTTGAGTCACTTCTTCATCTGTTACTATTAAATTATTAGTATTACCTTCTTTTGTTGATTAACACATTTTTTTCACAATATATACTATAATTATTATCCCATAAACAAATTATGTTTTTCAGGAATTTAATTTTTCTTAATCAAATGTTCTATATATAGTGAGTAATTAGATATTTAAATAATTAAGATATATGTTTTAATTTGAATTCATTTATAATAATTAATACAGACATAAATAAAACTTATTATTTACATTTATTTAATATTACAATTACATAAATAAGAATATTTATAAATAAAATCTTAATAGAATTATGGGTATTTAAAAGTGGATTTTAAGATCTATAAATAACATTTTTAAATATAAAAACATGAGATAGCAATTGAATACAAAATTATAATGTTAACAACAATGTCATTAGGAGGATGTAGATATGGTTTGTTACAATAAGTTTTGCACAGAACTCAGACTAAATTGTTTCAATTGTATTAAAAAAGGAAGTCATAAATCTCATATTGATGATGTTTAAAAAATTAATACTATTGTAGCATTCATTGAGAATTAAAATAAATAATGTGATAATTTGATTGATAATCTTAATACACTTATGAAAAGTGTGAATCAATCATTTTCATAATTAAAAAATGGAATCAAAAATAAATATTCATTATTAAAAGAAAGATTAGAAAATCTTAATTCATAATAAGTGAATGATTTTTTAAAATCAACCTTTGAATTCCCTGAATATAAATAATCAATCATTCATATCATTTAAGAATAGTCTAACCAATTAACTCAAACTTTTGGTAGTTTACATCAATAGTTATAATTATTATCTATAAATTATGATAAAATTGATGATAAAGATATTAAACTATCGAAAGAGCTCTATGATCAAGGTTGTCCTATCATTATAATATCATAGGATTTTAATTATATTTGGATGATAAATACAGAGAGGCTATATAAATATTAAAGAAATCTTTATAATCAGATCCTAATAACAATTTATCTTTATGGTGTTAAGGTGAGAATAACAGATAATTATTAGGTGAATGTTTATCAAGATTAGATAAATATGAAAGTGCAATTAATTAGTTAGACTAAGAATTAGCTCTAGATCCGAAAATGTTAATTTATTATGGAGTAAAGGTAGATTAATTCTAATGTAATTATTAGGTTTTTGTTTATTAAGATAAAGAAAAAATGATAAAGCTATCATTTGGTTAGACTAAGCTTTAGCCATTGATCCTAAGCATATTGAATCCTTATGCTCTAAAGGTAGATTGATTCATAGTTATATATATAGGCGAATGCTTAAGATTAATGTAGTAATACGAAAAATCTATAGGATTATTTGATTAAGCACTCTCCATTAACCGATAGCATGCTTCATCACTTAACTTAAAAGGTATTTATTATTGTAATTTAAAGGAAAATGTTTAACAGATTTTTAAAATTACAAAGAAGCTCAGAGAAATCGTGAAAAAGCAATATATTTATAAAAAGATAATGTATGCTTAAATGTAAAAAGGTCTATTCCAAACTATTCAAAATGATAAAATAAATGAATTTAAGTAATTAGTATCAAATTTAATAGATAATTTTATCATTATATTTATTAATTTTAATTCTATCAGAATAATTGGTAATTTATTGATATACTGCTGAAAGTAGGTAATTTATGAAAAAAATTTTATAATGGAAATATGTAATGGTTATTGTTTTCTTCTTTAATTTATTTCTTTTGTAATCAAAAAGAAAGTGAATTCTAATTAATTAATTTAGATTATGAATAAAATGAAATAAAACTATATAGACATAATGAAATCCTAAAATAAATAAAAATTCTAGGTTTTAAATTGTAGAGAAAAAGTATTAAATGAAATGAATAAATAGGAATGTAGGATAATTTAAACTATTTATTGTTATTATTTTAGGATTATGAATGCGAATTGAAGCTCATGTTTTCACATTAAAATGGACAAAAGAATAGAGGACACTTGAAATAAGGATCATAATAATAAGCAATCCACAAAGAAACCTAAGTGAATTCAAAAATAGATTTTCATCATAGGAGGAGCAAAATGAGTAGTTTCTACTTAAATCATTTATTTGCCCTTATTATGAAGCTCTAGAACAGATTCCTTAATGAGAGAATTAGTTTTTCAATTAATAATTAATTCATGAAAAAAATTACAACTGCAATTTAAAAGGCTTAATGTAGTGAATTACTTTAGAAAAGGTTTGCAACTTAATTAAATGTTATGGTGAAAAGTATAGATAAAAAATTTATATAAGAGCTTCCAGGAGGATATTTTCCTCGTTTCTCTGTCCCCTCTTTAAGAATATTACTGATGCTTCATTTATAGCTTAGCACGTGTTTACTAAGAAATTAACCTCAACGTTAAGACTATAAGATTTCTTTTTAATTTAGCTATGAACAGTATTCGAGCGTAGAAAGGAAATATAAAAATCCTACACATTCATCAAATGAAATTAATCAACAAAAGATGGGATATTACTGACGGGATTTGTTTTTTTTCGATATACTTTAGAATTTATAAGGGTTGTCGTAGTGCATTTAAAGTAATAAAATGATTATTTATAAATAAAGATGAATTAGAACTACATTATTAAAGTCATAATATTTTCAAAGTTAAATTGATATACTTTAATAAGTATTATTTTAATTTTTCAAATTAAACCTAAAAACTAGATTTGTTTCCAATAGTTTTCAATAAAATTTTATAACATGCAACTAATTATACTAGAAATAATAAAAATAATTATTAAATAATCTAATATTATTATACTTTTAAATATTTTATTATTTATATTTTTAGATAATTTAAATATATAAGCTCTATTTTATTTATCATAAAAATAAGCAATTTTTAAATTAAATTAAAAAATAAAGGAAATGATATTCTGAGATCTTTACTAAGTTTTTAAAATGCTCCATTTTAAAAACTAACTAATATTAGCAACTCATGTATTCTAAAGTTATAAAATTAAATAAGAAACCTTTAGATAATTTAAATTTCATGAAATATGTAAGATTAATATCTACAGCTTGATTTAAGATTATGAATTATTGTAATGAAATATTTGATGTAGATAATTCTATCATTTTCATGTATAACGAGAATAAATAAATCTAAAATATATTAATTCATTTATCTATAGATTATTTCGAAATCATCTAAAATTTTTGAAGGTAGTATTTATATATTTATCTTATTGATAATTTAGAATATTCCTATTTAATTTGACTTTTCAAGAATAATGTTGATTCTTCTAGTATAAAGAAATTCATAATATATTTAGATGATTTGAATTTGTTAAATTATAAATGGTTTATTATCTTTCTAATTTATTTAATCATTTTAAATTAAATAGATAGGAATAGGAGAATTTGGTTACAAATACTTAGTTTATTAATATGTTTACAGATGATTCATGTATTAAATAAACTTATTGGCTTACTTTTCTTCTGATGAACTAAGTTTATCATTAAAATTAATTAGATAGATTCCATTTTAATTTAACTTATGTGAAAATTTATTAATGCAAAAAAGGATGGTTTATAACTTAGCATTTAAATTCAATTAAGGCATATAAAAAAATGTCTTAGATTTATTTTCAAGATAACAATATGATATTGTATATTTTTTACTGATTTCAATTTGCAGTTTTGTATTAATATGAAATTAATTTTTGTTTTTGGGAGATATTAGCATATAGATCTATTATATAATTAGTAATTGTCAAATAAGATAACATTAAGTTCTTTTATAAATGATTTGCCAAGCTTGCAAATTGATTTAGGGATGTTTGCTAAAAATTTATAAAACTTAAAAAAGGTTCATTCATACATAATACATATTGGATTTACGAGTATTTAGCTATTCATAAAATAAATTTATTCTAATATTGAAAAATAGCACAATTCAAAATAGTAGAAATGTATAATAAATTTTAAAGACAGTTTTTACAATATTTTTCTTCCATATAACATAACCCAAAGTCTAAGTTTATAAATCCATAATTATAAATAAGCATAGTGTCTATATATATATATATATTGATTATTGAACAAGTAGTTCACTTTCAAGTCCAAAAAGCATGATTATATTATTTCCAAGTAATAAAACGATAATAAAGTTAAATTCAATTTGAAAATGAAAATCATAAAGATGATTGATCGATATTATATCTCTTCAAATAAAAATTAAGTTTAGTAATCTATTATATTATTTAAAATCAGAATATAATAATCGAATTCTAAAATTAATAAAAAGAAAAACTTCATCTGATTAATCTAAAAGTGAAAAGTTTTGGGCAATACCTTAAAATAATATTAAGGTGAATCATTTATTTTTTAAATTAATACTCTAATACTTTTAATTAGCAGTATGAATGTATATTGTAACACACTAGATATATAAATTTAGTTCATTTGGTTTTAGTTTCCATAAATTACAAAAAAATATTGGTTGACTTTAAATCTAAATTAAATTTAAATTAAAAGCAATAATTTTATGGAGAAACTCCTAAAATTGTAATTTTATAATGATTTATATACTCTTTAATTCTATAAAGGTATATTGTTTAAGTCAAAATATCAATGGATAACAGTTTAATTCTCTTCAAAATCCTTTTATGAACTTAAATGCTGAGATTGAGATTATTTCATATGTTTTGCATATAATCTACGTTTAACTGATTTTTTTATCTGAGTTTATTCTAAACAACCAGAAAATCTTCTAAAATATATCTATATATTCACCCAATTATCCATCTCTATTTAAAGTTTCTTTATATGTAAACTCTTTAATAATAATTTTTCCTTCAGTTTCTATTCACTTTATATGTCAAAAATATAACATTTAGGTGGAATTTTATACAATAATTGAATAGAAGTTAGAAGGTAAATTTTTACATAAATAAAAATTTTCCCTTAATGATCATTATTAATTTTTCAAATAATCAAATGTAATTTTTCTTATCAAAATAAGGAGAGAAAACAAAGATTTAGAAAACCGTATAGTCAACTCCCAGATCCAAGAACACCTAACTATGAAGGAATTAATGAAATTTTTTGATTTCATTAATTATTTGGATAAATTGATTAATGATATCTATGTAGAATAAGTATGTTGTAATATCAAAAAATATTTCCAATATATAAATAATCTGCAGAATTATATTGGGTAGATAAAGAGTAAACTACATTTTATAAACTATTATTCTAATTCAATAGCAACAATCTTAAGTAAAAGCCNAAAAAGAAAAACTTCATCTGATTAATCTAAAAGTGAAAAGTTTTGGGCAATACCTTAAAATAATATTAAGGTGAATCATTTATTTTTTAAATTAATACTCTAATACTTTTAATTAGCAGTATGAATGTATATTGTAACACACTAGATATATAAATTTAGTTCATTTGGTTTTAGTTTCCATAAATTACAAAAAAATATTGGTTGACTTTAAATCTAAATTAAATTTAAATTAAAAGCAATAATTTTATGGAGAAACTCCTAAAATTGTAATTTTATAATGATTTATATACTCTTTAATTCTATAAAGGTATATCAATGGATAATTTAATATAAAAAAGCAATTTTAAACTAAAATAATATTTCTAAATCTATAACAGTTTAATTCTCTTCAAAATCCTTTTATGAACTTAAATGCTGAGATTGAGATTATTTCATATGTTTTGCATATAATCTACGTTTAACTGATTTTTTTATCTGAGTTTATTCTAAACAACCAGAAAATCTTCTAAAATATATCTATATATTCACCCAATTATCCATCTCTATTTAAAGTTTCTTTATATGTAAACTCTTTAATAATAATTTTTCCTTCAGTTTCTATTCACTTTATATGTCAAAAATATAACATTTAGGTGGAATTTTATACAATAATTGAATAGAAGTTAGAAGGTAAATTTTTACATAAATAAAAATTTTCCCTTAATGATCATTATTAATTTTTCAAATAATCAAATGTAATTTTTCTTATCAAAATAAGGAGAGAAAACAAAGATTTAGAAAACCGTATAGTCAACTCCCAGATCCAAGAACACCTAACTATGAAGGAATTAATGAAATTTTTTGATTTCATTAATTATTTGGATAAATTGATTAATGATATCTATGTAGAATAAGTATGTTGTAATATCAAAAAATATTTCCAATATATAAATAATCTGCAGAATTATATTGGGTAGATAAAGAGTAAACTACATTTTATAAACTATTATTCTAATTCAATAGCAACAATCTTAAGTAAAAGCCAAAATTTACTATTAATCTTAAGATCCAAAAATTGAATACCTAAAATCTATGAGCATTCTATATGAAAACCTGAAAATATTATTTTTATATGGATCACATCAAAAATCAATGAAAATTGAAACAAATGAATATCAATATCTTTGTCACACAGCAATCTCAACTTAGGAGGATTACTAAAATTTTCTACTTTCAACAAGAATGCATGCTTGCTCATATTAAAAAGACTGAGTTTTAGAATAATTCAAAAGAATTACAAATTCATAAAAACTTTTTTTATATAACTAGAATTGTCTCAAATGATAATTGAATATGAAGAATTTGATAAAAAGCAATTATTTAATCTTTAAACATATATTTGACTTTATTTATAAATATTTAAATTATACTGTTAATAAGTAAAATAATTGATTTATATTTAAATAAAATGGATTAGCAGCTGTTTTTTTTTGTTTTCCTCATTAGGTTGTAATTAAACTTGTCTTTATGGGCTTGTTTATATTTAAGTCAACATTTTCATTTTATCGTTGCCATAGAATTGGTAGAAATAATGATGTTTTTATATTTGCCTTTATGATATCTAAATACAATTATATGCTTCATCTGCAATTCTTAATTCTTAATGAACATTATTTAATTTATTTATTACTATTTATGTTCTAGATAGTTGGATTTAATGGTATTTGATCTTTGAAGATATTTCCTTTGCCAATAAATGGAATGAATATATAAAGTAGTCATATTTATTCTTGTAGATATTGGTGCCTTATTTGATATGAAAATAATAATACTTCTAGAATGGGGTTCATCAAGGATCGATGCTGGCTCCTTTCTTATTTGATATATACTTTGATTAATTAATTGAGGAGCTTTAAAGAAAAGTTAGATTAAAAATGCTTAGTAGAAAGATAAGGAGAAAAAATGTGGAAAAGGATTTAACATTCAATTAGTTAAGATGGACTAAGATATTTGCATATGCTGATGATGTGGCTATAGCAACTTTTTTAAATAAACTTGATGTGTTTTTGACAAATATTTTATTTCAGTATATACAATTTTTCAGAAAGTATTTACAGAATAAGAGTAGAATATTATTATTTGTTTTCGCTTTTATCATAATGTTGAGTTTGAATAACAGACATATATTTGTATTTTATTCTTTTTTATAATAAATTATAGATCCCCTAAAATTAAGATTTGATAAAATATATTGGAAAATAAATAATTCGTAATTTGAAATCAAATTATGAAGACCAAATCCTATATGAGAAAATAATTATTATTTAAAATAAATTATAAAGTTGGAACCTGATGATGATAAAATTTTTTGACTTGATCAGTTGTTACAATATTCTACAAATTGTAACTTTCGTAAGAGTTTTGCCAAAACTCTCATTTGATTTTGTTATTATTCTGTTATAAAATGGTTCTAATTGAATTCTATAGTTGAGAGACTTAAATAAAAAAATTTAAATATTTATTAAATTTTTTATCGCTTTTTAAATAAAAAAATTAAAATATATTGATAAGAATCTTAAGATGTAATATCTTTGGGTCATTTGAAAAAACGATGAATGAAAACATGAAAAGATATTCAAAATTTTTAGAATTAGAAACCAAGAGTTATTCTTTTAATCTTATTTTCACATTAAAAATATATTATTAGAGATTTAGAATGGTATTTTCCATTGGCTATTTCTATTTAAGTAATGAATATTGTGAAAGATTTCTTTCATAAAAATAATTTTTGGCTTATTTTTATCAAAGGCTGTTTTAAAGAGAAGATAAATTTTCTAGAAAATCAGAGCCAAAAAATAAAAGAGACAGTGAATAATACAATTAAATTGTCATTAATCAATAAAGTGAAAGATGTGAAATTAATCAATAACTAATCGAAAATGCATTCATATTCAAAAGAAATACCTATGAATTTATATGATTATATTATTCAATTTTTAAAGTTCATTTCTCTACTTTTTATCTGCCCTTACATTTCGACACATTTCCCTATTTTATTTCCATTTCCATACTATCCATTAAAGGTAGTTTATAAAGCCCATTTAAACCCATCCTTTATATCAACCCATTTCCCAGTTTTTACTCCAAAGCTTTCATTATCATATGAGCCTCCACCACTAACAGCTCATACTTCGTTAATAAAGAATTTTACATCTTAATATTTCCTACGTAATTGAGATAAATATCCCATTTCCCAACTTTGTTGCCATTTTTATATTCACCATTAATAGTAACTTATGATGAATCATCAAGCTCATCATTAACTTCAATCCATCTTCCACACTTAAATCCTTCATCTCCTTCATCATAAGATCCACCACCACTAAAAAATTTACAGAATATATATATACATCAGCTTATTTCCAAAATAATTGAGATAAGTATCCCATCTGCCAACTTTTTACCCCTTTTTATATTCACCAACGTAAGTTATTTATGAATTAAAATCATTAAACTCAATCCATCTACCAATTTTTAAATCAATAACATAATTTTCATAATAACCTCCTCCCCTAAATCATTTTTTAATTTAATTTATTTAAATAATTTTACATCTCTTTACTTCCTTCTTTATTTATGAAAAAAAAATCCCACTTCCCAACTTTTTACCCTTTGAAATATTCACCAATCTAAGTTATATACAAATTCGAATCGCTCAACTCTACCCATCTTCCTATCTTAAACTCTTCACCCTCTTCATCATAGAATCCACTTCTATTCCATATTTATATAATATTTAACTATTATTTGTTACATTATTTCCATTCCTCCTTTTGTATCAAAGTGAGTATCCTATCCTTAAGGTTTTTTAATATTTTTGTATTCACTTTCAAAAGGAGCTTGCAGATAGCTATTCCTAATCCGGTTGTTTCTTCCAAACCTTGATCGAAGACCTTCTTCATTATATAATCTTTCGCGACTAAAATATTTTTTGAAATAATATAGTTTTACATCTGATGATTTCCACATGTATTTTTTTAAAAAATATCCCATTACCCAATTTTTTTACCATTTTTATATTCTCCATTTTAAGTTATTTAAAAAGAATCAATGAACTCAACACCTACTTCAATCCATCTTCCAATTTTTTTCCCTTCACCCATTTCATCATACAATCCTCCACCACTAAAATTTTATTTAAATAAAATTCTCTACATCTTTTCATTGTTCAAATAAATATCCCATTATCCAACTTTCTTACCATTTTAATAGTTGCCATTGAAAATAATTTAATATGTTTTATAAAACCCTTCACTCAATTCAATCCATTTCCCTACCTTATGCCCATCACCTCTTTCATCATATAACCCACCTCCACTAAAAATAATTATTAATAATATAATTTAACATCTATTTAATTAATCCTTAACAATTTAAATGAATATCCCATCTACCAATCTTTTAACCATTTTTATATTTTCCATTATGTGTAATTTCAGAAGAATCATTAAAATTATCATCGACTTCAACCCAGCTTCCAATTTTTATCCCTTAACCTCCTTCATTATATAATCCACCACCACTAAATGATATATCAAATATAATAAGATTACATTTATTACTTTTTTCCAATGGGCTCATTTTTATACTTAATATCCCATCTACCAACCTTTTTACCACCTTTATATTCGCCATAATAAGTTAGCTAAGAATTGCAATTGAAGCTATCACTCAATTCAATCCATTTACCACTTTTCTAACCTTATTCATTATATTTTCCACCACCGCTTATTAATATATTTTTTAATTATACATTATGTTGTTATCATATATATAGATCCACATTCCACTTCTTTTATCATTTTAGTATTCTCCACTTTCATAACTCTTTGAGTGACTTTTGAACAATACTTAATTATTATTTACCTACTATAGTTTTTAAAAAGTTCTTTCCATAACCCTTACTTTAATCCATTCTCAAAATACCCACCAACTTCACTCAGTATTTCTCCATTCCAAAATGCTATCCACCTACCATGTTTTTTATCGCTCATTTCATGTACTCCTTACCATTTTAGATGTTTAATTTATTCCATATTTGTCAATATTTCTAGATTCTTATTATCTTGGATTAATTGTCAATTAAAATTTACAATTTATATTTTATCTTCTTAATATTACTCCATCCTTACAGTAAGCCAGTTAATTATCTTGAAAAAAAAAGATATAAATTTTAGTTTTTTCTTGTTTATTTTTGTTATAATTCCATGTAAACACTTCATATTCCTTAAGTTTTTCCAATATGGTTGAATCTGTTAAATTCAAATTATTTTAGCTTTCCTATATCATTAAAAAATATTTATTATTAGAAAAAATATTGCTAAATAATTGAAAATTAATATGAATTTATATATAAATCACATTTTCTATGTATCCTAATGGTTTAATTATCTTTCGATTATATTAAAAATAATAAGTTATAGAAATTATTAGGTCTTTAACAAATAAGATTGAATATATTTATATTTTGATAATAAAAATATACAATTAAATATTTTTTTGAAATATTGAAAAAAAATTTGATCATTTTAATTTTTCTAGATATTGATCTAAATTAGATAAAAATGAACACTTTTTATCTATTTTTAATAAATTCAATTTTATAATTAGATATAATTACCCAATTCATTAAGACTTAAAAGAAAATTAGAATTGTAAATAAATGATTATTTTAATAGTAATAATGAAATATTTTTCTGGTCAAAATTAAATAACATATTATTTATATTGTTTATCAATTTGATGATAATAAGTATACACATATTAGTAAAATTATTAGATTATTGATAATTCACAAACTTTAATCATTTTTCATCATACCTTTTTATATTTTCAAATATATTTAAATAATTTTTTGCATTTGTATTAATAGAACTCAATTATATAAAGCTTTTATACTCTTGCTAAATTTCTTTTAAAATTTAATCTAAGAGATGATTTAAATTATTCTTTTATTAATCAATCTAATAGTTAATACATGGATTAAAATTTACTTCTAATTTCAGATAGGAATCAAAACTTATTTCAACTTTTTGATTAGAATTCTATATAACTTATCTTTCTACTTTTTTTTAAAATGAAATCTTTAATACATCTTTGTTCTTATTTTAAAGACATTTAAAAATCAGTCTTTTTCTCCATATTAGTAAAACATATATATTTAACAAGCCTAAAAAAATCAAATTTAATTAAAATATGAAGAATATCAAACAGAATATATTATCGGTAAACTTTACTAACTATTTGTGCTACTTCATTAAATTTAATCATTATTATAATAATTAGAATAGATAGAAATAAATATTAAATAGCTTTTTATATAATAACTTGCTTATCAAGAAAGTAGGAACTGTAACAATAATTCTAGTATTATGTTTATAAAAATGCTTTGAGTTAATTAATAAATTAAAAGCGTATCAACAATATAAAGATAATACAATAATAAGATACTATTCCCAACTATAATATAAGAAAATTATTAATTAGCAACAATAATGCAAAACCTAACGATGAAAATTTAATAGTTTATAAATATATATCTACTTTAATAAACAAGGAATTTAAATAAGAATAAATGATTACATTATTTTTAATAACAATTTTTGAAGAATTATTTATTTCTCATTTATATCATTGATTATCAAAAATTGTATTTCATTCTTTTTATGAAATCAAAAATTTGAATTATGGTTAATCTTCTTAATATTGGGTTGTGTTTGGGATATTCATTTGAATTTGACTATGATTATAGAATATATTTACTCTTTATTATTAAAGCGCTTTTTTAGGATTGTTTAAAATCTCATTTTGTTGAAATTCCTTTTTATTCTATCCTATTTTTATTTCCATAAATTTAGTTTATTTGTAAATTTGAAAATTAAGTTTTATTTAGGTGATAATTTAGTTAAAATTACTATTAAAAGCATGATAAACTATTCTTTGTATTTTTAATAATAAACTTAGAGAATTTTAAAAATATATGGATAGCTAAATCCTATACTTAGTAAGATTATAACAATTTACAAAACCCCTGCCGAGAAATTATCTGATTCTTATTCAGAATTATATTTTACTGCAGCTAAGATTATGGCTAATGAACATAATTACCCTGTTTAAAGATCTAATTTGTTTAATTTTTCATATATGTATGGTTGATATTAATATGTCATAAATTAGTAGATCATTAAACATACTACAATTAAGAATCCTTTCAACAATACATTTGTTTCAAAATAAATCAATATAATAATGATTGTAGTTTTCTTCCATAATTTTATCCATTCCCAAAAAAACCTATTCTTTCTATATTCATTAATCAAATAACCAATATGTCTTCTAAATTTTATTTTGTTAAATTATTCCTTATTAAAGTACAAAAAACAAAGTAATACTATTGGTAAAATAAATCCTAATATCATTGAGATTGGTATTGCAAATTTAACTATCCACGAGTAATGATGTTAAGTTTAAAAGAGTAATGACACATCTCCTTAAACATAATCAATATTTGAAATTTATCTTTTAGCCACTATTGATAAAAGCCTTAATTTATTATAATTATTTACTGATTTATAATGGCTGCAAAGTTTTATATATACAAATAAAGTAAAGTAATTGAAAGTATATTATTGTGGAATTTAACTTTTGTTATTATTGAAAAAATTGATATTCCTGATTAAATGATTAAAATTAAAATAATGATTAAAGTTATCATCACTATTACTCTACTATATATTAATTCCATTTTAAATGATTAAATAATTTAACAGTCTAAATTACGAGTCATAAAATAAGATGTATCACTCATCTTGTTAACAAAGATAAATGAAAAAGAAAATTAAATGTTAAAAGTAAAAATTAAAGAAAATATCCATAAATAATTAAGATAAAGTTTCAATAAAATACTCTCTTGATCTAAAAAATAATATATTAATACTTACCAAAATTTAATTTAAATAGTATATTTGAAAATTTTTGATTTATTTTTAATTACATAAATGCTTAATTTGTTTTTTCTACACTCCTTAACGTTATCAATGTTGAAATAATAGCCCTAAAAATAAAATAAATTAAATACCAAAGTGCAATCAAAATTACAGATAAAATATTAGCAGAATTATAATTACAATTTAAACATGATATATTTTGATCATTTTTAAAATAATACCCATCTCCTCTTATATTATATTTATCGCACTCTTCACATAATCCTCCAATATGCCCAATTATGCATGTATCATCCCCTACAGTCCAACCACCTTTACATGACTATAGACTTTTGAAACAATCAACAATAATGTCTGATAAATAATGTGGTCTCCAAAAACCTAGTTTCAAATTTATATTATTAGAAGTAATGGCTTCAAATTTTGACTTATCAAAAATTGAACATTTTGTAGCATTATATGTAACAGAATAGAATCCTTAGTTATCTTAACAAGTTGAACAACCATTTTAATGATAAAATTCGCCTAATTAGCAAACTAAACCCTTTATTATAATATCATATTATAATTCTTCAGTATAATTTTTGGCTTTACAAAAAGCTGAAATTTTAAAGACAAGGGCACTTTGATTATAAGGATTCATACTAAAAATTAATGTTCCTAAATTAAAATTATTTGTAATTTAATTAAATTCAATCAATGAAATATTAGTTGATCCCAATTTTTCTAAAGTATTGATGTCAAATGTTGATTAGACTATTAAGCAACTTGAATCAGAAAAATTTAATAATTGTTCATTAAATCTATTTTTAAAAGAAATAGAAAATTCTGTTATATAGGAAATATATTTCAAATATTTTGGATAGTATATTTAATATTTTAATATCTCTTAATTACTTGGTATCATTAATTAATTTGCCATAAATGATTTACCTTATTCAATAATTCTATATGGATTTAATTTTAATTAGCTTATTTGCTTTTATTCAATTATTTATTTATTTGAAAGCAAAGTCTAGAAATTAATTGATAAATCTAAATGAGAGGGTAATTCTTAAAGATTATTTGTCTATAGTTAAGCTTAATTAAGAACTAGAAGAGATTTATGAAAATTTATTTAATTTAAAGTGCTATCTCCATTTAAATAGATTCCTCCACCTTCTCTTGCTTTGTTATTTGATATAATAGTGAATTTTATCTAAAACTCATCACTTGTAAGATCTAAAAATAATCCACCTCCTATTAAAATAGCAGTGTTATTTAAAATCTTTAAGTTTTGTAAAATTGTCTTAACATTTATTGAACTTAATGCTATTCCTTAACTGCCTGAATTATTAATAAAAAAAGAATTAAAGACAAATAATTTTCCTTTAGTTTTTTGATCAGATGAAGCAGTAATACATCCAAATGAATTGATAATATTTCCAATACATAAAAATTCCTCAATCCTTATTTAAGTAAAGTCAACCAATTATAGGAATATTAGACCATTTTTACAAAATTAGCATTCGTGATTATTTAGAATTATCTATTTCAAATATATTTTAGTTTCATTATTTGAACAATTAATTTCAAAAATTGACCCATTTTAAGTTGAATAAAATTAAATTTATTCAAAATTATTAAATAATTTTTCTATCTATTGATTCTTATTCAATTGTGATACAAGTTTTTATATTTTACAACTTTTATAGTCAATAAAAAAATTTGGATAAATAATCTAAAATTTATAATTCTTATTATTAAAAATATTGATATGTTGAATATGTACATTATGAATTTGCATTAATGACTTAAATTATACATCTTATTCAATATGAATCAATTTCAAATTATAAAATATTGTAACTTCATCAAAATTAATATCAAATAACAATAATTTCACACAATTTATTAACTTAAAAATAGAGGATTGAACAATCCCATTAAATGTTAATTTTTTGATTTTTAAATTACAACCTAAAATATTAAATATGGCATTATCTTATGTAATTTTTGATAATGTTATTAGATCTAATAATTCTAGTTATGAATTGAAGAATAATAGATCTTATTCATTTTATTCAATCAGAATATTTTCAATACTCACTTAATTTTAATTAGCATTTTCAGGATTAAATAAAAATGCTACAAATGAATTTTTTAAAGAAAAACAATTCAAAATTTGGCCATTTTTTATACTGATGTCATTTTTTATATCTGAAGATTAAATAGACAGTATAGATGGAGCCAATTTATTGTATAAGTTTTTTAAAGTAAAATTTTATATTATTAAAGTTAAATAACTATTTTTAGAATTAATACTAATTGATCCTTCTCTCTCAGAATTTAAGAATAAATTATTTTAACAATTAGATATGTATAAATTACTAAGAGTGACAAATCCGTTTCCTTTAGTGATGATATTTAAAGCAAAGCTACTTTCTGCGATAATGTATAAAAATAGACTATTTTCTATAGTGAATGTATCAGCATAAATTTATAATGCTCCTCCATTATTTTAAAATGAAAGTACTTATTAAATCATATAATTAACTTCAATTTCATTAAGATTATCTTGTAATTAAAGTTCATAAAATTCATTCCAGAATTCCTTTCTAATATAATTATGATTGGATATTTTAATTGAAATGATTGTTATTTAATTAGAACTAATTTTTATGAAAGAATTAGAAGAATTTGTTAATGAATTTTCTAAACATTTAATATCTTAAATTAGAACATAACTATGTAATGAACTAATAAACAAAAGACTTGCAGAATTTAATGTCAGATCTACCATGTATTAATGGTAAGAATTTTCCGAAAAGAATATATTTTGTAAATTAATTTGTTAAACTTTTTCTGAAAATATTGAAATAATTGAAAAAACATTACCTTAATTAGTTCTCAATAAAATATTTCTAGTTACATTTACATTTTCAATAAAAATTTTTTCAGTTTTTTATGTACCAATTTCTACATTTGATAGAATTTCAATAAGGGATTAATCCATAGAGATTTAATTCTTTAAAATTATAAAACTCATATATATGCTTTAGAATCCCTGCAAAAATAATAATTTTGAATGAAATTATTGGTTAATCAGACAATATTATTGAAGAGGAATTCTATGCTGTTATAATTCATTTTCAATAGTAATATTCTCAATATTAATTGTAGTGATGTTAAATAAAGAAAAATAGCGAAGGTTGATAGTATTTAGTAGAAATACATTCTATATTTTAAGAATGGAAGAACTGAGTTAAAATAAATACTCTTGAATATCCATTTAAGGATTAATATTATCTTTAAAATCAAGATTTTTTAATTCAATTAAATAAGGTATTTTTATTTCATTTATAACAAGTACTTAAAAGTTTTGGAAAATATTTGAGATTACTTGAATCTCATTAATTATTAGTTTATTTTCATATGAATTTGAGAATAACTTTTCAATCAAAATAGATTCAATAAAAAAATTTTACTTAATTAATAAATTAAAGATTGAGAAATCATTGCTAATTCTTAATAACTATGAATTTTCTATTTTGTTTTCTATCATTTAAAAAAATAAGATTGAAAGTTTATTTTTATCATAACTTTATATAAATTAAGAATTGTTAAATTAAGAATTCTTGATTGTGATTGATTAAATAATAATTGTAGATTAGTAATCTATATCCTAATTAAAACTAAATAATAAAGAATTATAAAATTAACATTAATCAATAAAAAGGTTTTGTATTACTAATTTTTTTTAAGTCGTTTTGAAAGAAAACAAAACTGTATTATTAAAAGTACAATTGGTCAAAAAAAATAAATCTATTAAAATATCTTCATTTAAATTTGTGGAATTTACCTTGAAAATAATAATATTATTAAAATTGGCATCAAAAATAGATATATTATACATATGAAATATTTAGTAGACATCAAATTAGATTTTAAACTCTGTTGAACTTAATTTATTTGAATAAAAACTAGTGTTTTATATTATAAAATCTATTGGCATACCTCTATTAAAAAATATAAATTTCAAAACATCTTTTATCTTAATTTATAAATTACTAAATTCAACTTAATCAAAATTAGAAAAATTTAAAGTATTATCAAGAGCTAAAGGTAATAGAATTCCAGTAAATTATAATTTAATTATTTGAAGTGAAAATATTGTTGTTTTCAAATTATTTATTATCTCTCTCCCTCCGCAAGGATTTTATAATTACATTTTAAGTATGAATTGTTAAAGTCCAATTTAGTTAAAGTATGAGGAATCAAGATTATTTAATTCAAATATAGTAGAATCACCACTACAAAGCCAAAGAACCTAAAGATATCTATTATTGATTACTGGATATTCATAAGCTTTTTATATTTCATCACTATAACTATATTAAGCAATTTAAAGATATGGGTCCACAAATACATTGGAATTTTGGATACTTTATACACAATAGGTAGTATATTAAATATTGGTTTCATTGATTATGAAATAAGGGTTTATATTCTAAAATAGTAAATAAACTATACCAAAATACTATCAATAGATCTTTCTTGGCATACCAAACATAATGGTGGACATACTATACATTTTCCATTATCTTAAACTCTATAAGGTTATTGATAATAATTTAAAGAGCATAAAGTACAAGTAAATTTATTTAAACTATCTTATATTAGACATTTCTAACAATTTTTATCGCAGTATTTCATGCATTTCTGTCCTATTATTTCATAACCATCAAGACATTCAACAGAGAAATTAATCAATCTATTAATTGAATTATAAATTCCAGGTGTATTTTACATAAATAATATTGTAAAGCTCTAAACAAGCATTGACCAAATATTAGAATCAGGCCATAAAACACCATATTTTGTATTTGGTAAATTCTAATTTAATTAACAAATTCCTGTATTTAAAGATGATGAATATCCTTCTTCACAAATAATACATTTTTGAATATATTAAGGGGTTTAAACACATTATTTACATTAATATAATATATTTTGGCAATTTGATATTTCAGGAGCAACAGTAAAATCATTAATTGATGACAATGTGCATAATTCTTCATTTTATTAATTAATATATGATCTTAAACAATTATTTAATTTTGTCTATTAATAAATACATTATCCTATAGTAAAATCAAATATATATCCTTTTAGACATTCAGCACATCCAATCAATATTTCTTCTTCAATTGTACTAAATTATTATTTTATAAATAATGTGTTTTTCTTATGATCATTTCTTAAATATTCAAAACAAAAACGACAATTCTAAATAGGACATAAAATACAAATGTTATTAAAATTAATATAATTTGGACTATCACATATTTATTATTTTGTATTTTGAATTGAGTAAAATTAACAAATACCATCCTTCAAAACATAATTCATTCTACATTGAGTGCATTATGGTTAAGATATATTTATTTCACAATTTTAACAATTTTCAAAAAAGAAACAAGAAAATCTATCTTATGTATTTTGATATTCTGTTGATTCAAAATTGCAGTTCTAACAGAAGGAATAAACACGATTTTGAGTAATCATATAATCTTAATAAATATTTGGAATGCTATCACAATGTTCACATACTTTTAATTCCATTCCATCAAAAGTATAATATACTTTTTCATAATCAATTTTTATATAAGGAGATTAAGTATTATCTGTTACGAAATCATATTAACAATATGGATTGTATATCCAAGTTTTTGGATTTATAATACAATCAACACATTTAATTAAATTATCTCTTATTGTAGAAGGACTAAGATAATATTATATAATAATACCATTTCCAACAATTATTTTCAAATTCAAAATAACCATATGAACACTTGAATTCTTATTTGATTTTTTCAATAATATTTATTCCATATGTAGAATAATCTATGCATTAATTATCTAAATCTGTTGTTCCATAAATACAAAGACAAACTTTATACTCCTCTAAATATATTCTATTTTAAGAATAATCACAAGTCAAACAGTCATGTTTAGTTGGACCATCACACTCCAAACAAGAAAAATGACATGATTTATATGAATTCTGACTTTTTTCACAATTGAAAAACATCATATTTACAATATCAAATGTTAAATAATTCTAAGTTTACTTTAAATTACCATAAGATAATTAATATTGTACTTAACTAAATTAATTCACAAAACTTTCAAAATTATATTCAAAGATTTAGAATCCCTTGAAAAATTGTATTTAAATTTATATTAACTTTTTTGTTTTAATAACTCTTACAATATGCCATAATTGAATATTTATATCTATATTGAATATTTTAGTGATTAAATAAGGTTTATTTTCAAAGTTAATATTTACAGTTGGTAAAATATAACTATAAGTTGTTATAACAATTTAATTTATATTTTTTGTCAATTTATAAAATAATTAAAAGGTTGATAAGTTTTCATCTTATAATTTTGGATTTTGAATATTTGTTGATATTCTAATAAGTTGATAATCAATCTCTTATATAAAAATATTTCTTTCTTTAATTCTAATCCATGTCTAAAACAAATATGAATCACAATTTAGATTTTGTGAAATAAATTAATATTTATCTAATTCATTAATAATTGAATCTGAAATTTTTGTAATTATATTTTAAATACATTTGCATGGTTTCTAAGCTTATATAATAAGCTTTTATAAATAAGAAATCTAGCAATTTTAGATATTACCTGAAGAATATGAAGTTAATTATATCATTCTTCCTGGAAAATAAGACATCTTTTATAATAATTAAGTATATAGAACTTGATTACTATTTATTAATAAATCTCCTCCATAAATAAATTCCAAATCTCTATCTAAATATGGATATTCAATCTAAATATCTTGAATGTATAACAATTTCTCATTCTATTGAATGTATAATTATATTTTTTTATCAGGTAAATTTATAATTAAACCAAAAAAATACCAAAAATTTTCATATTCTTCTGTGTTTAATTAAAAAGAATATTTGTAAATATTACCATCACTTCCAATAAATGATACTAATTTCTTAATTGTTGATTCTTTTTAATCTATACAATCATAATATACAAAGTTTATTTGATTAGTTAATAATCCTATGGCGCTATGAATATGATAGCAGTTGCTATCTAGTATTCCTATCTCCCCAATTTAAGTAATATTACTAAGAGGAGTGTATTGAGTAAAGATTCCATACTAATAACAATATGCAGTATTAGGGATTGTTGTATAATTAAAAAGTTCCTTCCTTAATTAATATTGAGTGTTAAAATTTATTGTAGCTTAGCCTTTTATCTAACATAAGTAAGAGAAAAAAAGCAAATTATGAAAATACACCAACAACATAAATATATATATGTTTAATTAATAAAAATCATGAATATACAAAAATTTAAATAGAAGATTTTGGTAAATGAAGAAATATATTTCATCAGACTTTGGTATGATTAAAAAAAAAAAGTTAAGATATCTATTTATTTAATTCAATAAGGAATACTATATTAAAATCGAAAAACGCATTTTTTAATTAATTTATTAATTGCAACTTAATACTGTTTAATTCTTATATCTATATTTTGTTAATAGGACAACAAACTATAAAAACAAATTATTTTCATATAAAACATTAAAATAACATAACTTTTTATTTTAAACAAGTAATCTATTTACTATCTAACTTAAATTTAAGAAATATATATTTCAAAATAATAGCTTAGAAGAAAAGAAATAATTAATTATTACTTTAATAAATTGACTTCATCATATTAATCCATAAATTTATTTTTAATTAATCAAATAATCAAAAAAAGATGACAAATAGAATATAAATTATATCAAAGAACTCATATACCTTTGTTATATCACCTTTAAAGTATGATTAAGAATTAGAATGCTAATAATTGTTAATTTTACTCTTGTTTCTAAAAAAGTAATTCAAAATAAATCAAAGTTTCATTTTTAAAAAGGGCCATAATAGTACTTCCGATGAATAACAATCATATAGATTTAGGATGAATAGAATGCAATATTTATAAGAAGTACCCTAGCTGAATTTTATTAATATCGATTTCTCTTTATATAGCACTAATTGCTTATAATTTTATTAAATAAATAACCTTTCTTCTTTTGAAGTTATTTTATAACAAAATCATAAAATATATAGTCGAAATTCTAATTTTCAAAAGAATTTTATGATGTTTTAAGAAGGCAATCATTATCAAATTTGAATCAATAAGTAGGAACATGATTTGAGTGTGAAATATTTCTTATATCAATATTTTTACATTTTAATTTCTTAGACAATTTAATAGACAAATATTGCATTGCCTTTATCATCTATAGATATATATCTTACTATATGTTAAGTATGTATTAAACCTTATTTCACAAATATTTAATAAATCTAAAAATGTTAAATATTGATACAAATAATTATCGAAGGGTTAAAAAAACAAACTTATAATAATTAATTGATTTTATTAATTTTTACTTTATATTTCATATATTTTTCTCTGGTGGCAAGATTAAGAGAAATTTTGCAATTATTTTAAAATATTTAGCTAATAAAATTCATTTTTATTAATATTTTAAATACCTTTGATGAATAATTAATATATGAGAAAATATTATCATCCTCCACTCCTCTTATTTAAGACTATTTAAACTTTGTTGTTCATAAAATATTAAGAAAGTTATTGCTAATGGATGATAATGATCTTCTATCAGATATATTTTTTATTCTATCAAAAATATAAGTAATTCTCTCTAAGAGTAATTGTCAACTCTTAAATCAATGAAATTTTATTGCTTTCAAATTAATTACCTATAGTTTTAAAACCAAATTTCTCCTTATATTTTCTAATATATTTATGTTATGGAATTCATTATCTTTAATTTCCATAAAAGATTTAGCGGTTATTTTCGTATTTTATGGCTGATATTTTTCATTCTATTCAAATAGATGTAATTGATTTAAACATAATAAAGTATTTTATGTGGGGATTTATTGTTGAGAGTGGATTTCACTAATTTCTGTGATTTCAATAATAAAGATATTTGCGAATTATCTCATATCCTCAATTTGAAAATACAAATTATTTAGTGTCATATGATGGTAAGTTATTTGAATGAAGCTTATAAATAATATTTAGAATCACATGAAACATATGAATGAGCTATTACATTATATAAAATAATATAACTTAGCAAGATACTATCAAAAAATTCAAGAAAATGCAAATTTACAAGAAAATAATTAATCAATACAAAAAAAGCTAATCTAATATAAATTAAATGTAGATTAGGAAGAAAACATCAAAAAAGATATGGAATCTTAAGATAAATTATAGAGATAAGAAAATATTTTACATAAAAGGTTTAATAGGATGAAAATAGATGTAATGGAAAAGATAGAGAAGAAATAAAGAAGTAGATTGAAATTATAGAAAATCAAATAAAAAATAAGAATACTTAGTAAAAATAAGAGCTAATTAGAAAGATTATTAAGGTATAAAAGAGATTATTAATAACAGATAATATTNAATCTAAAAATGTTAAATATTGATACAAATAATTATCGAAGGGTTAAAAAAACAAACTTATAATAATTAATTGATTTTATTAATTTTTACTTTATATTTCATATATTTTTCTCTGGTGGCAAGATTAAGAGAAATTTTGCAATTATTTTAAAATATTTAGCTAATAAAATTCATTTTTATTAATATTTTAAATACCTTTGATGAATAATTAATATATGAGAAAATATTATCATCCTCCACTCCTCTTATTTAAGACTATTTAAACTTTGTTGTTCATAAAATATTAAGAAAGTTATTGCTAATGGATGATAATGATCTTCTATCAGATATATTTTTTATTCTATCAAAAATATAAGTAATTCTCTCTAAGAGTAATTGTCAACTCTTAAATCAATGAAATTTTATTGCTTTCAAATTAATTACCTATAGTTTTAAAACCAAATTTCTCCTTATATTTTCTAATATATTTATGTTATGGAATTCATTATCTTTAATTTCCATAAAAGATTTAGCGGTTATTTTCGTATTTTATGGCTGATATTTTTCATTCTATTCAAATAGATGTAATTGATTTAAACATAATAAAGTATTTTATGTGGGGATTTATTGTTGAGAGTGGATTTCACTAATTTCTGTGATTTCAATAATAAAGATATTTGCGAATTATCTCATATCCTCAATTTGAAAATACAAATTATTTAGTGTCATATGATGGTAAGTTATTTGAATGAAGCTTATAAATAATATTTAGAATCACATGAAACATATGAATGAGCTATTACATTATATAAAATAATATAACTTAGCAAGATACTATCAAAAAATTCAAGAAAATGCAAATTTACAAGAAAATAATTAATCAATACAAAAAAAGCTAATCTAATATAAATTAAATGTAGATTAGGAAGAAAACATCAAAAAAGATATGGAATCTTAAGATAAATTATAGAGATAAGAAAATATTTTACATAAAAGGTTTAATAGGATGAAAATAGATGTAATGGAAAAGATAGAGAAGAAATAAAGAAGTAGATTGAAATTATAGAAAATCAAATAAAAAATAAGAATACTTAGTAAAAATAAGAGCTAATTAGAAAGATTATTAAGGTATAAAAGAGATTATTAATAACAGATAATATTATAAGATTAAAATAAATGTCTTTAAAAAAATGATAAAATGAGTAAATACTGTATCAAAACTTACACTCTCAAAATTTTTGTTTGGAAGTTTAAGTATATTATTATACAAAATTTATCTATGTAAGTTTGATAAAAAAAGAACCATTAATGATTTTGATTTTCTTTTTGTAAGAAAAAAAGAGAATTTTTGGAAATCATTGTGCTTTCCAGAATCAGTGAGTTTAAGAGTTTCTCATTACATAACTTTTAATCTATTTTGAAAATTAAATAGTATGTCGATTTACTACATTTAGACTAGGCTTAACTTAATACTTAAAGTTTAAAAACAAAAAGGAAGATGATGATCTAATAAAATTAAAGAGAGGAAAGAAAAATTATTTGAGAAATAATTTAAGATGCCTATTGAAAATTATTAATGGATTAGAGATCGAGCAATATTTGCATCTAAAGATAATGAAATATGGCAAATCCATATATGATACTTAATGATAGTGTGTGGAACGGTCTTTTGTCTAATAGTTAATTCAGCTGCTTAAACAGGAGTATGTTTGTAAAACTTTGAGACATAGTTTTTCTAATTTAAATTGATATAATTAGACTTTCCTCAAAGAAAAGCATTGATTGCTTTTTTCTTGACTTGTTATTTTCTCTTAATTTGATCTTATACATTATTGGATATTTTGTTTCTGCTCTTTAAATTTAAGAACTTTTGATTTTATCCCATTTATACCCTGAATTGTCAAGCCGTATGAAAAGATATTCAAAAGACTATGAGTAATGATCAACCTTTAAAAAGCAGAGAGATCATCTTGAGCTGTGTAAAAAGTCTAAAAGAGTCTCTGAAATAAAGGCAATCAATTCTCAGAATTCTATGAAAGAAGGGAGCTCCTGGATTCATCTATACATTATAGATATAATTAAGATAATACTAATTACAATTTTTGTTGTTTAAAGAAGAGAAGTGTTAAAATAGTAAAATGAATTATTATAAAAATTAACAAAGCATATAGAATATTTTTAAACAAAAAGGCCTTAATATTCTATTTATATTTAGAGACTTTAAATCAAAAAATATTATTAAATTTAATTTATCTTTTAATGGATGAGCGATAAAATCCTGAAATTTTAATAATAATATATAGTAAAATTATTAAATGTTAAATTAAAGAGAATAATTGTCTGAAAAATTATCTACAATTTGAACTTTCAAATAAATATAATGGTTTTGTTCATTTTTAAATCCCTAATTCTCAAAAAATGCAAATCATTTTCTTAATATTTCAGTCTAAATCACATTATGGATTTTCATTTTGAGAGCTCTAAAATATTACTAATTAATTTCATGCTTATTCTAATTTCACATTTCATTTGAATTCCACATTTAAAAATTTAGTCCTTAATAGATGAGTTTGTGTTCAATCATGAGAATTTATACTTATATCCCCCCTCTTATTATATTAATTAGTACTTATTCAATATTTATATATTGATTCTATTATATACTGATAGTAGATCTCTGAATATTCCTTTCAATTTCTCTTCTTATTAGTTGATACGACCTTTTGATTAAATTATTTTTTTACAGTTTATTAAAGTACAAACTCAATTTCTTAGTTGAGTTTTTCATTAAATTTATTATTATATTAAAATGGCACATCCATTTCTTTCTTTTTCTTTTATCTAATTTGTATTATTTCAAATAAAAATCTGATTTAACTTTCTTATAAGCCTTTTAATCATTTAATCAAAATCCAGTTTGAAATTTATGTTCATTCTCCTCACCTCAAGATTAAACTTAAAATATTAAATTCAAAGAATTAATCTTCAATTAACAGTATATATAATCTCCTTATTTTAAGTTGCATTCCATAACAATTTTTTAATGTCTCTTCATCTTCTAATGTAGCAACCTAATACTCTTTGAATTACAAGTATGTTACACAGTCTTTAAGACAATATAAATACAATTACCATCATGTATTTTCAGAAAAATCTTCATTCACTAAAAATATGTTTCTATTACAGTTATTCCAACAGAAAAATAAATTTGACCTGATAAAAGCCATCTAATCATTAAAAATTAATTACTTCATGAAGTTAATTTATAATCTTAATATGGTTATTTTCATGCTAATTAATAATCAAGAATGAATTCAAAATCCAATGTTTATATATAAAACTATAAAATGGCAATAAAGAATTTCCCTAGATTTAGTGGATGCTATACTATCTTTATTTAACTCTTTTGCCTTAACAGAGTGATTAGATATCAATATTTCTACAGGGATGATTAGTAGACTATAATTTATTATTATTGATTAATAAAAAATTAATATTGGTAGACATTAAATATTTATTTTAAGTATGTTTATTAATGCTTACATCCATATGATTAAGTCTAATATCCATTTTACATCAACTATTCTTCAAAATTCAACTTTTTTCATTTGCCTATTCAAAATGGTCTTATAGGTAGATAATATTATTCCAGTCTTGAGTCTTGACTAATTTTAATCTCTAAATTTAATAATTATCAGTTTCTGAACATTTATAACTAGGTGCTACACCTAAATCAATAGAATCAATTGTCATAAATAGATATCCATGAAATAAAATAATTATTGATTTTAGCAGGATTTTCTATATTTAAAACCAAACAATAATTATATATTCAAATCCCATCCATTTATTAAGAAATCTCTACAAATTTACATATCCTCAAGCATTTCAAAATAGTAGAATATTTATTGAGATTTCAAGTATTTGATGAAAATACATAAGCAAGCGAATGGATTAAAGAGAAAAATTAATGAAGAATTTAATATTTAAATCAATTAATGTAATGATTTCAAATTTCCATTTTCAAAGTATGGCGATTTATAACATACTACTTAAGAATTAAGCTACTAAAAAGTTTATTTGATTTTCCTAAAGCCTGTTTTGCCTCAATTACCATTAATAAGAAATCTTATTCAAGTATGGTCTTTTTTTAACATAAATATGTAAGATACTATTTTGATTTATGGTATAAGAATGAAAAAAAGATTAATAGAAATATATTATTTTTTTAAGAAAATAAGATAATGAATTGCATAAATGAATAGAAAGATGATTTGTATAAGGTTTTAGCTTTATCTAAAACTATTGATGAATAAACATTCAGTTTGCTAATTGAAACTTTTCGAAAAGAAAAAATTTCAGATTGTCTCTAATATTTTTCAAAAGATGGCAATTAAAAGAAATTAGGATAGTGCATTGATAAGTGTTAGATGACAATTTAAGGAAAAAATCACATTAAATAAGCTATTCATATTATTAAATAAATAAAACATCATGACTTTAATGAAAATAATTATACCTCAGAATAATTTGTAGAAAGGAAACAAGATTTAATTAGAAAAATAAAACAAGAAAAATATATTATTTAATTTTTGAAATTTCTTGTTCATCTCACTGCTATTGATAACTAATTCATATAATGCGGATCAAATTCATTTAATTTATTAGTAGAAATGAAGGTTGATTTAACTAATCAATCTTTTGAAAATATTAAAATTAAAAATACTTCATTAATGGGAGCCAATTTTGCCAAATGTAATTTTAATGGATCTCAATTTGAAAATATAAATATTAGTGGAATTAATTTAAATGGGGCATAACTATTTAACTGTAAATGGAGAAATTTAAGGATAAATGATCTATATAAATCTGATGGTCATAGTAAATGGGTTTCATCAGTATGCTTTTCTCCTGATGGTGAAACATTAGCATCTGGTAGTGGAGATAAGTCCATCCGTATATGGGATGCTAAGACAGGCCGATAAAAAGCTATATTGGAGGGTCATCGCAGCGCAATCTAATCAGTATGCTTCTCTCCTGATGGAACAACTTTAGCATCTAGTAGTATAGACAATTCTATTCGTTTATGGGATTTTAAGACAGGACAGTAAAAAGCTAAATTGGATGGCCATAGTAGTTCAGTCTGGTCTGTATGCTTTTCTCCTGATGGAACAACTTTGGCATCTACTAGTATAGATTAATCTATACGTTTATGGGATGCTAAGACAAGAAAAAAAAAATATAAATTAATTGATAACGATGGTCCTGTCTATTCAGCATGCTTCTCCCCTAATGGATTAACATTAGCATCTGGTAGTTGGGATAATTCTGTTTGCTTATGGGATGTTGAGACAAGACAATAAAAGTCAAAGTTAGAAGGTCATAGTTATGCAGTCAATTCAGTATCCTTCTCTTCTAATGGATTAACATTAGCATCTGGTAGTGGAGATAATTCTATTTACTTATGGAATGTTAATACAGGACAATAATAATCAAAATTGGATGGTCATAGTGACTTTGTCAATTAAGTATGCTTCTCCCCTGATTGTACTACATTAGCATCTGGTAGTGGAGACAAATCTATTCATTTATGGGATGTGATGACAGGACAACTAAAATGTAAATTAGAAGGTCATAGCGGAAGAGTCCTATCAGTTTGCTTTTCTCCTGATGGAACTAAATTAGCATCAAGTAGTTATGATAAGTCCATCCGTATATGGGATATAAAGGCAGGAAAAAGTACTTAATTTTCAGAACGAAGTATTTATTTTAAATATATATAGTGAACACTAATATTACTATTCTTCTTATATCATAATAAATTACTTTATCAGCTTAAGGAGCTTAAATCTATAAAGGAGAGTTTATGAGTTATTAAGGTGTAGATTTAAGAACATTTTTGGAATAAAGAGGAGGCTATTTAATCGAAAGTTTAGATGATTTTTCTTCACATCCTGTGCAAATTTGATAATTTTTAACAGTATTATATATTTAAAATATTTATTTTGTTACTGCTTTGATGATTTTTCACTATTCCGCATGAAGATTTAAAAAAAGTTCCTAAATTTAGATAGAATATCCCTAAGACCTAATTTAATTCCAATTTATTAGAATTAGTTTTAAAATCAACTCCTTTATTTTTTTCAATATCTTCTTAAGTAAAATGAATTATATAATTTTATATTTAATATTACCTATTCTTNTGCTAAGACAGGCCGATAAAAAGCTATATTGGAGGGTCATCGCAGCGCAATCTAATCAGTATGCTTCTCTCCTGATGGAACAACTTTAGCATCTAGTAGTATAGACAATTCTATTCGTTTATGGGATTTTAAGACAGGACAGTAAAAAGCTAAATTGGATGGCCATAGTAGTTCAGTCTGGTCTGTATGCTTTTCTCCTGATGGAACAACTTTGGCATCTACTAGTATAGATTAATCTATACGTTTATGGGATGCTAAGACAAGAAAAAAAAAATATAAATTAATTGATAACGATGGTCCTGTCTATTCAGCATGCTTCTCCCCTAATGGATTAACATTAGCATCTGGTAGTTGGGATAATTCTGTTTGCTTATGGGATGTTGAGACAAGACAATAAAAGTCAAAGTTAGAAGGTCATAGTTATGCAGTCAATTCAGTATCCTTCTCTTCTAATGGATTAACATTAGCATCTGGTAGTGGAGATAATTCTATTTACTTATGGAATGTTAATACAGGACAATAATAATCAAAATTGGATGGTCATAGTGACTTTGTCAATTAAGTATGCTTCTCCCCTGATTGTACTACATTAGCATCTGGTAGTGGAGACAAATCTATTCATTTATGGGATGTGATGACAGGACAACTAAAATGTAAATTAGAAGGTCATAGCGGAAGAGTCCTATCAGTTTGCTTTTCTCCTGATGGAACTAAATTAGCATCAAGTAGTTATGATAAGTCCATCCGTATATGGGATATAAAGGCAGGAAAAAGTACTTAATTTTCAGAACGAAGTATTTATTTTAAATATATATAGTGAACACTAATATTACTATTCTTCTTATATCATAATAAATTACTTTATCAGCTTAAGGAGCTTAAATCTATAAAGGAGAGTTTATGAGTTATTAAGGTGTAGATTTAAGAACATTTTTGGAATAAAGAGGAGGCTATTTAATCGAAAGTTTAGATGATTTTTCTTCACATCCTGTGCAAATTTGATAATTTTTAACAGTATTATATATTTAAAATATTTATTTTGTTACTGCTTTGATGATTTTTCACTATTCCGCATGAAGATTTAAAAAAAGTTCCTAAATTTAGATAGAATATCCCTAAGACCTAATTTAATTCCAATTTATTAGAATTAGTTTTAAAATCAACTCCTTTATTTTTTTCAATATCTTCTTAAGTAAAATGAATTATATAATTTTATATTTAATATTACCTATTCTTAATTGTAATTTATAAAATTTTATTTACTCAGAAAATTAATGAGGGTCAGAATTAATAAAATTTGGTTGTTTACTGTATTGATCCTTCAGAAGTATTACTTTCTTAGATTAAATTTACTCAGAAGATGAATATTAAATATTGCTAGAAAACTAATTTTAATGAAAATTAAGTGTAGAATAACGCACATCAAGAATTTCAAATAATAGTGGCCAAAGCAAAGTCTAAATGAAAATGAAAAGCCAGTTTATCTAATTTTCAAATATTCAACCATCATATAAGAAAGATCCAAAAATAAATATTCTGCTATGATATTCAGAGAACTTAATTAGAAAATAAAGATGGAAAACAACATTTTTAGCAAGGAGTAAAAGAATTTTTATTGATATCACAATTTTTAACTTCTGGAACAAAATTAATATTATTTCCACACACACTTTTGCAAGATACATATAATTATAAATACCAATCATTTATTTCATTGTATTTTTCGATGCAAAAATGACTTCTTTAAAATTACCTAAACAACTATCTAATAGAATTAAATTACTATCTTCACATTCTTCTTCAGGATACACTAGAATTTCATCCAAGAACTATGAAAAACATTTATTTACTAACCATTTTTGCAATTTAAACACTAAGAATTTATTCAAGATTAATAGAAATAATCACAAAATAATTATAACAAAGAATACATGATTTTATATAGCATTTACATCATCACCTCATAAAGTTACCCTAACAATTAATTTTTTTGAGATATTAAGATTCATATGTCATTAAAGTAGGGAAAAAACATTTCTAATAAAATTGTTGCTATCATCAAGTTTTTCTGGTAAAATTTTTGAAGAATAAATTAAAAAGTATATTTTAAAATTTAACTATCATAAGAATGAGAGAAGATCAAATCTATATATAAATACTTTAAATATATTAATACTAATAATTTAAAATTATTTCATTTTTATTATATTTAATAAATTTCATATTTTCCTTTCTCTTGTCCCCAAAATATTAAATAATTACCATCATTTGATATTGTTCCATATATATATCCATTTGTGCAATCAAATTCTTAAACAATTTATAAATATCCACCTTATTGCACTTTGAGTATGCAAATGTGGAATATATGCCTTAAGAATATCAAATCCTTTTCTTTATTATAAATTATTGGAAAGAAACTTTGATTTACTACTCCTTAAGTATTTTTTTTAAATTAAACTTTCTTCTCAATACTCTCTTGATATTAATTATTTTTTAATTGATACAAGCAGACAATATTACTTTCAGAAGGTATAAAAATAAATTAATCTTCTTTTAAAAACTTAACATGAAGCCCAACGTATTGAATTGATTATTTAACAACTTACCAAAACTTCCATAAATTATTTGGCTCTTTCTACCAAATTATTATTTTTCCATCATGTCCACATGAAACCAATTTTTTCTCTGGTTCATTTAGACTTAATGATGTGACACTACTTTTGTGCTCTTATAAAATTTAAAGAAATCTTAATTCATTATTAACAAAATCTACTTACCATACTTCAATTGTCTCTTTTTCACTACTTATTATTAATTAATCCTCTTTTTATGTTAAAATCATACATAGAATCACTCCTGCACTATGATGATGTGCTTAAGAACTTTACCATTTATTATTATTTAATTATTTCCATAGTCTAATTTAACTATCATCAGATCCAGAAATAAAATAAGTTTTAATTTAACTATATATTAGACAATTAACATCTCCAATATGTTCTTGAAGTGATTGAATTAATTTGATCCTTCCATTATTAAAATTCCAAATTTCAATTTTATTTCCCTTTGTTGATACCACTATATTTCCTTTTGGATCAAAAACAATTGCATAACAAGGTTCTATTTAATAATTAGAATCATCGATAAGTTATAATATATTTTAGCTTAATTATTATTATGATTATTATTATTATTATTATTATTATTATTATTATTATAAGAGATTTTATGATTAATTTTTTAATATATCTTATAAATTTTGATATTCTTGGAATGACTTGAATTATTCTAACTTATAATTCAGTTTAGTGTACCAACTATGATTAAGTGTTTTAATTTGATTATTAAATATATTCAGATCTAGTTAAGTTGATTCTTAATTCATTATTATTAAATCTATCTCTTTAAAGAAACTATACTCTACATAATTAGAGATTGTTGATTATGTATTTAATATCCAATCTTTAGAATCACCTATTAATTCATCTAACCATTAAATGACTTTAGATTTTAATTTAATGATGTGATTTTAGAATAATTCTATTTTTTTAATATTTTTTGTAATTAGATTGTCTATGATATCAAATGATTTCTTTCGATTTTCTTCAATCATCAGAATAACTTTCTTATATCCAATTACCTTAGTGAAGTCTGATTCAAAATACTCAATGCATTGCTAACACAATAACTTTTGATTTAATTTTAGCTTGGAATCCAAAATAACCATTTATACAGGTGCTCTATGTTTCATCCTACAATAAAGATCTTTTTCATTTTCTATCATTTTAAATTTATGCATTATTAATTAAATTATTTGAGTAATTATTCCATAACAAAATAAATTTTAAGTATTAATTAATATAAATATATATTTAGATGATGAAATTAATTTATTATATCTTTTTTCCTATACTAAGATGTCTTTTCTCATAAAACAACAACAGTTGGGCTATAATTTTATCCTTATAAATAACAGATTCTTGATATAAATCTTGAATGACTATAATTCTTAAATAATACTTCATGTATCATTATGAAATCATCATTCTTGAAGAACATTTGATCTTCAAAGATATGAAATTAACGATTCATAAATACTAGCCTTTAAAAATATTTATATTATCAAGTTTAAATCTAATTTTTTTTACTTGGTATTTTATTTTATGTAAGAAAATAGATATAAACATTTTATTACTAATTTAAGAATTTATTTTATTTACGTAAGATTTAATATAATGATACAAGAGAAAATTGAAAATAATTACTTACTTTACAGCGAAATTGAGAACATATGAAGATGTAAATTTCATCGAAATATAAAAGTCTATTATTGAGGGTTCTTAGATTTATAAAAATATTGTTTACTACTAAAGTAAAACCTATTCTTAAGGAAGAGACTAAATACATTTTAAATTTTGTATTTTTATAATAAATATATAACAATAATAAATATATAAATACTATTCTATTAATAACTTATTCTAAAATTTACAAGATGGTTTAATATTTCTAACTTTCTCTAATATTTCCCTTGACTTTGGAGAAATAATTACAGCTTTCTAAAAATTGCATCCTTAAACTCAAGAAAATAAAATCTTCAAAAGAGTATTACATTTTTTCAGATATCATATATTGGAATAATAAGATCCAACAGGAAATCCTAATAAATTTTAAATTGGATATCAATTATATTCATCAAATCTAACTATATTAAGTATGTTCCAACTTCTTTAGAAGATCATTTAAAAAGGTGGTCTAAGAATTCTCATTATAATATAAATTAAAACAAGTACATATTTTAATATCCTACATATAAAATCCATAGAATATTTGAATTACTTGTGGAAGTTCAACATAAAAACTAAATTTTTATTAAGCCGCTTTGATTTTTCATCATTTAAATCGAGAAAATAAAAGAAATTCATTGAGTATAATTATCTAAATGATTGATAACCTCACTTAATTAATTTATATTCAGTTTAAGAGTAGGCAATCTTTTGTTCATAATGACTTTAGTTGTACATAAATTTATTAATTCTATATTTTTCAACCAGAAAAATGATTTTATGATATCAATTTCAAATATTATATTTAAATCAAAATCTAATTTATTATAATTATAAAAGAATAGTGAAATCTTATCTTATATATCTATTAAATCTAGTTTCATATTATAATTTCATTTAAAATAAAGTAAAGAAGCAATTAGTCCAATTTTATAATTTTTTGAATTTATTGAAAATTATTTTTATTAAATTTATAATTTACACAAATTTTTTATAATTCTTAACTACTTCTTTAAGAAATATAGAAATATTTTACAAAATCAGAAAAAAAAATTTTTTAAAATTATTAAAATCGATTGAATCAATATTTAAAAGGAAAATGAATAATAAATTAAAAGTTTTTGATTTATTCTATGAAATTTTTAATCTAAAATCATCATCAAAATTACATTCATTATAATAATTAAAAAATGCATCTATTAATTTTGTCTTCCCTTAATCCTTATATCCAATATAAATAATATTTTAATAATGATTATCTTTATTCATTTAATAACTTTCATATTAAAATTATTGAGCTTCTTATTAATTTTCATCATTTTTATTAGTTGCAACTTTAAATTATTATTTAAATTAAATAATTTACGTTTTTTCTTATTTTTCAATCAATTTTATTTTCTCATAACAAGATTTCCATTGATTGAATTCTTTAAGTTAAGTTAGTTTTTATTCTAAATAAACTATCCACTTAGAATGGTAATCTCTTATAATATTTCTAATATTCTCTTCAAAAGTTGGACTACTTAAATTATATGAAAATTTTTTATTATAAAATGTATTCCAACACTTCAAAAAAGTTATAGTTCACCAAATTCAATTTTTCATTCTATCAATTTAACTTGAAACTATTAATTATCAATTAAAGAGTATATATTTAATTTACAATCACAATTACTAATTGCTCTAGATTACTTTGAGATGAGTTATTCAATAATCTAAAGTTTTTATTTTAACTTTAATTCAATTTTTCAATCACTTTTCTCCATCCTAATTTCTTTGTATTATGATCCAAATTCTAAATATTATTAACACATAGTAAGGATATTTTTAGATAAAGGTTATTGCTACTAATAATTAGACTCTGATACTATTATTTTTATTATTTATTTATTAAATACAAGTATTTGAATTCAATAATATAAATTATTCTATTTTTAATAGGAAGTGTTCTTATAAGGAACAAATTATAAGGATTAAATAATAATAAATAAATCATTTTTTGATTACCACATCATAATTTCATAAAATAACAAATTTTAGTTAAAATTTAGATTATTAAAAAAAGTTAATATAAAAATTAGATATTACAAATAAAGGATAATATTCTATATATGAATTATAAAATCATTATTAACTTTTGCGTATCAAATTCTATGTTTATTTTAGTAGATTCATTATTGTATCTTATTTTTTAATTTTTCGTTTTCTCATAAAATTATGTTATGAATTAAAATCATTTTTATATAACTAATATAATAATTGATTAATACCAAATAGATAATTTGAGATATATTATTATGTGGATAATAACATTTAAATTCTTTAACTACTTCAAAATCATTAAAAATTTCAAGATATTATCCTCTGATTAATTTTTATCCATTTATATCTTCATCTGAAGAATCATCAGATGTTACTTTAATAGTTAATCCTCTTTATATATTAATTTAATTATTATTTATGTCTTTACTTTCTTTATTATTTGTTATTAATGTTTATTATCTCTCTTTTTATTATTATAATAGTTCTTCTTTTTATTTAATTTTTTCAAATTATATCATCATACTTTATTCTAATGGTTTAAACTCTTATTATGGAAAATGCCATAGTTAATTTTAAGTAGGTTCTTGAAATACAATCTATTTATCTGTAAATCTTTATCTATTTTTCAAAATTTATTCTTCTAAAAATTAATTTGTTAAATCCTTTTCATCTTCAGAATTATCATTATCATTTACTACTTTAGTATATATTTTGTTATTTATTTATTTTTTATTTATATCTTAAGATTAATCACTATCATCATCTACTTAATAAATTTCAATATTTGGTCTAATATTGCTATTCTTAATAGAACGTTAACTATTTGAATATTCTAATTCAAAAGGTGATTCATCTAATTTATTCTACTATATACGTTCCTATGCTTTTTCATTTTAAATAATATAATCCTATATACTTTATTTTCTCAAAATAGCTGGTTGTCCAAATGTATTTATTTTTGATTATTATGATATGATTAATTAATTATTAAATCCAGATAATTGAGGTAATCTTTCTTAACTATCTTGTCTTTCAGTCAACAACCTTTTAAATTATTTTATTTTTCTATTATTTATATTATCATATTATTCTGTTTATTTTCTCTCAAATTTCTATCTAATTGAATGTTTATTCTTCATTATTTTTTATTATTGTTCTTTTATATCTATTTTATTTGAAGGTACAATAGAAGTTTATTATTTATCAATCTATGGTAATTATTCACTAAGATTAATTGAAAATTTATTTTCATCTGATCTTTCTTCTTTAGTTTATGGTTCTTCTAAAATAGGTTATATTTTTTAATTATTCAAGGTTGTTAATAATCTAATGTCTTATGATTTACTTAAACTTCCAAATTGATCATCTTTCTCTATAGGAATTTCTTGAATTTAATGAATAGAATTATCTTTTAAAAAATTCTGGTTTTAAATTAATTGAGTATTACGTAGAGATTAATGAGATATACAGTTTATTGAAGTTGGAACATTTTATAATAGAGATATTTATTTAGTAAATTAATTTGATAAATTATTTGAGATTTTTTCTTCATATTATTATTATTATTTAATAGCTGCTTGTAATTCTATAATTAAATATATATATATATATACATTCTTTAATACCCTCCAGATTGCAAATCTCATCATTCTTCATTATGTATTATATTACACTTTCCATAACAAGAAAATGATGCTTTTTTGTTGATATTCTTCTATCTTCATTATTCCTTACTTTTTAGATTCTATCTTGAGGTATATTATGTCTCAATTAATATAATACTTTTGTTCTGTTTATACCTCCTATAAGTAGTGGACAATCAAGTATGAAATGCTTTTATTTACGACATATTGAACATTTTATTGAGATACTTCCAAATTATTTTTATAATCTAATATCTTCTTCAAAATTTTTATAGATTTCCTTTTAATATTAATAATATAATTACATAATCAATTTCACTTTATTTTATATTTTCAATTAAAGTTTATCTATCAATAGCTAATAACTTTGTATTTTTAGTAGCAATTGCTTCATAATTATATTCTGTATTAAGAATAAAATTCAATTGACCAACTAAACAAGGAGTCTTTAATTTTTCAAGGACTCTTTTTTTTTTATTGATTATCACATGTAAATCAATTTATCCATTTACTAAAATATATAACATATCAGCTTTCTAATTTGATTTAAATAAATATTCATCTGGTTATAATTATAATTCTTTGAATTATAAACAAAGTATATTCAATAATGAATTATTAAATAACTTAAATAAATCTAATTATTTTAGTAATTTAATATTTATATCCACAATCATTTGATCTTTTAATTATTAAGGAATTTATTCTTAAAATTATATTACTTCTTAAGAAGGTTTACTCCAAAAATATTCAAAATATCTTCTAAATTTTATTTGTAATGTAGTTGATACTTTCTAATTTTTTAAGAATTTATTTAAACTATTCATATTTGTTTTAAATTAAACAGATTATTTAGACATATCTTAAAATATTTATCCAATACTATTAACAGAATAAGCAAATGTTGCTGTAGATATCAATGTCATTATTATACAAAATAACCTTTCAGTTAAATTTACAGGAGTGATATCACCATAACCAATAGTTGTCATAGTAACAATACTCCAATAAAATGATACTACATATCTATCAATCCACATTGAATTGTATAATTATTCTTTTATTAACCATGTTACTGTATTTTTATTTCCCCATACTCCTAGTTTATGCCAGATACAAGCTGAAAAATGTGCACATAATAATATAAAAAAACTCTATTATTAATTGTTTATTACATTAGTTTAACTAATTCAAAAACAGTTGTTTGTTGTTATGTCAATTCCAAACGATTGAATAAAGAATTAGTTAATTTGGATATTTGAAATACTTTCAAGATAATAACAAGATCTAAATATATAAAATCAAATTATCTTCCAATAAAGAATGGTATTATTAAAACCATATCAATTACAAATTCTCTTTTTAGATATCGCTTTATTAATCTCTTCCTATTTTTAATAAGTACTCCTTTACTATAAATACAAGTATTAAACTTAATTATAATCTCTAATAAAAATGAATAACTTGGTAATTATTCAAAAATGAAATCTTTTAAAATCCAATCCATTTCAACTATTTCAACAAATGATAATCGTAATGAAACATAAAATACATTTATTGTAACTATACAAAGTAGATAGATATTCCAAACTATAATTATTGTGTCATCTGGTTCTAATAAAAAAAACTACATAATTCTTTTGATGTAATTTCTTCTATAATCTATAATAATAAATGTTATTACATTATAAGAAGTTCACTTTCTGATCAAATTTAATCATAAATGATTATGCTTTAGCCTATGCAAAGTAACCTCTATGTAAATAATAATTATAATCAGCAGAATTATCTTTAAGTAATTTGAAAAATTGACGATTGAGCAACTTAAATTAAGTAGTAAATGTTTATTTTGTAATCGCTTATATAAATTTTAGAACTATTAAAATTATATTGAATCCATTAAGTTTCCAAGTATTATTGAATTAATATTATGATAATTATTGTCTGAAAATATTCTGACTCTATTTACGATATTGAGTATCAATCCTTTCTGAATTTTATTATTCTTCATATTACTATGAAATGTTCATAATTTATATATTTATATTTTATATCATTTCAAGGTAAAAAGTTATCTTCTACCCCATCTTAGAATTATTCATCATCAATATTTTATCTAACATTTGCTTTAGGAGGTGGTTGTTTATTCCCACGTCTATAATAATAATATGAACTAATAATTACCTAGTATTATTTGTAAAACTAACAGGATTATCATCTCCTTATGGTAATCTAACTTATTCCTCTTCATTATTAATTAAATTAATATCTTAACCTTAATATCCATCCATCATTTCCATTTCTCTCTCTAATTTTCTTAATTATCCAGCATATTCTTCATAAGGTAATCCCATTTCTCTACATAATTAAACTAGAAATCTGAGACCTAAATAAATAAATATAAATTAATACATTCAATATTATCAGGATAATCTGAATATATCTTTTAGTAATTCCCTAAAGCTTTTTAGAAATGTCCCATTCTTCTATAACAACTTGCAACCATCAATTTCCATTTAACATCTCTTGATTAAACTTATGCCGCTCTTTCGAAATATAAACTAGCCTTTTCATACATTTCCTATTTCACATAATACACTCCTAACCATGAAATTGTTTCTATGTTAGTAGGTAGAATTCTATATGATTCTTAGAAATAATGCAAAGCCTAAGGTTCATCATCTTCCTAATAAATTATTTATTATTTTCTATACCCTTGCAAATAAGGATCCAAGTCTAGCCAAGATATTGGGATCATTTGGTACTTTATTCAGTACTTCCAAATACCATTTCATAGCTTATTTAGAATTACCAGTCATTTCATATAATGTAGCCATTTGAAATAAAACTTCAGGAATACAAACAATAGTTTAAAGTTTATCTAATGCTTATAGAGATTCAACAAACATATTCAATTTCCTATTGACATATGCCAAATTGTAGAGTGCTTCAATACAATCAGCTTCTACACCAATAGCTTCTAAATATTATTCTTTAGCTCTTAAGAATTCATTTTTAACATAAAGACAATTACCTCTATTTACTAAAGCTTTAGCATTATATCTATCATATGTAATTGCAATTTCTGCATATTTTTCAGCCTGTTTATAATNTATTATTCTTCATATTACTATGAAATGTTCATAATTTATATATTTATATTTTATATCATTTCAAGGTAAAAAGTTATCTTCTACCCCATCTTAGAATTATTCATCATCAATATTTTATCTAACATTTGCTTTAGGAGGTGGTTGTTTATTCCCACGTCTATAATAATAATATGAACTAATAATTACCTAGTATTATTTGTAAAACTAACAGGATTATCATCTCCTTATGGTAATCTAACTTATTCCTCTTCATTATTAATTAAATTAATATCTTAACCTTAATATCCATCCATCATTTCCATTTCTCTCTCTAATTTTCTTAATTATCCAGCATATTCTTCATAAGGTAATCCCATTTCTCTACATAATTAAACTAGAAATCTGAGACCTAAATAAATAAATATAAATTAATACATTCAATATTATCAGGATAATCTGAATATATCTTTTAGTAATTCCCTAAAGCTTTTTAGAAATGTCCCATTCTTCTATAACAACTTGCAACCATCAATTTCCATTTAACATCTCTTGATTAAACTTATGCCGCTCTTTCGAAATATAAACTAGCCTTTTCATACATTTCCTATTTCACATAATACACTCCTAACCATGAAATTGTTTCTATGTTAGTAGGTAGAATTCTATATGATTCTTAGAAATAATGCAAAGCCTAAGGTTCATCATCTTCCTAATAAATTATTTATTATTTTCTATACCCTTGCAAATAAGGATCCAAGTCTAGCCAAGATATTGGGATCATTTGGTACTTTATTCAGTACTTCCAAATACCATTTCATAGCTTATTTAGAATTACCAGTCATTTCATATAATGTAGCCATTTGAAATAAAACTTCAGGAATACAAACAATAGTTTAAAGTTTATCTAATGCTTATAGAGATTCAACAAACATATTCAATTTCCTATTGACATATGCCAAATTGTAGAGTGCTTCAATACAATCAGCTTCTACACCAATAGCTTCTAAATATTATTCTTTAGCTCTTAAGAATTCATTTTTAACATAAAGACAATTACCTCTATTTACTAAAGCTTTAGCATTATATCTATCATATGTAATTGCAATTTCTGCATATTTTTCAGCCTGTTTATAATCATTTTCTAAGAAATACAAAAATGAGATATTTGTAGCTATTCTTGCCATAATTTATTTATCTTTCTTTTCAAATCCTTTCAAAGTTTCAATAGATTTTTCAATATTCTTTTTTTTCAAAAATGCCATTGCTTTACATATTTCAATTTCAGTTTCAGCTTCTGGAAATGTTGAATTCTTTAACTATTCTAAAATCCATTCATATCCTACAATAATATCATCTTCAATTAAAGGAGCAATCAATTTTGCAGATGTTACAATATAATAAATAGCTTCTCTTCTTCTTTCTTTAGTATCTTCTCTTAATTTATCTGTTATTGTAGTACCCTTATTTTCATTATTCTCTTCTTCATTCTCTCCTGGTATTTCTATTGTAAGTAAAGTAACAAAATAATCTTTCATTTTATTCTTTTTTCCACTTAAATATAAACAAATCATTAAATTAAATCCTGTTGGAAAATCAGGTGAATTTTTAAGGATTTATTCATAAGTTGTAATAGCTTCATTAATTTTCTCTTTTCCAAGTCTCACTTAAGCATGACCTATATTTTTTTATATTTTGAATCTCATTTCTTTAGAAGTAGCAGGAATCAAATCTAATGCCATCTTATACATCTTTATTGCAGTAGGATACTTCTTTTATTCAAAATAGATGTTGCCCATATTTACTCTTAATCTGCCTGCTTGAGGATATTATTTACATTTTATAATTTCTTAATATTTAGCTAAAGCATCTTGATGTAATCCATTTGCATGTAAAGCACATGCTTAAGTTAAAGCTGCACAATAGCTAAGATCAGTATTAATTGATTCAGCTAAATTTTATGCTTCCTTAGATTATCTTAATTTTTTTTCCTTATTGAATGCTTCTTTAGCTTTTTCTAAACATTCTGATAAATTTCCCCTTAATTTAGCCATGGCACTTTGTTCTATAAGATTATTAATTTCTTTTTCTATTTATTTAAATTATTCTTCAGGATTAGTTTCAAGTTTTGGTTTATTCAAATTTAATTGATTCTGAGTGGAATTGAATGGATCCTTCTTCTACCCAAAATTAGCTCCTCTATTAGATGTCATAGGTCTAGCTTCTGCTTAAGGTTATCTGGCTGCTGTACCAATAGGTTTTCCTCTTGAAGGTTATGGTCCACCAGGTGCAGGTTATTATGCCTATTCTCATAAAAATGATGAATATACTCTAACATTTTCAAAATTGTAATTATTGACAGGTGGTTTTGCTTAATTGAAATTATTACCACTCATACCAAAAGCACCATATTAGGATGAATTCATATTATATTATTTAAATTTTATAATTATATATATACTATATTTGTATATATATATATAGACAATTATATTATCAACCAATATATTAAACAAATCTATTATAATCCATCCTATAATTAGGATTAAAATCATCATAAATTAGATTTTATAGAAATACATCTTCCCATAAACTCTTACAATCTTATTTGACAATGTATAATGGTGCATACTTTGTAAATTTATTGCTTTTTATAATAGATATAATAATACTATCTTAATTGGGAAATAAGAGTATAGATGGCATTATTTGATTATAGATCATCCTCATATAAATGTTTAGTATGGTATTCTTCATCAAATAGATCTACTAATTAAGTCGGATCATGAATTCTCTAATTACAAATTCACTTACTTGCATATATATAAAATTAAACAGTATCCACAATCCATCAGATATAGACCTCCACTTTATAATTCAGCTAGAACCAAAGATAATTATTATGGATAAACAAATTAACCCTAATCATCATAAACACATTCATGTTCTTATAAATTAGTTACATTATATAATTATGGTACTAAATAGGTAACCAATTCATCATAATGAATATACTAAAATATAATTCTAAAGTAATTGATATAATCTGTCAATATACTTTATTTATCATATGTGTAATTCATTATAATAGATTTCATGATACCCAATGAATAAGCATGCATTTGATCCAAATTTATATTGTATAACTTGCAATTATAAAAAATGGATCTAATGGTTGAGATTATGAAATCTTTAACAGGAGTCAAATTCTTAACTGAATTAATTTAAAACAAAGCCATTTTAAATATGGTCATAGCTAAGGTACATTAATCAATATGTGAATATATAGTTTTGACAGAATTACTTAAGGGAATACATAAATTATGAACTCTAATTCTTCTCTCACTTTTTGAAGATGTATATAATAAAGCAGTTTATATATAGAGATGATCATAAGATAGATTAGGTTCAATTAATTCTAATTCATAAAGCAAGACTTTTTAACTATCAATAATGATTATCAATATTTACTCATCGCAATTATTAATATTCAATAAATCAGATGTTTTAACAACATAATTACCATAAATATGTTTAATTTTCCATCCAACAGATGTTCTAATTCTAAAAACTGATTCCCAGGCATAATCTCTACTCAATACTTCTTTTAAGTCATTTCTAAATCTTGTTGCTTAAACATTAATAACAACTTCTTACTATATACTGTTGGATCATCATAATAAAATAAATCTCCATTTAAATAGGTTGCTAATTGATTTATAGTATATATATTCATATAATTATTTGGAATAACAAATATTGATGGACATATAAATTGAAAATACATACTTTCAGTCAATTATGTTAATATTGATTTACTTTTATGTAAATATAATTATTATTATTTTTCATTCTCCAAAATACTCAATTCTTTAATTGGTGAAGATGTTAAGATAATTAATTTAGCTCCATTATCTTATATTAATTTTTATGATATTTTTAATGCTTCCATAAATTATGTACTTCTCAAAAGAGGTTTTGGAAATAGTCGATCTAAAGAATTCAAGAATCCAACAATAATGTCTTTAGAGTCTTATAAATTAAATAGATAATCTCCAGGCATAGGCAATTAATTATCATCTGTTAATACATACATCTAAGCTTATTTAAGTTTTGAATTGAAATTGTATAAATGAATAGATGAATCAAATGTTAAGAATCCAAATAAAGTTCTTTCATTAAATGTTTCACTTATTATTAATTCATTCATAACTTATCCTATAATTCCTAAAAGTGCTTCACTCTTTGTTGAAACATCAATCATAAAAAAATATGCAGGAGCCATAGGTGGTCTCATTTGATATTCTTAACCTGCTTTGATATCATAAGATCCCATAGTTAATTCAGGTTTTTCATTTGCATTTTCTTTTGTTATTGTATTGAATTCAATTTAAGTAATCAAACTACAGAAGTTGCATTTTAAATAGTCATAATCATCTATAAATTTCATATAAGGATTCAAATATGCTCTACAATTTGCACATCTAATAATAGGATAGCCTCCATTATTGATTTATACAAATCCATCATATACAGATTATCCATAAGGTTAAATCATAATAGCAAATGGAATCTTAGCATCTATATATGTTTATTTTGAATGTGGGAATACATTTGATGTACATCTAATATTATTATAAGAGGCATTAAATTATTAATGTTCACCATTTTCTTTATTTTTAATATATTCTTCTTCCTTCATATGTGATTATTATTATTATTATTGAGCATATTAAGTGTCCAATCTTCCACTCTTTTCAAGAATTTTTTTATGAACATTCATTATCTAAATATTAATAAAAATTTTGAAAATAGAAAATATAATATATAAAGTATTGATTAATAAATATGTTTTTATTTTGATCATTTACAATTTTGTAGTTTATAGTTTACAACAAGATATATCATGTTTTCGAGAAATACTTTATGATGAATTTGAAGTTCATTCTTAATTGAATTAATTTATTCATTTGATTGACTTCTCTTTACATGTTTCTCTATATAAAGATCAGGATATTGTACAGATTCTACAATAGTTGATTCTGTAGATTTGAACATTTTAAATGGTTTAATATTTAATTTAATGGATTTTGTTTATTTTAAGAGTTAAGCTGGACTTTCTAAAGCATCTTCAGGTATTACATCAATGATTGTTTATTAAAATTTATCTGTTTCATTTAATTCATCAAAGAAGATTTTTCTAGGCATTCTTTTTAATTTAGTATTAGTTTAATATCTAATATAAGGATTTTTAGGGGATGTTAATCTTTACAATTTTGATTAATAATGATGATTGTCTTCTTTAATGGATTGAGATTATTCTTCTAATTTTTACTATAATTTAAGTTTATTAACATCAAAGACAAGTTTAGAAAATTTATTAGTTGAATTTTTTAATGATTATTATGATGATCTTTTTTATTATTTATTATGAAGTAATTATACAAATTTACTTTTTAATTTATTCTTTTTTTCTTTATCTTTTAATTATCTAACAGTTTCAGCATACATTTCAGCATTATAATTTTATAATCTTGCAATAGATCCTAAATTTGAATATGGAACAAAATTAGTATACTCTTTAATTGAATCAGTTTTAAAAGAATCTTTAATTCTTAAGGTTGTTAATTTATTCTTTTTAAATGAATTTAAATATTTTTCAAGAGTATAAAGATCAGAAGTAATTTATTAAAAAGCTAATTAATTTTTAGATAAATTAATAAAAGTTTTTGATTTTTTTCTTAATCTTCTTTTAGAATTTATCATTAATTTGATTTCATCATTATATTTTTCAATAATATTTATTCTATCATATTTATTAACAATATAATGAGTATTAGGACAATATTTGGCAGTATGATTAGGTGCAGAACATACATAACATTTAATATTTAAATCTTCTAATTTCTATTCAAATTCAATATTAAATTTGAATTAAAAGAATTATTCTAAATCTTCATTTTCACATTATTCTAAAAATGCTTTTCTTGAAAGTCTAAATATATTAATGAAATTTCTTGCTTTAACAGATGCACATCTAGGAACATTAGCAAAAAAAGAAATTTCACCAAAATATTATTTTTTAGTCAATTCTTAAATATCAATAATTCCTTTGGTTTTTGGAAAACATATTGATACTCTCCCATTTAATATAAAATAAATAGATGTAGAATCATCAATAGGATCATCATGTTTAATTATCCAATCTTCAGGATTATATACTAATTTATTATTTATAATAATACTTTCTTCTTAAAATATAAAAGCTAGATTCTTTAAAAGAATTGGAGAGAAATTCTTTCTTAAGAATCTAATCTAACTCATCATATTTCCATGTACTAATTAAGTAACTTAATTTCTTAATGGTAATGATAATTTCTCTAAAGTGTTATGTGCATATCCTTTTTATAATTATTCATCTTCTATTAACCATTCTAAATAATTCTTAATTCTTGCTTAAAGTGATTTATTTATACATTTATGTTTTAAATATCTATAATATTAACTTAAAATTTAACTTTTTTGCAGAATCATTTTTTATTAATAATTCTTCTAGAGATTCGTTTGTATTCTAAAAAAGTAAGACAATAGAATTCATCACATATCCGAATACTCCAGAAGCTAAAATCATCACAAATACACCAAAAGATCTTTCTATTGTATTTTTTGGTGAAATATCTCCATATCCAATTGTGATCATAGTTGTTATGCTTTATTTCTGATATAATATAAAATATACCTAAAATAAATTCCTGCTACATATTAATTAAACCAATAATTTGGATCATTATCCAATTCTTAATTATAATTAATAAAATATTATGAATACCAATCTTATTCATTTGGTTAAAGCAATCTTATTGCATTCCATATACATGCTAACCAATGTGATAAACAAAGTATAATAAGACAGATCTTTAAGAATTAAATAAATGATGTTATAGATTTATCCAAAGATAAGGAATCTTCAATTTGATTAATTATCTTTTTAAGTTTCAAAGCTCTCATCAATCTAATAACTTTAACAAATCTTAAAATCCTCATTATTTTAATTATCTATGTATTTCTTTATACATCTTTTTGATTAGATTCTTCTAAAGTAAGTGAGATAATTCCATCATAAGGAAATGAAGATATCAAATCTAACCAAAACCATAATTTTAAATAATTTAATGCAATCTTCCTTCTTTGATAGATATAATTACCTCTATCATAATTTAATATAATTTACTTATTGTAGTATCCAGTCTAAAATTGTAATACAATATCAACAAGAAAATAATAATCCATTATATTACTAAATATACTAAATCCTTCATCTAAATTTAATCCAAATGTTAAAATCAATGGAATCAATATCATTTATATAAAAATGAATGCCATTCCTATTAAATCCCAAATTATTTTTTTAGGTTCTTCTGGTCGTATTATATTAAATATTCTACACTTGTCCCATTCTTTATTTTTATCCTCATTATCTTCCATTTTCTTAAGTTGTTCTGGATCAACATATTATTACTCCTTAAGTAAAGTGATCTATGTTTTGTTATAACTCCAAATTTGAAATTTAAGTTCACCATATGATTGATCACCTTATTATATTTTAACTATACCTATCAATTGTAATCCTTCTTCTTAAAGGTAATTTTCAATTTGCTTGCTTTGAATACTCAGTCTTTTTATTACATTTTATTTTATTGACATTCTTATTATAAAATAATTATATCTTAAACACAATATAAATAAATCAAAACAACAAAATAACAAATCCTATTGAGTAATTATCTTCATGAGAAATGCTAACTTGTATCTCAAATTCACTTCCAAAATTCTTATTAAAATATTCTAAATTTCTATTGTGTAATACAATATTAGGTTTCTAATTCTATCTGCAAATTTACACTTCTGGAAATACTAATTCTTTAAAACCTGAAGCCTTTACAAGTGCTTCTTTAACAGCCCATCTAGAAGCTATAAATTATTATTGCAATTAAATTGTTTATTTCCCTTTAAATTATTCAATCTCTGATGGATGAAGTACTTTAAACAAAAATCTCTCAGCATATTATGCTTAGATAATATTTAACATTCTTTAATTATTAACTATGTCAACTCCAATACCTTTTATAGTTTTCATAGTAATATTTAAAATCAATTATTACAATCCTAATACTATTATTTTAATAAAATATAATCAATATTCAAGTAAATTATCACTTTTTCTCTCTATTTAAACATCCAAATGCCAAAAAAACTCTATCCATAAAACTCAATTTCTATTCCTATTATTATTATTATAATTGATATTAATGATGTAAGATCTCATTTCTATTAGTTATTCTGCTAATTCTAGGTTTGTTGAAATCTTCTTATCGAATCTAATCATTCTAAGAATAATTCTTATAATTAGATTATTATTCTTGAGTCTTGAATTTACTGTAATCCTAAGACATGGGTCTAGTAGAAGGTTCCTTTTTTTAAATGTCCATTGGTTTAGTATTATTCTTAAAGTTCATCGATGGAATCTATCTCGTAGGAAATAGTGGTTTGTATACAAAAGTCCAAATATCTATATTGAAATTTTTAGCATGTTTAACCATCCAGGGATGATTGAAGATTTAATCCATTGTAAATCTTTCAGATGGAATAAATTTCAAGATTCCTTTTATCAAAGTTATAACTTCATGAGATAAAGTAGGAGCAAAGCTTATAGGCTGACTAGATTTTATCTTATTACATAATTCTTCATTATTCCTACCTCTAAATGGGGCATTCCCATGTAAGAGTTCATATAATAAGATACCCAAACTCCAAACATCTAGACTAAAGTCATGTGGTTATTTATTCAACATTTCAGGAGCCTATTTAATATTAAATGACAGCTACCATATATTCATAAGTTCCACAGAATGTCATTCGTTTTTCTGTCAAACTCTCAGCACTCCAACCAAAATCACATATTTTAACATTACCTTCATTGTCTAAAAGGAGATTCTCTGGCTATTCATTTAAATTTCTAAATTACTTTGAGATCTCTATGAATTACATTATTTTTATGTAAATAGTCAATTCCAAGACAAGTTTAAAAAAAATAAACAAATGCTTCCTACTCTGGTAATTTGGTTCTCTTTTTTATATAGTGAAATAGTGATCCATTTTCTTATAAAATTTAATTAATACCAGCATATTCAAGAACTAAATATACATTTTCTTTATCTTCAAAATAATGATGGAGTTTGCAAATGTTCGAATGGAATAGTTTACGTTGTATTTTGATTTCCCTTTTTAGATTTTCCACTGAACAATACTCAAGTACTTGCCTTTTGTTCATCTATGGATAAATTACATCAGACTATTACAATTTTCATTGCAAACAATTATCCATTTTATTTGTCCTTTACAAGTTTTACTGACCCATATGAACCTCTTCCCAATTCCTATTTAGAACCAATTGTTATTATTTCAAATTCTTCAGGTTTTCTTCTAACACTCACAGTCGATGTAGAATCCATTGTATCATTGCATGATTTAGCTCTGTCAGGTTAGGTTTTCTTACAGATTCCTTTATGATAGATTGGCCTTGAACATAAATATTATAAAATACCAGTCAAGATCTCTGCATCGAATACTACAATAATTAGAAGTCATACAGAGAGGACACATAACTTTTGTTAGTTTTGATCTTTGTTCTATTGTAGGTTGTTTAATATTGAATTAACAAGACTTATAATCGCAAAATTTATTCATATAATAATAATATTGTTAAAAAAAGAGATATTGTTAATAATGATAATGACAAAAATAATCATAATTTATCTAAATCATAAACAATATTCTCATGAACCTATGTTATCTTCTTATCATACCTCTTCATTCACTTATCTATTTTTTTTCTCATCATATTTTGTAATTTATTTTCATCATTTACATATTTCTGCTCTCATATACAAATTTATTTAACACAACTCCACATCAAACATAATAGGTTTCATCTTACTTGCATATATTATATATATCATTTGATTTAAAGTAAGCTTGCTTATTTAATAATCCATACTTTTTTGAAACTCATAAATATAAAATATTTTTAAATATTTGAATACTTTCTCTTATTGACCTAAAGTCTTTGTTTTAACTGTAAAGGTTTTTTGATTTTGTAAATTTACCAAAGAAAGACTCTTGAATTGTTATAAATATTATGATAAAAACAAACCTTCTTATAAATAACCAACACAAACCAATTGGGACAACTATACTAAATATTAAAAAGATACTTATAAGTATTCTATTTTTTAAATCCTTTTTAGTTTTCATAATACTCAATTCTAGTTGAAGCAAGAGATTGAAATATGTTTATAAACTATAAGTCTAACATTATAATAAATGAATATAGGGTTGCTTGGATAGTGTCTTTTGTTCTTTTTTGGTTTGATAATATTATTATTCTATACTATAACCTTATAATTATATAAATATATTATAACTTTTTTATAAATATATATTTATCAATAAGTTCACATATTATATTTTGTTTATATAGCTTTAATTTCTTTCATGATTGTTGTGACTTGAGTTAGATTGGCCACATACATAGGATGATTTGTCTTGGCATACTTATAAAATGCATTATAATAAGCCATAAAAGTTTATAAAAATTTCTTTAACAAACTCTTCATCAAATTAGTACCCTAGAAATGTTTTTCACATTCCAATCTAAACACATCAACTCTCTTATTCCAAGACAAATTCACATCCTATTGATATATATTTATAAACATACTTAACTTATATTTTCAATCAATTTCTTATTATCTACTTAATTAATATTCTATACTTTCTCTACAACCCTTATTTCTGATTATTATTTATTATCATATAAATTAAGTTCTAATTCACTTTCCTCTTTTGCATATTTCTATATGAAATCAACAAGATTCCCAAACAATTCTTTTAAATAAATCTCAATTAATTTCTCACTAAACTTATTTGTCTCTTTTTCCAAAAATAAGGTTTCTTCTGAAAATTCTTTTTTATAAGTTGTCATCTAAGTTGTATTATATGCTGAAACAATCATTTCATAGACTGATAATGTATATGTTATCCTATCTATTTCAATCTCAAATTCTGCTCCAGTTCTTTTGATTAAATCAAAATATCTTAATCTCAATTAATTAATTCTACTTACAATCATTTTGTTATCTTCAAAGTATGCATACAATTTATATAATGATAATGTAAGATCAATATATCTCATAACAAAACTTCTAAATCCATAATATTTTTCTAATGATCTATACAATCTCACATTAGTACTTTAAATACTTTAGATGTGAGTATCAAAAACTTATTCAAACTTTGGCCATAAAATCATATTCACTTATTCAAAATAAAAATCTAATACATATGAATTTTTAGAATGCATATGTTTTTAAAATCTCTCATTTAATAATATTATTAATAAAAATGCAAATATGTCAAATATGTTAACAGTCTATTTTAAATGATCCAATATAAATTAAATAGTATTCTTAAAAACACCACTAAAAATAAGTCTATTTTAATCAGGTTTCAAACTAAAAAAATCTTAACTAAATCTATCTTCATGTAATACAGTATCAATCAATACTTTATTTATTGTTTTAAAGTATTATTCAATTAAAATTTTCTAATTTTTCTAATTCAATTAAGTATGTAATAAAGGTTCTTCATCCATAAATTACAATATTTAATCTCGATTCATCAATTAAAATATTGATCTATTCTCAATATTTAATCCTACAACATTTCTTAAATTCAATTAAGGCCTATAATTTTATTGACTATCAGGTACAATAAGATCATTGCGTAAATAAACATCAATTGTTAATTTATGTATTTCAGCAACATAAATCTTCATATTACTCAAATACAATTTACTCATAGCATCTGTATAAAGATTACATAATTCTACATAAATATCTAAATAATGATCTTTCATAAATTCTGTGAATATCTTATACTTAACCAATTCCTAAATTTAATATTATTGAATATTTATTTTTGGTTTCTTTAATTGATTTAATTTATCTATCATAAATTCTCTGACTCTTTTACAAGCTGTATTTTTTAATTTAATTAGTTCTGGTCCTAGATTCTTTACAGCATTTGCATCAGTTAATTCAGTGTTTTTCAGGTATTCTAATTTTGAGCATAATATTCTAATGTATTCCACATATTAATCATTAATTTCTTTATTGCATATATTATCAATTAAAGAAGGATCTAATACAGCTTAATCAACAAAACTAGATAATATCTATGATAATGCTTTTCTATTTGTTAATGAAGTATTCATCTTTACACTTCTCTCTTATAATTATGTCATTTCAGATTTAATATCATTCAAATAATCCTTGAAATTAAGTAAAACATTCTCTAACTCTCCTAAAATTGCATCACTCTTTTCTATTTCACCATCCAATTCATACATCTCTTTTTCAACCTTATATTTTTCACTTTATAGATACTTTTAAATAGTCATATGCTGCCTCTTTTTCAATTAATTACATTTCTAATTTTACATTATCGCACATATGTCTTAAATCTAAAGATTATTCGCCACCATCCATCATTAAATACTTCCCCATTATATATCTACTTGTTATGGGATCCAAATTGTGTTCTAAAAAACTTGATAAATTCTGCTACTATTAAGACATTAATACCTATATTAATTTATTTTATTTTTTGGTAAAATGATCTACTTGTAATAATGAATTAAAATTTATACAATAAACAATTAACATCATCATTGAATAACTAAATTATTACAAATAAAAATTGAATATAATTACAACATCTATTTTTATTAAATACTTCCACAGAAAATTGATTTATAATTCTATTAGCAAAATTTTTGAATGAATCAAATCTCTGAAGCTAAAAATAAAACTCTCGTTATAGATGGCAAAAGGTATGAAAACCTTAAACTATTAGATACTAAGGGTACTAAATCTACTAATTATATAGGAAAGCTATTTTGTTGTTAAAATGACTAATTTATCATTAAATAAGTAGATAAAAGTTCCAAAGATGAAATAGAAGTGCTTGAATAAATTAGAATATAACAAAAATATATAAAACCTAAATGCCAATATATAATTAAAATACTTGGAATAGAAGAAAAGGAAAGTTTTTATATTTAAATGGAAAAAGGTAAAGATAATATCTCAAATTTGATAAAATCTAATACATCTCTTAGTGAATTTTAGAAAATTAAGATATTTGAATAGGTAAGATATATTATATATTAAGATGGTTAAAGGAGTAATAGAATTACATGATTTAGGCTATTTTCATAGAGATTTGAAACCAGAAAATTTTGTCTATTTTCAAAATGAAAATTAAGATTATTAAGTCAAATTAATAGATTTTGGATTAGTAATAAATAGTTCTTCAAATCTTAAAACATAACAAGTAGGGACTTTCAATTACATGGCGCCTGAAGTAATGTTAGAAGAGGGAACATAAGATAAGACTGCTGATATTTGGAGTCTTGGTATTATACTATATGAACTACTTACCAAATAAAATTTTTTTTAAGGTTTTTAGTTTAATGTAATTATTAGCTAATAATGTAAAAAATGTTGTAAAAGAGGGGAATAATTTAAATTAAGAAGAGATAGACAATAGAATAAACTAATTTGTTAGAAAAGGATAACCTCAATATGATTTAATTAACTCTATGTTATAAAAAGAAAGAAAAAACAGAATTGATTTGAAAACTTTATTATAGAAAATAGAATAGAATTTACAAAAAATTAAAGAAATAGAAATATAATAAATATAATAAATATAATAATAGCTGACAAAAAGTTAGAATGATTTTTTGGATAAAATTTAGAATTTTATTTAAATCCTCACCAAAAAGGAAAAAACTATTAATTAAATTAATATAGAAGATTAAGAAAAATAGTAATTGTCAATATATATAAAAAAAGAGTAAGAGAAATATTCAGAAAATATCAAAAAGAATGAATAGAAATTATAATAGATTTAATAAATTTAGACAAAAGAGAATCTGAAAGAATACGAAACTTAGCTAGCTTAAGAAAGTGAATAATTTATTTAAGACAAAAATTTCATAATGGAATATATATAAAAGTAATAAAGTTTACTAGAAAAACAATTAAAAGATAAAGAATTATCTGATTAATATCGAAAAGAAAAAGAATATAATCAATCTTTATTTGAAATTGTAAAAAAATAATATAATTAATAATTTCTGTAGATTAAAACAATTTCAGAACAAATTAAGTATTATTAAAGAATTAAACTATAATTTTAAGGAGAAGTGAAGATTTAAGATGTTATACAATAGCAATAAATAATAACATAAGATATTTAAGTATTAGAATAGTAAGAGAGGATGATATAATAATTTGATTAAATACAACTAATTCCTCATTATTAGTATAGCAATAGCAAACTTGAAGAACTTTAATAATCTTAAAAAAGACTCAAAATTTTAATTGAAGAGGCAAATAAATGTCTTAAATAAATCGATAATCAATATTTAGATGAACATCATAAATAAATTGATGATTTAAACAACACTTTAAATGATATATTAGAGAAATTTAAATGTTTATCTAAAAATAAAAAATATGCATCTAAGATAAATATAATTTTAAATTAAATTGAAAAAGATTTTCGTAGGTTAAATTTTCTAAAGGAAAAAATTTCTTAAAGAAATGAAATGGCCTATTAAGAATTCGAAAAAAAATATTAAAAAATTCAATCATCATTAAAAGAGTATAGCAAATTTTATAATTAATGGTATTAATGGATTTACAATGATGATTAAACTTATAACAAAACATATGAAAATGTAGAAGAGTAATTACAGTCATTTTTTAGAAAAATAAATGAATTCACCGAATAAATTGATAAATTAATCAATAACCAATATTGTAAAAATGATCAAAAAGTTAAATTAAATAATCAAAGATAAAATATAGATTAAACCAAATAAGAATTGTACAATCAATTTGAAACTTTCAAATAAATTTAATAATCAAATTCCTGTGAAAGTATCGATTGCTAAATACAATTTTTGGAAGAATTCTAGAAAAAAATAAAGTAAAAAGAAAAAGATAAAATAGAATAAGTAGAGCAATTAAAGTAAGAAATAGAAGATAAATATAAAAGTGAATAAGAAAATGAAATTTTAGAGTTAAATAATCAATTATAGAATAGGTATAAAGAATTCTCAAAAGCTTTTTAATAAAGTATTGAATTTTATAAAAAAGAGCATGACAAAAAAGAGAAACTTGAAAAATAATTGTAAGAAGAAATAAAGATTTTAGAAGAATATTTAGAAATTTAAAATCTAAATAGTTAGTTATTTATTTAAGAATTAAATGATATTAAAACATAAAGAGGGTATTTAACATAACAAATTGAAGAGATGATCAAAAAATTACAATAAACTAATAAATATAAAGGTGATCGGTTAAAGATTGTAGCAAATAAAGTGTTTGAAAAATCAATAGAAATAAATTTTACCGAGATAGATGATAATTTAATTTAGAACTATGAATAATTAAAAATGTAGGAAGAATAATTGCAAATAGAATTAAATTAAATAAATGATAAGATATCGAATTAATAATTAAATCCTTAGTAATTAAATGAATTAAAAGATTATATTCTTAAGATATATTCTAACATCAATGAATTACAGATGAAAATTTCAAAGGATAACGATTTATACTAATAGTTCAATAAAGATTATCAATAAAATTTAGAATCATATGAAAAATTATATGCTTTAGTTAATTATATAAAGTAATATCATTTAACAAGATATTATGAAAGAATCAAGGAAAATAAAAAAAATGAATAAAAATAAAAATAATAAAATAAGGATAAAAATGATTACCAAAAATTATTTTAATCTAAACTAAATGAAGCTTAGGAAGAAAAAACAAAAAAAGAGAAGGAAGCATAAGATATATTCTAAAGATATGAAAATATTTTATTTAAAAGTTACTGTAAGATGGCAATAGAAAGTATGGAAAAAGATTAAGAAGAAATTGAGAAACAGATTTAAGAATAAGAAAATTAACTAAAATAAAAATATTTAGTAAAATTATAAGGAAATTTGAAAAATTAATCAATTATAAAAGAGATTTTTAATGTCAAATAATATTATAAAATGCAAGAGTTCGCCTAAATGCTAATATTGAATATGATAATAAAGAAATGATTTAATAATGAAAAAGAAATTAATATAATTAAATAAATTTTCAATTTTTTTAACATTCTAAGAAAAAAAAATAATACTATTCAATTAAATAATTATTTTAATATATGAAAAATTAGTGTAATTACTATAATCATTAATAAATCGAATATTCAGTTTTTTTATGATTTAATAAAATGTTGAAGAATGATTGAATAATCCAATATATTGATTAGAATAAATAATGTTTGATATTTATTGAGTATTTTAAAATTAAATTCATCTTATTTTCAGTCTTTTCTATTTTCAATAAGTGCCTAAAAAACCTAATATTGTAATTTAATAACACATTTAATCAAAAAATTATATATTTTCTATAATAAACCATATATTCTTATTGATAAATCTAATCAAATCGAAATTCTTTAAGGTTCATTTAATTATTCTAAAAAATACAAAAACTTTCTTCTAATCTATTGATTTTAGTAGTGATTGGTTATTGAAATATATTCTGTCTTGTCCATAATGCAGTTGCATAAATAGAAAATCTTTATTAAGTTCATAATGATTATTAAAGTATGCAAAATTTTTACTCATCTATCAACAAAACTATATAACATCTTCAAAACTTAGTAAGCCAAATAGTTATCTTGACTAATTGCACTTAATATACCAACTGGTTTTGTTTACTAGGAATAATCAATTATTTTTAGAAAATAAATTTTTTTTACAAAATTTTAAGGGATTTTTATATTGTGTCCAATCCTAGTTTCATCATTAAAATAAATATTACTTCTCTTTAGATCGAGATTATGAAGAATAGCACATAATTATCTTTGTTCATTTAATTTTTTGCCTGAGGCTCAATATCACATTCGATTGGTAATCTATAAGAGCATTTGGTATAGTATTTCAATATTTTGTGAAATGTAGATATTGATAATGCACTTTCATCTAACTGATAAATTATTAGCATATATTTTTTAGATTCGTCAGCTACCCGTAATTGTTTTCTTTGATTTAAATTTTTAGCCAATTAATATTTATCTAACTATTCTTCATCTTTTTTTGCATCCAAATATTAAACTTGACTCAAAGTAAGCCCTAAATATTCTGATATTGCTTTTTAGTAAATTATTATTCTTTCAATCTTTAGGCAAATGTTTAGCAAATAATTGATATACTAATTAATAAAAATACCTCTCTCAAATTGAGGTACCTAATGCCTATTAACAAGAATAATTTTTATGAAAACTGTTCATTCAATGGTGTACAATATAACTCTTCGATGAAGGACTATAAACTGCAGCAATAGTTTACATGCTCTTCTTCCCAAGTAAGGTAAAATATGTTTTATTAATGGTTAAGTTTATCAATTTTATATTCAATTCATAATTAACCATAGTGGTAAATTAACTTTACTTGATAATGATGGGGTTCCTTTCAATAAATTCTGTAAAAAATGTTGTTATATATTGACTGAACCATCTGTTATTCTGGATTAAGATATTAAACATATACTAACCTAATTTGGTTATAAAGCCTAACTCAAATAAAATTAAAATATTCCAAAATGAAGATACCAATGAATTATTATACCTTTCTCGAATGTTTTAAACTTAGCAAACATAAAATGTTACTAATGTGTTTTATTTTATTTTAAATTGTCATTAATATTTATGTATGATAATTTTATGAATTTACTCATATTTTTTAGAATCAAGTTAGTGTTCAAATTTTTATATTAATTAATCAATTTATTGAACTGTAACTTTAAACAAACATAATATTATTTTGATGTGAAAATACAAATATTTTATTCATATCATTTTAACTGTCAAAATTGTATTTTTATATATATAAGATTATTATGATATTAAATTACATGTATTATAAAAATATTAATTTTTGAAAGTATTAATTATATTATTTTATATTCTAATTTATATAAATATATAGACTCATTTTCAGATAAGTCGGATGATGAAATTAAAATATCTTAATTAATGACTTTTTTTTCTCAATTTTTAATCTTTTATCTATTATTGCTTATTTAAAACTATTTTTATAAATATTTCTCCTCATTTACATATTTTATGGTTTATATCCTACAATATGTTTTCATTGATCATTCAATTATCTTAACAAAAAAATCATAAACTTATTTTAAATTATCAGTTTATTTTTTATATTTAGAAATAACTTTAATAATTTTGGGTATTATTAATATTATAAATATGAAATCTAATTTAATGAAAATGTTATAATATTGTTTTTAAAATATTTATAAAACCCTTCAAAAGAATTTAACATTATCATGAATCTATTGTAAAAAAATTTCCATGTCTATGTTATCATAATGTTCATAGAATTTGCTGAAATCTGTAAATTCTTTATTTTATCTAAAATACGTAAATGGATTTAAACAAAGTTATAAATATTTTAAAGTCTGTAAAAATAGTCGATTTTCTGTTAGTTTTTTTTGTTAGCAAAGACACTCATACATTTATTTGATACAAAGTCTTAAGGTTTTTTCATAAATTTTGTTAAAATTTTAATCTGATAATTAATTATTTGTCATGATTGAAAGAAATTCTTTGACATCAAGTTTATCTTATCCATCAATCTTCTCTTATTGTAATTAATTAGTTAAAAAGTTATAAGTTCTTTTGGTTATTTCTTCATAATATGATTTCAAATAATATTTATCTGTTTTAATTGCTTTTAAAGTTGTAAAATACTATAAATTTTTTTTATAGAGTTTCCAATCAAATTCAGTAAATCCATTTCCAATTGGAGTCTAAAATAATAAATTGAAATTACTTTACTAGCCATAATATTAATTAAATCATCAAAGATAATCATTTGCGATTTTTGGAGGAGGAACATAATTCTATAAAATAAATGAGTTGATATATTTAATTATTGTTCTTTAAATAGCTAAAACACATTATTAGTAGATAGATTAACAAATATACCAATATTTCTCATGAGGGAAAGATGGGCATCAATTTTGTTAATAGTTATTTGTTCTTATAACTTTTTAGTTTAAGCTTCAATGATATCATTATAGGTTAATCCTTTAAGATCGTCTAAATTTTATTAGGATATATCTTTTTATTCTATATTCATGTTGTTATCATCATCATTTTTAACTTCAAACAACAATTGAGTTTCTTGATTTTTCCCTTGAGCAAGGATAAGATTGTTATCCACATAAAATCTATTTAATTATACTGATTATTCTAAAGTATCTTATACACTATCTATAATAAGGTTGAGTTTATTTTTTAGTTCTTAGCTATTGCATTTGATTAATTCATTTTCAAACAAATCATACCAATTTATTCTTTGTTCCTCATCAATAACTAACATTTTAGAAATGAGATCTTTTATTATTTATTATCTTTTTGGTTGATTTGGGAAAGTAAGTGGTTTTTTTTTAATTTAATCTAGTAATGCTAATTGGCTAGTTGCTGTCCAAGGAGGATGACCATAGAGCATTTCGTAAAACATAATACCAATAGACCAAATATCACATTTAGAGTTAAATTTTCCTTATTCCAAAATTTAGGGAGCCATATAAAGAGGAGTTCCTAGCAAAGTGAATTTCTCTTAGCCTTCCATATCTTCAACAACTCTGGCAAATCCAAAATCACTTATTTTAGCAATTCCTATTGTCTAATTATTTAATACCATTGTGTAATAAAATGTTGGCTGGTTTAATATCTCTATGTATAACATTTTCTTAATAAATTGCTTTAAATCCATAAATGATTTGTTTGAAATAGGTCACAGCATCTTATTCAGAAAGATATCCTCCTTTTGATTTCATCATATCTTTAAGATCTCCTCCATTACAATATTCTAAGAAAATATAATAATTTTTTTAAGTTCTAGCAGCATGATATAATCTTTAAATTAAGAATGAATTTACTGTACGATATATTAGCTTCTTATTTTTGATAATATTTCTATTTCTCTCCTAATGTTTCTTATGAAATTTTTATTTGTGCCTTCAGTCATTGGTAGCATTTTAACAGCAACAATTATTTTAGGATCACTTTCCTTGTAACCTCTGTAAACTGACCCAAATGCTCCCTTGATGTAAAATCTATAAATTTACTGTTCCTAGTAATTTATTAGTCACAATATATCCATCAATTAATTTATGTTCTGCCATAAATTTTTGTATGAAACAATAAATAAAGATAAATTAGAAAAAATCAAAAATTATTATATATGAAGGTATAAATTAAATCATAACAACTAATGAAGATCCTATTCTTATTTTTGTTATTTCTTTTCTTTATAATAGCTTTTTGGTATTTATTTCATCCAATGTCCTTTAAATGGATCTTTTAATTAAAAATAATATGGCTTTAACAACTTAAAATCGTACACCTAAAGTTTTGGATCTGTATTCAATCCCATTTTTATTTATCTATTATAATTTTTAAGAGCCTATTTGATTAATTATTAGTGAATATTTAATTGTTTTTATATTCTATCTTAATGCTTTTCTTTTTGGAGATTCACATCTATATCCATTTTATATTAATTCTTTATTAAAATAATTATATTGTATTAAAATAAATAAATCGATTGATATTATCAAACATCACAAAAATCATCAAAAAATTAATTTTTTTTAGAATTATTAAAATATTAACTATCTTCAAGGTAATCAAGTGAATATTTTTGTAGTTTGAGTCTTTTGGATTCTTCATTTAGATAATCTAATTATTCATCTTATTCTTAAATGCTTGGGACAAGTTCTAAGGTCAAATATGATTTAAACCTTGATTAGGTTATATTTCTGGACTAAAATACTGTATAAATTCGTTTTTTAATTCGATTAGATTTGAGTTTCAGTTTCTGATAATTATAATTTATTATCCCATTTTTTTTTTTTTTCTTTAATCCTTTCTAATCAGCTAATGATGAGATCTATTGATTAAATATCTACATTATTTTACACTTCAACCTTATTTATTTAAATGTTTAATATATCTTAAAATATTAAATATTAATTTTACCTGCATTAAGAAGGTGAACTTGTTCCAATAATTTCAAACATTAATTTAAAGATTTTATTATTTTTCCTATTGATTTACATATTAAAATCATAATGTTTTTCTAAAAATTCTACATTATATTATGTACTTCAAATGTTCAATGACCATTTTATGTTTATAATAAAATTCTTATTCTTGATGGATTTTCTGTCAAATTGCATTCTAATTCATTTTTAAGTTCAGAGTTACAAAATTTTTCAAATGTTTCACTTTATTTTAATTAGTTATCTGATATGGGAGAGGAAGAAGGAATGTTGAAAGATTCTTATTATTTATATAATTTTATATAAAGGTTTCTGATATATAGCTATTATAACCTGTTTATATTTTTAAAACTTCGATTAACACCACCTTTATAATAGCTATTAATTTAATGAATAGTTTTATATTATAATAAAATGTTATTATAATTGTAATAAGGAAAATATATATATTATTTAATCAATCTTGAAATTATGATAAATGATTCTTAGACTAAGTGAGTCTATATTAATTTTTATCTTGGATAATGTGGCCTAATAAGGAAGGCATCATATTATATTATTTATTGTTAAGTTTGAATATTAAATTGCTTATTTCGTGTTCTTCATCTATAATTTCATTTTGGCTTTCGAAAGATTTAACTAAAGAACTGGCATCTTATTATTAATGGAAAGGACTATGATCAAGATGCTAGATAGATGTGGCACATTCCAATTTATTTTTATTATATTAAACATTACTGACCTAAAATGATTTTCTTCTAATATCTTATTCACTTTATTCAACCATTTCGATAATTGTCTTTAAACTAGGTAGATTTCTCTTCATAGATTATATTTTTTATGATTTCAGTTTGTCCCTTGTATTAATAAACCAAGCATGTTTAATAGCATCATTTACAGAAATCCTTTTATCAGGATCATTATCAGTCATTTTTTTAATCAAATCTAATTAACAAGCACTATAAAGATTAGGAAAATCTGAATCTCTGCATTTTTAGAAATTGATTTCTTGTTATTTAATAAGTTCTTTTCTAGTTTATGATATTTTTGATATATATTATCTGTTAAATTATTATCCTTTAGAATAAAAGCTCACTAATAGAAATATCATTCCTAATTAATAAATATCTGATTTGACAGAAGGTATATCTTATTAAGATTGAATTTCAGGAGCTATCAAATATTTAGGAATGAAATTTAAATAAAAATCTAAATTATTTTGATTATAAGGCTATAAAATAGTTTCATTATTTTTTACCTTATAGTTTGAGTTAATCAAGTATACTTGCAAAGATCCTAATACATTAGCCATAACTATATTCTCTAAACAAACATAACCATGAAATAATTCTTCATCTTATAGACATCTTAAAGATTACAGAACAGAGTAAATAATGAATGCTAAATCAGATTGAGGAATAGCTGTTTAAGCACTTAATAACAATGTTTCAAAAGTTGTTCCAATAAATTAATAAGTAATGATTGAAATACTGTCAATATCTTCAAAAATACTTAAAACTGGATAATAATTGATAATTTTCCCACTTCTGAGAATTTTAATATAATTGTTGATTATTTCGTATTATTCTTATTAATGGATATCTCTTTTTTTAATTATTTAAGCAACATATTTTTTATTCTTTCTTCTTTGAAGGACTGAAAAAATATTTGTCATTATCACTTATTGAATCCGATATTTTTAAAGAAAGTTATTTTATTTGGCTGATAATTTTAGTATCTTAAACCATTCTCTTTATGATACGGGATGAACAAATACAAGTATTAGGTGACCTTAGTTATTAGTAATTTTAATTAAAAATAGTTAGCTTTAATGACAAAGAAATTTTTGTTTTTCAACAATACAATCGCATAAAAATAAACATTTTTGTTTCTAAAATATTAGCATTCCTTCTGCAATTTGCAAATATGGAAATTAAATTTGATTATTAATTATAATATGACATGCTCCCTATATATCGTAATTTTATATTTCTATATGAAGGTCTATGAAAGCCATCTAGTAAATTGAGGATTGTAATTAATGACAATTAGGAAATTTTAACACCCATGATAAATTAACATTTGATTCATTGATTTAAATTTTCTACAAAAGTTCAAAATCTATTTTATTTATCTTATTCTGCTTCATTAATACAGTATATATTTATATTCCTAAAAATTATAAAGATTAAATGATATAAAATGAGAAATCAAATTTGTAGGAGGGTTTTAGTTATAAAGTATATATATATAATAATCTTATTATATTAATCTTTCTATAATTTAATTCACTTATGATTTTTAATCAATTTAATATTCATATTATTTACTTAATTATTATTTATATGCTATAATAATTGTTTCCATTCTTATTCATATTTTCACTTATTAAATGTTAGACCTTAGAGAGTTTAGATGTTTCATGTAAACAAGATTGTAAAAATATACATGTAATATTTAATAACTATTCATTCAGATTGTAAAAAATGGATCATTATTTTGGAGAGAATAAACTTTAGTTGATGATTAAAAAGAGTTTTTATAATTAACAGTATACATCATAACTACATAATAGTTTGATAATTTAAATCCAAAATAGTCTATGAATCTTAAACTTGAATTGACAGAATAGGTTTTCAATAATTAATCCTTATATGAAATTCATCCATCCTAAATAAATAATCTAACAACTTAGAAAATCAATATCATTTTCAAATGTCACAATGACATTGAACTATAATTTAAATTAAAAGTTGAAATAATTAATAGTACTAATCAAACATTAATTATACCATTTAAGAAACAATGTAATGAATAATATTTTGATCCTACTAAATATTCTGTCTATCTTAAAGATTTAAATAATGAAAATATTTCAATTGGATGGGATAATAGTAAACCTTAAATACTATAAAATATTTCTGCTGTTTTTGAATTCATACCTCCTGAAAATTGTAAATATACTCTACTCAATATCTAGAAACCATCTATATTTAGAATGTTGAATTAAACATTGATAATAATAACACTAAAAGTGCCAAAGACTTAATCAAAAAAAATTGTCTTGATGCTCCATTAGCTTATGTTAGTAATAGTAAAAAATTAATCATCAAACCAGAAATTACATGTAACAACATTTCTAATGAAAAAAGTAAATTCAATAATTTAATAATAGTATTATTCCATTTAAAAATCGATTCTTTTAAATTAAAAGAACCATTTTTTATTTACTTCTTTAAATAATGTGATAAGAAAGACAAAGATTTAGAAAATAATTAAGAATTTCCAATTTTTATTGGAACTAAAAAAAATACAAATGAATTGTTCAGAGCAGGAGTATCTTAAATTGATTACAATTACACTACAAAATCAATATCTGAAAATACTAATGCTTTTTAAATGTTTATTTATTTTAAAACAAAAGACAAACAAACTATTTAAGAAAGACTATTTCCAAATGGATAGAAAATTGATATTGATATAGTAACAAGAGTTAGGGATGAAGAAATTCTAAAAATTAAACACTAAAAAAAATTATAAATGAATAATGTTGATGACAGAAAATAGATTTTATTATATTTTGAATGTTAATAATAAGGAAATTCAACTGTCTATGTTGATATCATTTTTAATTATTAAAAAGATTCTCATAAATAGGCATCATTTTCATTTAATAAATTTTGTGCCAAGACTATTTAAAAATAAGAAAAAACCTTATTTGGAGAAGTTGTGTATTACATTATTTGTATTGTTGCCATGCTTTTTGGAGTATAGACTATTAGGTTATTTACTAGTAACTTTTTATAATAATATTATTTAGATTTAATCAAATAAGATGCTAATGTTCCAGAAGTTACGATCGATACTTCTTATAAAAGAGGTTATAGTAATATTGAAGAAGAGAAATAAATTGAATTGTGACATATTGTATTTATTAAAATAAGAAATTCATTTTTCTAATTATCAAATTAACCAAAAAATATGGGTATAAAATCAAAATAACTTCTTATTTTTATTATTTTCTATACTATTTTTATTTGTAATATATCTGAATTCTTTTTTTTCGAATATATACTTATTATATAATTTAATAACTAATAAGATATGACTTAATTATTGACTATTTTTATCTATGATAGTATTATGAATAATAGAATAATTAATAATATATTTATTTGATTTAGACTGGATGTTTATATTATTAAATATAAGATAATAGGAATATTAATTATATTTAATTAAAAATAGAATTTTTGATACTTAATAAACTAACAAAAAAATTTAAATAAATTCATTATAACTTAAGTTCATCAAGCTCTTATTTATTATAAGTGGAATTATAAAATTTACTTATATATTTGAGATGATTTTTGACATCCTATATTTTTTCACTTATCATAAGATCATGTATAATTTAAAAACCTGAGAAATACTCTCTAGATAAGTCTGCAGCTATAGGATCATTAAAAAGTCGAGTGAAATCCTATCTAGAGAAATTCTTTTTGTTTTCTCCATTCTTTAAGAATGCTTTAATTGCTTAATTATCTACATTTTTACTACCTAATAAAATAAGTTTAATGAGTACATAAATATTTTTTCAATAATACTCCAAAATTTTTGGGTATGTTCTTTGTTTCTGATTTTTATGGTAATTGTTTATCTTTAATTTTGTGAATTTTTGCCTTTTTAGTAATTTTTAAAGATTGTGAATAGTAATCATATGAGCCTTCAGTTGATATAGATGAAGGCTAGTTATCCTCAACTTTAAGTTCTATTATACATTAAGTATAAGTATCATCTTTTACATATCTTCTAAATGAAGAATTAGGATTGCAATAGTTAATTGATGGGTATTTGAATGTTTGATTGTGCTATTAAATCATTTTGAATTTATATATATATATATTTATTAATAATCAAAAGGTAAATTCTATGAATAATGTAAAGAATAATGAATTTGAAAGTGGATTATATTCTATTAATAATGTTTATATTAAAATATTACACCCAATATTTATCTTAAATGTTAAAAAGACAATGGTATTGAGTAATACAAAGGTGAAAATAGAATTGTTAGTTTCAAAATAATTTATTATTATTAGTATATTAAGAAGATTATAATAAAATTAAAAAAATAATGACTCATTAATTATCAAACATTGAAAAAATAAAATAGTAACTTCATCTTTAACATTAAGTTAAAGAGATACTTGCAAAAGAATTTGTAGATCTATAAGATAAAGAACATTTTCAAGTATTATCAGATAAAAATAATAAGGTAATTGTTGGAGTTTTAGAAAAACCAAAAAAGTTGAGAAATGCAAACGATTTATAATTATTAGCTATGGCATTTTCAACAATTAAATATTTTTAAGAGATGAGCAAGACAACCAGTTAGGATGAAATGCTAAATTTATTTAGAGTATAAGGATTATTTAATAAAGGAATTATAATATATAGAAGTACCTGCCAGAAGAACTTTATTTCGTTTAGGAGATATAGGAAAGAACTTCTATATAATTTTGAGTGGTTCAGTTTGGGTATTGTAAAAATTCATAATTTTAGGTATTAGTTGCCAGATCAGGTTTATAGAGTGGTACATTCTCAAAAAAAGATGAGAATAATAAAGATAAAATAGAAATAGATGAAGGAACCTTTCAAGTAAATATAATTGAAATTCTATATAGGATGAATTTGAATTTATTGAATTGGATGATGAAAGTATGCTGACTTAAAAATATCCAAATTTAATGAAAGTTGGTTAAATAGCAGCTGGAGGTAGTTTTGGTGAAATAGCTCTTACTAACTTTATCCCAAGACAAGCTACTATTGTTTGCAAAGAGAATTCCCAATTCATTACTTTATCTAGAGAAGCATTTAATAAATTTTTATGTAGAGAATTTTAAATTATATTATTATAGCTGAATATTATAATCGAATCTAACAAAAAAATTTCGAGTTTCTGAAATCAATTTAGATATTCAAGTCATGGAATGATGCCGAATTAAGTCAAATGTAATATCATCTTCAGCCTTTAGAATATTGTTATGATACTTTAATATATAAAGAAGGAGAAATTGTTAAGTAGAATATCATATATTATTTATAGAGGTGTTTATTTTGTTTTAGAAGGCTAAATTGAAATAACTTAGAGTGCTAAAAATGATAATCATTTTGATTAACCATTTGGTAGAAGATTATAAAGATCATATAGTAATTTATTTAAATTATTCTATTTTCAGGTCAAAAGAATATATAATTAAAATTAAATAGATGTGGATATGGATAATTATTTGGATATTTAGAAATAGTATCTAATTAAGAATTTCGTTAATCAAAAGCTGTTTGTTTAACAGAAAAATCTAAAATGTTATTCTTACCAGCAGATGTATTTTAATTTAATATTATCAAATTTAGAGATTTAAATTATATTGTTGTAATGGATTAACTTTGTCAGAATTAAATAAAATGATTGAAAAATTAGATGAAAATAAAAGAATTTCAAAAGAAATATTTTTAGGTAATTCAAATCATCATTCAAGTGGATTTGATTTCTTAACTTAATCACCTAGTTATTTGATTAAAACATAAGATGAAGATGAAAAATTTGTTTAAGTCAATTTAACATAATAGAATCGTTAATCATCTCAAAAAATGAATAATACATAAAAAAATACTGAAAGGAAATCTTAAAAAATTGTTCAAGAAATATTAGGCAAGATTTAACATTAACCTTCTAATATTTAAAATTATTATGAATTTATTTCATCACATTCAAAAGAAAAGAAATAAGAACTCACTTTTGAATGTCCACTTATTGAGATTTAATAAAGTAGAAAAGCAAAAATTCTGTAATAATAATTATAGCATTAATAATAAAATCAAAATTCGAAAACACCATGTTAAAATATAGATTCGAGAGTATGTTTAATTTAAAGTTTGAAATTACCTAAATTATTTAAAAAATAAAAAAATAAAGAGGATGTTTAATTATAGGTTTATAAGTTTGTTAGATAATAAAATTAAAGTGTTTAACTTTTTTGATAATTTTGATAATGTATATATTTATATATATATTGTTTTATAAATTTAATTTTAAAATGTTATTAAGAAAATTAGCATTACTTTATGAATTCTGTTAATAATCTGCAAGACAATGTTTTTAATTTTTACAATAAGATCCTATAGAATAATCAGGATAGATATCTACTTAATATTAATAAGCAAATAAGGATGAATAGTAATTGAAGAAATAATAATTATAATAAGATTATGGAGATTTGGAAGATTAAGATAATGATCATGTAAGAATGGAAATTATTATAGCATTTAATAGAGCAAGAGAATCCATTTGAAAAATTGAAACCTACATTAAATTTTCAAAACACGATTCCACAATAAAATAATAATATTAATTCTAGAGTAGAGAAGGAATAAATAAAATATGATGAAGAGATGGTTGATATTCATTAAAATAGTAATTGGAATAATCATGAATTTGATTAAGAGAATGAACATATTGAATTATGATTAATAGATAAATTAATTATTTATTATAAAAAAAAATAAGTGATTATGTATTTAAAATCAAAATTTTATGGATCTCTCACTTTTAATACCTCCAAACTTTTCATTTAGTAAATTTTTGATTTTAAAATAATCATTATATGTCCATGACTTATTAGAATCTTATTATTCATTTAACATTTTCAAAGCCTAATAATATATATATTATATTAATTACTTATGTCCATGTTACAAATCTACCCTTAACTCTTAATCTTTCTTCAGCAACCTTTTATCTAATATGATAATGAACTTTCTTTTCATAAGTTCTACTATGTTTTTTTTCTAAATATCTCTTCACTTTCTATTTCCTTGCCATTTCTTTTAATGATTCATGATTTGTGGATGTGCAAAGTTATTCAACCCAATCTTCAAATTTTTATGTTTCTTCATCATTCAGTATTTCCTCACATAATCCTATCTTGATTCTTAGTAAATCATCACCCTTAACATATGTAGAAATAAAATCCTCTTATTTTTGAGATGGATTGAATCTCATTCTCAATTCTTCTAGATGTAATTCAACATTAGTTGGTACTGGCAAATCCTTTGGATAGGAGAACTTTTTCTAATTTTCTTTTAAAAGCATAGCAGCCAACATTTCTAAATCTCCTAATGCAGGATAATCCTCAGATTGTTCTGTTGTAGTACATTCTTCAAGGCACACCTTCTTTTTAGGATCTTCATCCAATATAAATTCATCTTAAAATATTGGACATGGTTTCTTATAAGAAGACAATTATTAAGGAGTGTAAACAGGAACTTCAACTTCGTTTTCAAATTCTTCACATTACTAAGACATTATATTATCACATAATACTTATTCATCATCTGCTGAATAATGTGGTTCATCATAATTAATTGAGTTTTCATTCTCAATATTACATTAATATTCTATAATTCCCTCATCTTTCATTTATGTATTTCTTATCATTTTCATACAAGATTTTATATTTAAAAAAATCCTTTAGAATTTATCTCATTAATCCTTGGTTCTTATATTCTTATTATAATACCCCCCTATAAATTTACAATTATTTATTAAAGAATTAGAAATTTATAATAAATCTTTGAGATTCATTACTAATCATTCAAACTTTTATATATTAATATTTAGAGTTTACTAAATTCACTCTTTATAAATTAAAATTTAAATTATTAACTGTTAGTAATATAATTACCATGTAAAATTATAGTAGTGATGAAGAAATATCATCTATTCCAGAAGATGAATATTAAGATTATGACAGATAAGATTTTGAAGCAATTTAATTTGCTGATAACAAATAAAATATAAGTGAAGCTGATGAAGAAGATGATGATGAAAATGAAGAAAATGAAATTTAAGAAAAAGATAATAAATTATAAAAAAATGGGATTAAATTTAAATTACCTTAAAGAAATTTAATTGAAAATAAGATATCTCAATCTAACTTAAATTATCAAAAAGTTTTGACTGAAACTACAAATTAATTGAAAAACATTAGCAAAATTGAAAATAGACCATCCACATCTAATTCTACATCTTATAAACCTATATATACTACTAGCATTCATTAAAGTTAATAAATGCAAAAAAAATATAATTACAAATAAAAATCATTTAATACTTTACCAAAAAGATCAGATCCAGTTGCCAGATATTAATAAATGTCTTAATAATGGAAGAAAACTAAGTTTTTATAAAATACTAATGGAATGAAAGAAGGTAGAAAATTGAATTTAGATACAAGAATTGAATAATAAAAATAAGAATTAAAAGAATCTGGAATGTTTCATAGATACATTGCAAAATCGTAATTATTTTTGTGATTTTATTATTTTGGTTATAAATTTATTCTAAATTCATTTCTTATATCCTGATGAGATTTATATTTAAAAAATATACCAAATGATAATGTTTATTTATTTCATGAAATAAATCTAATTTGAATAAAATGTTTATTTATATTATAACATATCATTTTTGTTTAATCAAGGAAAATTGAATAGATTATCATCCAAACAAAAATTATTTTGTACCTAGTAATTTAGTACATTTAGAACATCTATGTTGTACATCTTTACAATTATTCAAAAGACAGGGAATAAATGCAAAAAAACAGGTAATTATTAACGCAAGTAAAATAAAAATTATAACATAGCTTCCTTTGCCCATTTCATAGGAAATATCAGAATCTACAGGAGTATTACATTTAGAACAGAATAGTTTTTCTGATTTTCTAGTTTAAGGTACTTTAGGATATGGACTTTCTTATTATACAAGTGTATTTGTATTAATTTGTAATTCAATATTACTTGATTTAATTGTTTGATATGTTCCTTATGTTTATGCACTTCTTGTTTATTATTATTACGTGTCTAAATTGTTATCATTCATCAATTTATATTTATTGAAAATTTAATTATTTATGAATTAAATTAATAATGAAGTCTTAATAAAATGTTAATTAAAAAATGGAATAAAACTAATCAAGATAATTAATTCAGTAAATTTACTCAATTTGAACATATTTACTTAATATTTTATTGAAATTTATCATCTTCTTCAATAACCGAATCTAATTTATCATTAATTAAATTTTCAATCCTTGATACTTTATTTGAATATGAAGAAGATCCTTTACTACTTAAACTTTCGAATGAATTCATTTAACAAAAGGATGGACAATAAAATTAAAATTCAGCATATTTTCTAGGACTTTTGGTCCTTTTTCTTTATTCAGTTCTTATTCTATAAGAAGTAGGATTGCATCTTTTGACTTATGCAGCTTGAGATTCCTATCCAATAGAATTGGTATCCTTTTATTCTTCTATAAAAATGATAATTTTATGTACTAATTTATGATAGACCAGAAAATCCTGTAGCTTTATCCAATATCTCTTACAATATATTAATATTCTCAAGTTTACAACTAAAGTAAGGATGTTCAAGACATTAAGTTGCTGAATATCTAGTTTTAGGATTTGGATCCAACATAGATTTTAACAGACTAATTGCCTCTTTTTATAATTTATATTCAATATCTTAATAATTGACTTGACATAATTTATTTTAATCCATAATTTCCATTGTATTTTCTGCTCGAAACAATGTTTTTTTTGTCAATCTAACATTATAATAAAATATACAATTTATAGAAGATAACTCCAGCACTGAAAATGTCACATTTATATGTAAAATATTCATCAGTATTTGAATTCTTAAGTATTTCAGGGGCAATATATCCAGGAGTGCCACAAATACTAATTTTTTATTAAGGTTAAGCATATATAGCTAAACCAAAATCAATTATCTTTAATGAAGTAATATCATTTTATTTTTATAATAAAATATTTTCTAATTTGATATCTCGATGGATAATATTTTTAATTTCTAAATATTTTAATGCTGCCAATATAATCTAAAGTTATTTATATATATTAACTTTAATAGCTTCCCTTATTTAATGAGAAGGTATTTAATCATCTGGAAATGTTTTGATATAATTATAAAGTGTATCTCCTGATAAATAATCAGTTACCAAATAATAAGAGTTCTCACCCTGATAAATTTCATGTAATTTTACAAAATGAGGATGATCAATTTTCTATAAGATTTAAATTTCTTATTATAATCTATTCTAATAATGAATAATATAATTTATACCATTCGATCAGATGATTTTTTTTATAAGAGATACTTTTTAGATATGCATTTTGCTGCATATTCAAGAATACTCTTTTTTACTTTAACTAAGCAAACCTAATTTAAATTTTATTTATATCACTTTTGATGATGCTCCAGATCCAATTATGGAACCTGAATCATAAAAAATAGAGATATTTCCAAAAAATACTTTAGGAGACAAGTGAATTTTGAGTAGATTTAGAGAATTATGATCAGAATCAAACCATTTAATTCGATTCATATAATAGATTCCAAATGAACATAATTCATCTTGTTCTGAAACCTTCCACATTACTCTTGTTTCCAAATTATATTGTATTATATACTTAGGATTCAACATATTTTTATGCTATATTATATATTCAGTAGACTTACTTCACTTAAGATCATCTAATCTTCTAAAACTTATAAATAATATGTTTTGCTTTTCAAAATATGTTTCCTTATACAATTCATTTGATATAGTACTTGCATTTATATTATATTACTTTTATTACTCTCTTATTAAAATATATTCAGATATATTAATTAATTTGTTATATTTAAATTCAAAATGCAAACCTAAGACCTTGTTGAATATTTAGAATAAGATGTCAATAGCTTTAATTAACTCTTCACTTTCATTCCTTATCAACCTTCATTCTATAATTATATCACCAAGTATCAATTGAAATCAATTCAAATTGAATTAAAGAGTGAAGAATTCTTACCATCCATCATTGTTAATGATAAATTGCAACATAAAATTAAGTATCATCAACAATTCAAATAAGCATATGGATTAACTAATTCTTTTGAATTTGATAATACAATATCAATTGATATTATTTCTTATGACATAGAAGAAACTTATAAAGAGTAAAGAAACATTAATTATTAATTAGAAAATTGGAAAATGATAATATGTATCCAATCTTATTAAGTTTTGCTGTTACTAATTCAAATTGGAATATTGAATCACTTGTTCATTTTCTTAATCAGAAAGCCTGTTCATATAATACAATTAATATTGATCTACTCTATTTAAATTTATTTAGATTTGCTTTATATTTCTAAAAATCTAATCAAATCACTACTTTTCTACATTATCCATCTATCAAATTTAGATTATAAGAAATAAGACATACTAACAAATTTGTTGAAACTCCTTTAACTAAAATGATTACAAAATCAAGATCAAGTCAAAAGAAAGAAAAAGTTCAATATAAATTTGGATTTCTCTCTCTAGATTAATCTAATAGAATTTTTCCTTTAATGATTTAAGATCCTCTTATCTTTTAATTACCTTTAATAGGTACTTGGTTATATTCAAATGATCCATATGATGAACCATTAAATAATAGATAATATATTTGGACTATGTTAACAGAATTTATATGTAGTCCATACATTACCAGAAGAATCTGTAAAGATTAATATGATTAATTTTTATTCATTCAATTTCAAAAGAATCAATCTCCACAATTCTTTGAAGTAAGTATTCAAGAAGATCCTCAATATAAAATAGTAAGATCTTAAGAGAAAATACTTAATCTTGATAATCATTAAATTGATCTAGCTTCTGCTCAACCTTTTAATTAAATAGATAAAGTGGCAGATCTATATAATCCTATAAACAGTACTAATCAGATCTCAAATAAAAATTCAATAACTACTTAAAATATTAATAAATAGAAACTTTAATCTGCAGAACCTATTTAAACTATAGAGTAATCATTTTAATAGGAAAGTACAGTTAAATAACCACCTGTTCCTTAGCCTTTAGACTCTAATTAAAGTTATTAATCTGCAAACTTCCCTTAAAATTAACATTTAACTGAAAGATTAGTTATTATGTAATCTGAATAATTGAAATTAATGTAAACTCAAATTATAGATTTGTAAAGAGCTTTACTTCATTAAGTATTATTAAATATTAATAATTAGATGCAAAAACCTTAAATTTAATAACCTATGAGTCCTCCAAGAAATGAATAAACATTTCATCCATCAAATAAAAGAATGGGATTACCTGTATAAAAAATAGATTTCCTAAGTGAATAATTAAAATTAAAAACTTAATCCAAAAAAAAAGAATAAGAAATAGAAGAAATAGCTTAATAGATTTTATGTGATAAGATAGAATCTATGTAAAATTCTACAAGAAATTCAATTAATAAATTAATCTCATAAAATAATTCAAATAACTCTGATAATTCTAATCAATTTAAAATTTCAACTAATAAAAAATAATCTTTAGGTGATTTAATTATATCTATGAAGGATAGTGATATTAAGAGACAAATTAAAAGAAATTAAGCCATGATTTAAGATATCAATGGTAATACTTAACATGAAAATCATTAATATCATTCTTAATCTTTATCTCCATTTTCTCTACAGAATTAATAATCTAATCACTTTTTATAGATTCAATCCCCAAAATTTAATCAATAAAAGGATGTTTCATAATTTAATCATATGACTATCAATACATACTAATAGGAAAGTCCAATCAAATATGTTAGAATTGATTAATTCTCTTAATAATTATAATAATAACAATAATAGTAATAATAACAATAATAATAATAATAATAATAATAATAATAATAATAATAATAATAATAATAATAATAATAATAATAATAATAATAATAATAATAATAATAATAATAATAATAATAATAATAATAATAATAATAATAATAATAATAATAATAATAATAATAATAATAATAATAATAATAATAATAATAATAATAATAATAATAATAATAATAATAATAATAATAATAATAATAATAATAATAATAATAATAATAATAATAATAATAATAATAATAATAATAATAATAATAATAATAATAATAATAATAATAATAATAATAATAATAATAATAATAATAATAATAATAATAATAATAATAATAATAATAATAATAATAATAATAATAATAATAATAATAATAATAATAATAATAATAATAATAATAATAATAATAATAATAATAATAATAATAATAATAATAATAATAATAATAATAATAATAATAATAATAATAATAATAATAATAATAATAATAATAATAATAATAATAATAATAATAATAATAATAATAATAATAATAATAATAATAATAATAATAATAATAATAATAATAATAATAATAATAATAATAATAATAATAATAATAATAATAATAATAATAATAATAACAATAATAGTAATAGTTATAACAATAACAATACTTGCAATTATCACAATAATAATAATCTTAAAAAAAATCCTAGTAGTAGTTGTAATCTTCAACAAACAAATAATCAATATTAATTTCATCTATTCAGAAATCATATAATAAGTATGATTTAATTTAATGACTATAGAGAGAATATTATGTCCAATAATCAATTAGAATAGAGTGCTGGGTCTAAAGCTATGCCTAAGATTAAATTTAATTTAAAAGACTATGAAGAATCTGATTCAGATGAAGAAGTTAAAAAATTACAAATGAAATACCTAAAGAAAAGATGATTTTAATTAATTTATATTTTTTTCTGTTGTTGTAAAAATGGTTATTTGTTAAAAGTTTTCTTTAATGAAAAATATATTAATTAATCAATTAGTATACCTAATATATTAATCAATTATATTGTCCTTATTAAAATTATTCTTGAGATCAAGTAAATATAATGGAAAATTAATTAAATAATAAGTTTAAATACAATTTTGCTTAAAATGATAAAATATATAAATATTGACTTTTCCTATTTTTGATAATATTTCTAATTTAAAAGTAAGTATTTTCAGAGTTCAATTATAGGATTTTGAATATATGTAAATTATTTTTGCTAAAACCTTAATATTATAAATAATAACATTTATTTTAGAAAATAATTAATGAACTCTTTAATAAAAAAATATTTCAATCAAATTGCATATGGAAACTTAGAAGCTCCTTTGACAAATCCAGAGAGAGTTCTAGAAGTTGGAAATCTAGTATTAATAATATCTCAATTTTTGAATGATAAGGAATTACTATGCTTTATTTAAGTAAAGAAAGAATTGTTAATATATTGATAGATTAATAAAAAAATTCGATAATTATCAAAAGAATGTAATCAATTGAATATTAGGGTACTAGAAATAAGATTGTAAAAACAAACTCTAATTTTAGATGTATATGTATAAAATAATTTAAGAATTACATTCAAAATCCTGAATACTTAAATACTAAACATAATAATGACTATATGTTCTATAGCTTTAATAATATTTCTATGGAGTAAAAACAATTTATAAAAATCTAAGACATATTAAGTAGAAAAAAGAAATAATAGTCAGAATTATAAATATAATAATAAGAATAGAGAAAATAGAAATAAGAAAAGCAAATAGAAGTGACAAATCTTAAATAAATCAATAATTAAAAAAGTGTAGAAAAGAAAATAGAATTGGAAAAATTGATTAGTGAAGTATATTCATTATTGAATGAAGAAGAGCCTAAACCATTGCCAAAACCAAATTTTAAATTAGTATTAAATAAAATATTATGATAATAGAATGATTTAACTAAAAACTTATGTCCAATAGTGTAATATTAGAGAGTTAAATAATTGGCATAGAAATTAAGAGGATCCTAATAAAGAGATGTTAATTATATCTGAAATAAAATGATAATTTTAATTATTAAAATAAATTTTAAAATTTTTATCAATTTTTATAGGTTAGGTATTGTGCCAATTATGCTTGTAACCTAAAAAATATGATTAATATTAATTTTAGATTAATTAAATATCAGATTAAAAATGGAATTATGATAATATACAATAATGTAAGAATTAATTTAAAGTATTTTGTAAATTACAATTGTTCAGCTACAACATCCAATTTAAAAGATATAGAAAGTTCACTCATACTTTTAGTAGATTTAAAAATAATTTTGGATATACCTGGAAATTTAACTATAAAAACGAATAGAAAAGTGGTCCAACATTATAATATTTGACTGATGGTTAGGGTATAAATAATTAAGTATCTTATCAATCTAAATTCTTTTAATTTACTTTTGCTGAGCATAACTTTGCAATTTAATCTGAGACACCTAATGGAGAATTGTAAATATTTATGATCTAGGATTAAGTGTATTAATTATGTGATGTTCAACCAATTTATTCAGTTATTTCATTTCTCATCTACAAATTATAAGAATGATAGCCACTAAAATTCAGTAGATAATTCAATATGAATATAGGTACTATAAGTGATTTCAACTTCAAATAAAATATTTTAGGAACTATTAAATCTGATATCTCTTCTTATGTCACTTAAAAGGCATCTATAAATAATTCTAATATATATTTGATATTTTAGACTTTGCTCAATTGCTTATTGGTATGTATCCACAAATCCTATCTTCTTTAGACAGGATTAGTTAGGTGGATTATTTTAATAGAATCAATAAAATAGTATGAGAAGAGTACTAATTGATAATACAGTTTTTCAATATAATAAGAAGTATATTATTCTTAGATATAGAAAATACTATTTTATGAAGATATTGAATTTGCTGATTAGAATGACACTGTTGAATGGACTGATACATATATAACTAATATAATTCCATATTTAATCTTTGAAATTGTTGTTTGTATTTATGGTTAATATGAGATATCAAATATTGGAAGATATATAGTCAGTTTAATAGTTTAAATATATTTATATTTTATTTTGAATTAATATTAACTAGAGAAGACCAGAAATGAAACATGGTGAAGATTGAAATGCTTAATTAAGAAGATAAATAATTTTAATGAATTATTAAATAATTTGATTATGTGTTAAATCATTAATTAATTAAACAAATATATTTTTTAATATTACTCTTCAAAACCATCAGTCACAATGGATCAACAGAAGAAAACCCTCATCGACCCTAAAGATAAAACATTTTAATTAAGAGGTTCTGCCAAACCAAGAACATCTGTATTCATCTCTAAGATCTTCTTGAAGAAATTTGATGAAGTTGATATTCATGCTCTTGGTGATGCTATTTCTGGGGCTGTTAGATGTGCTGAAACCCTTTAGAGATAGGGTATTAAATATATGATTGAATAATCTAGGTCTTGCTACTATTCAGAAAATTGAAACACTTACCCAAACATTAGAAAATGGAAAGAAACAAAAAATCATTGTTTCCCTAAAAGTTACCTAAGATGGAAAGAAGAGAATTAATGAAGAAATCAAGCAATGACAATGATTTTCATTAAATAATAAAATTCAATTAATAATTTATATTTCTTAATCATTAAAAAAAATTAATTAAAACATGTAATATTATTATGATGTAATAATTTGTAATATCCAAAGACTTTAACATGAATAAACCCTTTACATTCTTCATATAATATTTAATTAAAAATTTCTCCTTTTCTATTGATTATATTTTTATTATATTTTTTATCAAAAATGTTAATTTTCTCCAAAAATTCTCTCAAATTAATAAATAAATATATGTAATAAAGTGATTTTATTATATTGTCAATTGCATATTTGGCTAATGAAATTCAGAATAATTAATAGAAGGATAAATTAGAGGATGTATGGCATTTAGGAGTAATTTGGTATTAAATGTTAACAGGAAAAATCATCATTAAAAACAGCAATAATTAATAAATATAACAAAATATTCATTTATAAATTGAATAAAATGGAAATTAAATAGATTAAAAAATTAAAAATCTGTTACAATAGATGTTAGTTATTGAAAGTTAGAATAGAATAACTTTTGATTAGTTAATTTAATAATTAAGTTTATACTACTCTAATTAAACAAATTTTAATTTCTAGAATCTATAATATAATTTTAATGATTAAAGAGCATTAAATAATTATAATTTATAATTAGATTTGGAAAAACTAGAAAATTAATTTAAATAAGAAATGTATTAACTACGAAAAAAAAAATAAATATCAATGAAAAAAGCCATGATTGATATCATTTAAGATGAAATCTATTAAAATTTCTTTTTATTATAAGATTTCAATAGTGATAAACAAGCACATTATTTAAATGAGAAATGTGATAAGTTTGTCAATTATAAATAGAGTAATATAGAAAAATGGTTAAGAAAAGATAATTTATTTTTGCAAATTTAATAATAATTTTAGGTATATATTAATGAATTGATATTATATTAAAAAGAAAAAATTGAATAACGTTGGTTAGTAAAGGAAAAATAAATAGAAAGAGAGATGATATGGCAAATTAAATAATAACTTTTATTAGAATATAAATTGTAAATTTTCTAATAAGAAAATCAAAATAGATAAACTGAATCATTTTAGTCATTTTAATAAACAATTATAAAAAATGTTTAAAATCAATTAAATATACTAAGTGAATATTTAAATAATTCGATTATATAAAAATAGAAATAATAAAAGTATATTGAGTTTAAAGATATTTTAACTATGATTTAATAAGATTTAAATTAATAACAATTTTTAGCTGTTGAAATCATTATAAAATTGTAAAGATAATTGATTAATATTACAATTGATATTGATTCCCTTTACTAAGAGATTGAGTTGGAATAATTAGGTAATAAATTATAAAGAGACAAAATAACTATTTTAAATAAATCTAAAAATTTATTAAGAGAATATTTTATAAAAGTTGATTATGAAATTCTCATATTAGGAGAATTGAGAAAAAGAAATTCATTAACGATGGGATATATCTAATAGGATCATTATTTAGATCATAAAATTAAAACCTTAAATCTCTAAAATTAGCATTTAATTTAAGAAGAGCGATTATTGTCTTAAGTTTATTAAAATTAATAAATTGATAATATGCTTTTTTAAATTTAATAAATAAAATTTTTTAATGAAAAAATAAATAAATTTATCAATTAATTAGAATAAGAGGCAAAATAATTTCAATCAGAAAGATAAATGTTTTAAATAATAGGTCAAAATAACTTATAAAAGGATTTAGAAGATCTCATAAATCACATGATTTATTAATTAAATTTAATGGAAATATATTTTTAAGTTGGCGACCTATGTTGTAAAGATATAAATGAAATCAAAAAATAATATGAGAATAACAATGATTTACTTTTGATATTGAATAGGTAAAGTTATGATTTATAAGAATGTTAAAAACAATTAAAATTAAATAATCTAGTAATATAATCCAATCTATCAAGATTTGATTAAAAAGAATTCTTTAAATAAAACTGTTCCAAGGTTTATTAATAAACATTAGAAAACTTTACCTATAAAATTTAGGAGATTATATATCTAAAAGAATAAGTGAGAAACAGATTTTAATTTTATGAGGATGAGGATTTTTTTAAATAAATTATAGAATCTTGGAATTAAGTAAAAACTTAAAAGGAATAAATAAAAAATATGCTGCAAGATATAAAAGAAACATAGATAACAATTTAGACAAATAAAGATTTGTTATAAGAATAAATTTAAAAAATAAAAGGTTTAATTATTAAGATTAAATTCTAACATTAATTAAAGCCATCTTTTGCATAAATTTAAACTTTTAATAAAAAATATGTACAAAATTAAAGTACTTATTTAGATCTATTAACTTTGGTTATTTATATAAAGTTATATTATAATTCCATATTCTTAAATTTATATTTGTCTCTAAAATCAAATAATTTAGAAAAATTAAATCTATAATCTTAAGTTTAAAACTAAGTTATAATAGATAAAAAAAGAAGTATAAAAAATGGAATTGAAGAAAGTAGATAGAAATAGGCATAAATACATAACATGATGGAAGAATATTTAAAATGTCTATAAAAAAAGAATGAAGCGTTTGAAATTACAAAACTTTAGCAAGATTATAATAGTATATCTTATTAGAACTAAACTTTGAAAGATGAAATTATATAAATAATTAAAGTTAAGTTGAAAGGATGTTTAAATGATTAATAACTTATAAATTAGTTAATTAATAACAAAAAAATATTTGAAATTTCATCACTATTTTGTTATAATTTGGTAATAGAATGATGGAAATACAAAAATTTTTGGAATACCTGATTAATAATTTATATTTAAGATTACTTTATGTTGAAATATAAATCTGTAAAATTAAAATTATAATTATAATCAACAATATAATAATTATTAATCTAAATTCGAATTCTAAAAGGTGTTTAAAATAAGATTTTTGTAGTTTAAACAACATTTAGTTTTTTGAAGATAAAAAGAAATAAATAAAAGAATTTCCTTACATATTATTATTAATTTAACCTAAATTTTGTATCAGTATTTATGATACAATCTACTTTTATAGATTACTCTCAATAAATTTCAGTTTTCTGATTTGAACTTTTCTTTTTGTGGAAATCATATTTATTTTTCATTTTCATGAATAAAGACCGAAATTAATTCATAAATAGAAATCTCATAAGAAAATTGAAGTGATTTTAATTCTTATTTGAGAATTTAAATTTACTTCTATATCATGTTTTATTCTATGAGATAGATTTCTTCATATTCTCTTAAGGTTATTAATAATGGATTATTTTGAATAGATTTTCAATTCTTCCTATCATAATGAGCATAATTATTATTCAACCAAATTTATATCTGACATTTCATCAAAAAAACTAAGATTACTGATAACTGATAACTTATTGCTAGCTCTTTCAAAGATTTATACTCCATAGATCCTTTATTTATTTTAGTGAACTGTATATTAACATAGATTGGTTTTATAATTAAAGATTACTCATAAAATACTTAATTATATATTATTTTAGAATCTACTTTTCTCTTAGTTTATAATATTACTCATATATAATTTAATTTTTATATTTAATAAATTTGAGTTTTAATAGAAATACATGTTAGCGGAATAATGATCTTAAACCTTTTAATATTAAAATGTTCAATAATCATTAGTTTAAATAGAATCCATTTCCACAATTCTAATAGCCATAATAAATGATAAATGAATAACCTAATCAGAAAATATAAAAAATTCCAAAATAAGATCAATATCCACAACTTTAATAGCCGGTATAAAACTAAGCAAAGCCTTTCATATAAAATAATCCAATAGAAGGATAAATTATAAATCAATTTCCACAATTCATATTGCCATTATAAAACAAAACTTAATAACCAAATCCTATAATATAAAAAATTACAATAGAAGGAGACACTTATGAAAAATTTCAACAACCAATAGGATAAGGATCACAAAGTATTGTTTATAAGGGAAGAAATATTAAAACATAAGAAATTGTAGCTATTAAAGAATACAAATTAATAAATCAAAATGAATTAAAAGCCATATAAGCAATTTAGAGAAACAATTTCAGTCATATTATTGGAATAAAAGGAGTATAGATTCAATAAAATTCTTATCCAATAATTGCAATGGAATTTGCTCATGGAGATTTCTTGTAATTTATGTAATCATAAGAATATCAAAAATTAACTTATAATGAAAGAAATTCATATTTTATTTAAGTAATTAAATAAAATGATATTTTAGATGGTATAAGGAGTTGAATAACTTCATTCAATACAATTATTTCATAGAGATTTAAAACCTGAAAATTTTGTATACATTAAAGATTCTAATAATAAAATGACTATTAAATTGATTGACTTTGGATTAGTCAAAGAAACTAAAAATTAAATGAAAAAGACTATTTAGGCTGGAACAGAATATTATATGGCTCCTGAAGTGTTTGATTCTTAAAACGGATTTTATGATAAGTCAGTTGATACATGGTCTTTGGGGATTATTTTGTATGAAATATTGGCTCAAGAGAATTTATTTAAAGGTATTTTGAAATCTATAATTTTAGATAAACCAAAAAAAAATTTCTCTTAGATAAAGTAAAATGGATAAAATTTCATCGACGAGCGAATTCAGTATAATGATAAAATTTAACAAAAAGAAAAGTATTTAATTAAAAAAATGCTAAAAATAAATTCATCCGAAAGAATATAATTAAAAGATGTATTAGGAGCTTAAACTGTATTTTAATAATTATAAATTAGAACAATCCTATTCCTCTTCCTCTACCTCAAAAAAAACCTTAAGATATATCAGAATATAATTTCATAATTGATAGGATTCCTGATTAATAACGAAAAGAACAAGAGTAGAAATTGAAAAAAGAAAAAGATTAATATGAATCTTTATTCATTATTGTAAAATAATAATCTAGTTAATAATCTCTTTAGATTAAAACAATTTCAGAACAAATTAAGTATTATTAAAGAATTAAACTATAATTTTAAGGAGAAGTGAAGATTTAAGATGTTATACAATAGCAATAAATAATAACATAAGATATTTAAGTATTAGAATAGTAAGAGAGGATGATATAATAATTTGATTAATTACAATTAATTTCTCTTTATTAATAATATAATAGCAAACTTGAAGAACTTTAATAATCTTAAAATAGACTTAAAATTTTAATTGAAGAGGCAAATGAATGTCTTAAATAAATCGAAAGATAATATGAAGATGAATATCAATAATAAATTGATGATTTAGATCACAAATTAAATGAATAATTAGATAAATTTAAATATTTATCTAAAAATTAAAAATATAAAGATAAAATAAATTAAATAATTAATAAAATTGCAGATGAATCTGGTAAGTTGAATTCTCTAAATGTATTAATATCTTAAAGAACATAGGTAGCATATTAATAATACAATCAAAATTATGATTAAATTTAATAATCAATAAGTGATTTTTAGAAATAATATAATTAATTGCATGAATAAATTTACAATGATGAATAAATTTAATAGAAAAATGGAGAAAGAATTAAAAAATTAAAAATCACACAAGATCAATTAGATTTATTTAAAAAGATAATGAATCAATTAAAAGAAAAACTTAAAAGTTTGATTAATAATCAATATTGCAATGATGAATAAATTATGAATTTAATAAATAATAGATTGGGTAGGATAGAATAGACTATAATTGAATAATAAAAGTAATTTGATAAGTTCAATGAAATTAATGAATAAAATTCTTGTGAAATTATTAATTATTAAATAAACTAATTGGAAGAATTTTAGAGAAAATTAAAGGAAGTTGAAAATAATGTAAAAGAATAAGTAGATTAATTAAAGTAGATAATTTAAAAAATAGGAGCTTAAAACAAAAGTGAATAAGAAAAAGAAATTTTAAAGTTAAATAATCAATTATAGAATATGTATAAAGAATTCTCAAAAGCTCTTTAATCAATAAAATTTAAATCTGAAAGTATTGAATTTTATTAAAAAGTGAATGAGAAAAAAGAGAAACTTGAAAAATAATTGTAGGAGGAAATAAAAAATTTAGAAGAATATTTAGAAATTTAAAATCAAAATACTTAGTTATTTAATGAAGTATTAAATGATATTAAAGCAAAAAAAGAGGATTAAAAATAACAAATTGAAGAGATTTTCATAAAATTACAATAAACTAATAAATAAAAAGGTGATCGATTAAAGATTGTAGCAAATAAAGTGTTTGAAAAATAAATAGAAATAAATTTTACCTAGATAGATGATAATTTAATTTAGAATTATGAATAATTAAAAATATAAGAAGAATAATTGCAAATAGAATTAAATAAAATAAATGATAAGATATGGAATTAATAATTAAATCCTTAGTAATTAAATGAATTAAAAGATTATATTCTTAAGGTATATTCTAACATAGATGAATTAAAGATGAAAATTCCATAGTATGACGATGTATAATAGCACAACTAAAATTATCAATAAAATTTAGAATCATATGAAAAATTATATGCTTTACTTAATTATATAAAATAATATCATTTAACAAGATATTATGAAAGAATCAATGAAGATGAAAATAAATGGAAATATTACAAAAAGAATAATAAAGAAAATGATTACAAAAAATTATTTTAATCTAGACTAAATGAAGATTTGGAAAAAAATGCAAAAATAGAGATGGAAGCATAAGATATATTATAGAGATATGAATATGCTCTAAATGAAAGTTACTATAAGATGGCAATAGAAAGTATGGAAAAAGATTAAGAAGAAATTGAGAAACAGATTTAAATCGTAGAAAATTTAATAAAATCAAGAGACTTAATAAAATTAAGATCTAAATTGAAAGATTAATCAGTGGTAAAAGAGATTATTAATGTCAAATAATATTATAAAATAATAGAGTTCGCACAAATGCTAATATTCAATATGATAAAAAATAAAAATAAATAAACGATTCAATAAGGATAAATCAATCAATATTGATTTAATTTTGATTAATCATATAATTTTCTATACATATTAAAATCATTTTAATTCTTCTAAAATTTAGATTATTTTAAATTTCTTATAAATTTTTAAATAACTGTTATTATTGTTCAATTTCTAATTTAATATAGAATCTAATTTTTAGGGATAAAGCAAACTCTTTATTCGATTTATATTAAAACATTTAGTTTAACTTTTTCTTTAATAAACTAAAGCAAATATTAGATTCTTATTGTATTAAATAAAAATTATTTAATATTATAACTTAAATTTATTATATTATTCTATTTCTTATATTATTAATTAACTAAATTCTTTGAATCCAAAATCAAAGAAGAAATATAAAACTCTATTTAATAAAGAAGCATATATGAGGCTGAGTCATCAGGTGAAGAAAGCATAAGAGGGAGTAGAGAAAAAAATAATGTGGATCAGGACGATAAAATCAGTGGCCTCTTACGCATCCCATACTCACCAGTCAATAGAAAAGGAAAATTCCATAATACCCTATCGAGAAATATTTGAATACAAACCTTAAGATCCTTTGTTGGAATGTCAGCGAAAAAATATCAGCCTCACCTGCTTTGTTTTCAAGAAGTCAGGAATAAATAATTAAGAAACTCAATTAAATAAAAATTAGTTATAATATCAGAACACTCTGAAGGAATAATTATTGGAATTCATTAAAAATTTTTTAGTAGAGACATAACTTATTCTTATTTTGGCTCAATTCCAAATGAAATAGCTAAACCAGATTTACTAGAGGTTTAAATCGTATAAGCTAATTTAAATCTATTATTGATAAATGTCTACTTTCAAAATCATAAAGAATATTAATAATTTAAACTATTCTTTTGGAACAAAATTACTTAGATCATAAATAAAATGAATAGTTTTAAAAAACTTATAATTTGTGAGGACTTTAATACTCCAATTATTGAACCTTAATTCATAAATGATATCACCAAAACCTCAAAATATTTCATTGAAAAATTATTGATAACAACTATATATTTTAGTGTCTAAAAGGTAGAAAATAATGTAAAAGTATTTTGGAATAATCTTTCAGACATGTTATATTAGATATTTTATGAAAAATAAATATTATGGAAAAGAATAGCTACAAAAAACTTTTTTAACTAATTTAATTATTATCGTTATGAACCAGTAGAACAAAATGGAGAATTTTCAATTATTTTCTTGATAAAGAAAATAAATTACACACTGACCAAGACACTTTTCTTAACTGAATCAATTCATTAAAGAATTATTCAGAATTAGAAAATTATAATCCCCTACCTATAAATATATTGGAGAAACTGAATTTTAATCAAATTTAAAAATTCAAAGACTTAATGGCAATAAACAAAGCTAATTCCTCAGTTTGCATAACTCATCAATTTATAACAATTTGCAAATGGGAAATATTTAAACATATATGGAACATGAGACTTTTAAAATTAATAAAATTATGATGGGCAAAATTATTTTCACTTAACAATTTTAATCCAGAAATCCTTTAAAAGAAATAATTTAGACTCTTAGTCCTTTTATGCCCCTTGTTTAAACTTTTATATTTAAGATTTCATGAATAACTCTAGGACTATTTATAGAATGAAATATTAAAACCTTAGACTAGATTCATTCATGGACTAGGACCCTAACTTCTTACTACAGAGAATCAAAAAGGCAAAAGAAAACTTCATAGAGTTTTATTCTTCGTTGATTTCACAAGTGCTTTCAATACTATTAACAGAAATATGATTAATAACATTCTAAAAACAAAGGAGACCCTTCATTAAAATGAAGTTTAATTCCTAAATTTTTGCATATAAGTAGGGTTCCACCAGCCATACAATTAAAAAGAAAAACTTTACATTTTTAATGATGTACCTAAGGGATATCCACTCTTACTAAATGAATTACTAAGAGAACTTATTAAGAAAATATTTAAATTTAATTCTTAGGACATGCGGATGATCTAGTTAGAGAAACTTATTTGAAATAAATGAAGAGACTTATAAATTTAGTTGTAAATTACTTAAAAAAAATGGAATCATATTCTTAACAAGAAGAAAGTTGTATAATGCCAATCAAATTGACAATTCCAAAAGAATATTGAGATTACATTCTAATTCTTTAAAAATACCCAGGAATTGAAAATAAATCATAAAGGGAGTATAAGTTCTCATTTAAATAAAATAAACTAAAAACTAAATTATACCAATTTTAACCTAATGATTATATCAGCAAAAATGAATTCTACTTAGCACTTAGCACTATTTCAAATATATATATCTAACCCCTCTTTATATTTTGTACAAAAATAGAATTTCACTTATGATGAACCCGTTGAAGGCCTTTGAATATTTTAAATTTTGAAATCAAACCTTGTATTTATAAATTGATAAATAATTTTATTTGCTAATTACAAGCCTAACTAATATATGAGTAGCGAAAGTCAGCAGATTTAATATATTCAATTACATACTAAAATAATAAATCATTATATTTTAAATATCAATTTATGATAGGAATAAAAATATTATACCCTTCAGAAGCAAATGAGTTTTACTGGATTATTAAAAAGGGTTTTATTCAGGTAGAATTAAAGGAAATATATTTGCCTGACTGTAAATCAACCCATATTTATTGGACATAACAACATTAAAAAAATAGAAGACATCTAGAAAGTAGATTAAAGATTTAATACTAATTATTTAATGAATAAAGAATGGCTAATCAATGTTATTCATGTACTTAAAGATTTACCTATATAGTAAAATGTTCAAATCAATTAAAGCTCAAAGAAAAAATTGACATTTTTATAATTATAGCATAGAATTATTTAAAAAGAGAAGCAACTTGATGTAATGAATTTTGAACAGAAGTATTTATATGGAAAAAAATTTGAATTAAAGAGAAAAATTGAAGCATCATTTTTATATGACTAAATCCATTTTGAATAAAGAGGAAATAAAAAAATAAAGGAGAATTTAATTTGAAGATGAATTTCTACATTTTCATCCAATATCATTATTCACATTTTTAATTCATTTTAAGATTTTTTTATCCTCCTTCCAAGGCTAATGCAGATCCTAAATTGATAATTGAAAGATGACTTCTTTCTCTCAAATAATGTAATATCCCTTCTTCTATTATGATAAAAACTTGAATTCTTAAATTATTAAATTAATTAAGAAAAAAATTCATTGAAGATAAATTTTAAGGAGCTAAATAATCAAAAAGTGGTTTAATGAAAGAAATCCATAGATTAATTATAAGTATAATGTGTAGAAATTTAATTAATATAGTGAATTGATTGTATAAAAATGATTTTTTATATTTTTTATAATATTCCTAGTTTCTTCATTATTACATTTATTATATTTAAACTATTTATACATATTCTTCAAGTTTTAGACATAGATTTTGGAAATTTTACTTATTATTATATTGTTAACCAGATTCTTAAATTATTTGACTATTGCTAAATCATCAGCATAAACAAAACGTTTGAAAATTGAAGCTATTTGAAAATCTTTACATAAGCATAATTCATACTCCTTAATCTCATTGTTCTCTCCCAATCCTCTATTAAGTGATCGAAATTTATGTCAAACTAAGAAGACAAAAGTGATCCCTTATGTATACTATTCTAGAGGTGGATGTTTTTTTGCTCAAATATATAAATTTTCTCATAAATCAATTCTAACCCTAGAATTTATCACATCAAGTCTTTTGTAGGCATTCAAATTATTTGGCTAATCGTCTTAATTCAAATTAATCAAAAGAATTGCCTTACTTTCATCTTCTTTAATTTAAAGGTTAAAAGTTATTTATTAAATTCTAACATTTAAGATTAAATCATTTCTAATTCGATAAATAACTGACCCTCAACTTATAATATATCCTTCCTTTTTTTTAGATTATCATTATGTTAAATTATTTCTTAAAATTATGTGGACTAATTGGAGAAAAGTAAAGTATTAGATGCTATTCAGGTGTTCTTAATCTCAAGTTCTGGAATTCTTAGAAGTAAAAAATTCCCTTTCTAATTAGAGTCATAAGAGATTGACCCTATCTTTCTTAGGTTAAACCCTAATATTTCAAATATTAGTAGTTAATCTTTTATCTATAATGTTAGCTTCCTAGAATATTCAGAGCCTCAATTGTAGTGATATCAGAGTTAAAAAGAGCCAATCATATTTGCCTATCAGCATTAGCCTTATTCCGTCTTTAATATCAAGTGATTACTAACTAAATAAATTTCTTAGTTTTTTTAAATAAAAATGTGCAACAAGATTTTTGTTTCAACATGATTGATTATCAATTTATATATTATCAAGACTCTTTCTTCACGAACGATTTATTTAAATATGGCACTATAGAATTTAAAATTAAATAAAATAGATTTTAATTTCTTTTTAAATATTGTTATAAGATTAGCTTAATAATTTAGAAATTGAGTTAAAGATTATATATATTTTATAAATAAAAATTAGCACTTTCAAATAATCAAAATCTCGGATAATTAATTCATTGTTAATAGATTCAACTAAAGGAGACCAAAAATGTTCCTCATTTAGAATTATAGAATTTCTTGGAAGATACTCATTTATAAATCTATTAAAATCTAACTCTCTAAATCTTTTTTGAGTTAATATTGTTTTTTATTGAAAAGTCAATCAGAAGTATGATTTGAGATTTTGTTAAGCCTATAACAATAATTAGATTAGGTTGATTTCATTAGGTACAATAATCAAAGCTTTAGACTTTATGGTGATAATTAAAATATTATTAAAAATCTTGAGGATTCAAATAATTTAGTTAATGTAAAGTATGGATAAATATGTAGGATTTACATAAGCATACTCTTCTTTTATCCTTTGAAATCTAGTTGTATAAATCATTAATATAAGAAAAATTGAATAACATNTAAATCATTTCTAATTCGATAAATAACTGACCCTCAACTTATAATATATCCTTCCTTTTTTTTAGATTATCATTATGTTAAATTATTTCTTAAAATTATGTGGACTAATTGGAGAAAAGTAAAGTATTAGATGCTATTCAGGTGTTCTTAATCTCAAGTTCTGGAATTCTTAGAAGTAAAAAATTCCCTTTCTAATTAGAGTCATAAGAGATTGACCCTATCTTTCTTAGGTTAAACCCTAATATTTCAAATATTAGTAGTTAATCTTTTATCTATAATGTTAGCTTCCTAGAATATTCAGAGCCTCAATTGTAGTGATATCAGAGTTAAAAAGAGCCAATCATATTTGCCTATCAGCATTAGCCTTATTCCGTCTTTAATATCAAGTGATTACTAACTAAATAAATTTCTTAGTTTTTTTAAATAAAAATGTGCAACAAGATTTTTGTTTCAACATGATTGATTATCAATTTATATATTATCAAGACTCTTTCTTCACGAACGATTTATTTAAATATGGCACTATAGAATTTAAAATTAAATAAAATAGATTTTAATTTCTTTTTAAATATTGTTATAAGATTAGCTTAATAATTTAGAAATTGAGTTAAAGATTATATATATTTTATAAATAAAAATTAGCACTTTCAAATAATCAAAATCTCGGATAATTAATTCATTGTTAATAGATTCAACTAAAGGAGACCAAAAATGTTCCTCATTTAGAATTATAGAATTTCTTGGAAGATACTCATTTATAAATCTATTAAAATCTAACTCTCTAAATCTTTTTTGAGTTAATATTGTTTTTTATTGAAAAGTCAATCAGAAGTATGATTTGAGATTTTGTTAAGCCTATAACAATAATTAGATTAGGTTGATTTCATTAGGTACAATAATCAAAGCTTTAGACTTTATGGTGATAATTAAAATATTATTAAAAATCTTGAGGATTCAAATAATTTAGTTAATGTAAAGTATGGATAAATATGTAGGATTTACATAAGCATACTCTTCTTTTATCCTTTGAAATCTAGTTGTATAAATCATTAATATAAGAAAAATTGAATAACATCATAAATTTAATTTTATATTATTAAATATTTTTGTTACAAATAATGGCTTTATTTACAATCAAAGAAATAGCTAATAATCAATATTGAAATCTAAACCAAAAAAAGAATTTACTCTATATCAAATTTATATTAAAGAACAATAATAAAAGTTAATAAAAATTTTATAAGGTTTTTAGATTATTTAAAATAATCTAAATTTTAGAAGAATTAAAATGATTTTAATATGTATATAAAATTATATGATTAATCAAAATTAAATCAATATTGATTGATTTATCCTTATTGAATCGTTTATATATTTTTTTTTATCATATTCAATATTATCATTTGTGTGAACTCTGTTATTTCATAATATTATTTGACATTAATAATCTCTTTGATCATTGATTAATCTTTCAATTTAGATCTTAATTTTATTTAGTCTCTTGATTTTATTAAATTTTTTTATATTTAAATCTGTTTCTCTATTTCTTCTTAATCTTTTTCCATACTTTCAATTGCCATCTTATTCTAATTTTCATTTAGAGCATATTCATATCTCTATAATATATCTTATGCTTCCATCTCTATTTTTGTATTTTCTTTCTAAACTTAATTTAGTCTCGAATAAAATAATTTTTTGTAATCATTTTCATCCTTATATTATTATTTTTATTTTTATTTTTATTCATTTTCCTTGATTCTTTCATAATATCTTGTTAAATGATATTACTTTATATAATTAAGTAAAGCATATAATTTTTCATATGATTCTAAATTTTATTGATAATTTTTGTTGTACTATTATACATCGTCATACTATGGAATTTTCATCTTTAATTCATCTATGTTAGAATATACCTTAAGAATATAATCTTTTAATTCATTTAATTATTAAGGATTTAATTATTAATTCGATATCTTATCATTTATTTAATTTAATTCTATTTGCAATTATTCTTCCTACATTTTTAATTATTCATAATTCTTAATTAAATTAAAATCTATCTAGGTAAAATTTATTTCTATTTATTTTTCAAAAACTTTATTAGTTACACTCTTTAACCGATCACCTTTTTATTTATTAGTTTATTGTAATTTTATGAAAATCTCTTCAATTTGTTATTTTTAATCCTCTTTTTTTGCTTTAATATCATTTAATACTTCATTAAATAACTAAGTATTTTGATTTTAAATTTCTAAATATTCTTCTAAATTTTTTATTTCCTCCTACAATTATTTTTCAAGTTTCTCTTTTTTCTCATTCACTTTTTAATAAAATTCAATACTTTCAGATTTAAATTTTATTGATTAAAGAGCTTTTGAGAATTCTTTATACATATTCTATAATTGATTATTTAACTTTAAAATTTCTTTTTCTTATTCACTTTTGTTTTAAGCTCCTATTTTTTAAATTATCTACTTTAATTAATCTACTTATTCTGTTTCATTATTTTCAACTTCCTTTAATTTTCTCTAAAATTCTTCCAATTAGTTTATTTACTAATTAATAATTTCAAAAGAATTTAATTCATTAAATTTATTGAATTTATCAAATTACTTTTATTATTAAATTATAGTTTAATCTATCCTACCCAATCTATCATTTATTAAATACAGAATTTATTCATTATTGCAATATTGATTATTAATCAAACTTTTAAGTTATTCTTTTAATTGATTCATTATCTTTTTAAATAAATCTAATTGATCTTGTGTGATTTTTAATTTTTTAATTCTTTCTCCATTTTTCTATTCAATTTATTCATCATTGTAAATTTATTCATGCAATTAATTATATTATTTCTAAAAATCACTTATTGATTATTAAATTTAATCATAATTTTGATTGTATTATTAATATGCTACCTATGTTCTTTAAGATATTAATACATTTAGAGAATTCAACTTACCAGATTCATCTGCAATCTTATTAATTATTTAATTTATTTTATCTTTATATTTTTAATTTTTAGATAAATATTTAAATTTATCTAATTATTCATTTAATTTGTGATCTAAATCATCAATTTATTATTGATATTCATCTTCATATTGTCTTTCGATTTATTTAAGACATTCATTTGCCTCTTCAATTAAAATTTTAAGTCTATTTTAAGATTATTAAAGTTCTTCAAGTTTGCTATTATATTATTAATAAAGAGGAATTAATTTTAATTAATCAAATTATTATATCATCCTCTCTTACTATTCTAATACTTAAATATCTTATGTTATTATTTATTGCTATTGTATAACATCTTAAATCTTCACTTCTCCTTAAAATTATAGTTTAATTCTTTAATAATAGTTAATTTGTTCTGAAATTGTTTTAATCTAAAGAGATTATTAACTAGATTATTATTTTACAATAATGAATAAAGATTCATATTAATCTTTTTCTTTTGTCAATTTCTACTCTTGTTCTTTTCGTTACTAATCAGGTATTTCTTTATCTTTTACTTATTATTCAATTAAACTTTATTCTTTTGTTATCTTTTCCATTATTACTTTATATTCTAATATAAATTATTAATTTTCTTTTTCTAGCTCAAAATCAAATCCTTTCAGCATCTCTTTTGTTTATGCTTATTATATTTATAATAATCTTTATTCATTGTTAATAATTTGATCTTAATATTTACCTATCTCTATATTAATATAAATTGACAATTATTATTTTTTTTAATTCTCTGTATTAATCTCATTTGTCTTTCTTAACTCTTCATTTAGGTTTTGAATGAAATTATTAATGTTATTTTACTATGACTTTAGTTGAATCATTAATGATTATGATATTTCTTCCAATTATTTTTAATTTTCATATTTTTTTTGATCATCTAATTATGTAACTTTGCTATTATAATCTAGCATGTATTTTCTTTAAATTTCAGCCACTAGTTGTTATTTAAGCTGTTCTTCCTTATTTTTTAATTATTATTAAATTGCTTAATTTTTTTCAATTTATGCTTATTATTTAATTCTTTCAAGTTCTTTATTTTATTCTTCATCTTTTTATTTTTTGAATTATTCTATTTCATTTTAGATCTACAATTATAACTAAATCTTAATTTAAGCTAATTATTTTTAATCTTTTTCATATTAATGAGCCTTTTCTTATTCAACTCTTAACTCTTTTAATTCTTTTTCTTTTTACTTTATCTATTCTTCGTACTCTTTTTTTAAAAGATCTTCTTAAATTTATTATTATTGTGCAAACTTTATATCAAGTTGTCTTTCCATCTCTCTTTTCATTTAAGCCATTTCTTCCTACTTCTTTTATTCAAATTCAGCCAATTTTTTTTATATCTCATCCTCCTGTTATAATTAAATTTCTTTTTAAATCTATTCATCCTCCTTTTACCTTTATTCTGCTTCATTGAATTTTTCTTCCTTATATTAAACTTTTACTTGATAAAGAGGAGGAAGAAGAGAATTTATCTTATTTGGAATTATTTAAACTACAGTATAAGCTTGTAATACATCTTTTAATTATATTCTTTAAATTGATTGTTTTTTTAACATCTTTTTTATTAAATCCTTTTCTTTTTGTTAAATGTTAATATTATTCTAAATTTGTTAATCAATATTATTTTAATTAGAGTTATGAATTTTAAAAAAAATTTCATCTTAAGTACTACCTAAAATTATAAATTTAAAATACCTTAAAAGAAAGTCTAATTAGTTAAAAGTTCATACCACATAGCACCCAAAGACCATATATCCACTGATTTATTATAAAAACTGGTTTAATTTCCCAAAACTTCTGGAGCCATATAATATGGTGCTCCAACTTTATAAGTATTTGCCATTTAATTTTTAGTTTCTTTGACTAATCCAAAGTCAATCAATTTAATAGTCATATTATTATTAGAATCTTTAATGTATACAAAATTTTCAGGTTTTAAATCTCTATGAAATAATCCTATTGAATGAAGTAATTCAACTCCTTATACCATCTAAAATATCATTTTATTTAATTACTTAAATAAAATATGAATTTTTTTCATTATAAGTTAATTTTTGATATTCTTATGATTACATAAATTACAAGAAATCTCCATGAGCAAATTCCATTGCAATTATTGGACAAGAATTTTATTGTATCTATACTCCTTTTATTCCAATAATATGACTGAAATTGTTTCTCTAAATTGCTTATATGGCTTTTAATTCATTTTGATTTATTAATTTGTATTCTTTAATAGCTACGATTTCTTATGTTTTAATATTTCTTCCCTTATAAACAATACCTTCTGATCCTTATCCAATTGGTGGCTGAAATTTTTCATAGGTGTCTCCTTCTATTGTAATTTTTTATATTATAGCATTTCGTTATTATATTATCATTTATTATGGCTATTAGAATTGTGGAAATGAATTATATTTAAATTAATTATTATTGAACATTTTAATATTATAAATGATGTGATTAAATATAATTGCTAATTATAATAATTTATTAATATATAATTATATA